AACCGTTTATAATTTGACCAACCGGCAGGGCTAGCAATAGGGTCATTGGGATAGCGAGTCGGTCACACCCGTCTCAACGAAAGCCTGAGTGTTGTCAATGTGGTCGCTTTCACTTGCACTCGGCCTGTATGGGAGAGAGAAAGAACTCGTCGGAATGGTTGATGGGTTACGAAAGTTGGGTCATCGAGCTAGTTGTCAATTGCTCAAGGTGTTGGTATGTCTGCTTCGCACGTTGCCTCACGTCGTTATCGACTCACCTGTTGACAACCCATTCTCTACCATCTATCTAATGCAGACAACTCCGTTGTCACCCTCAATACATGTCCTCTCCGAACATGCGAAGACGACGATGTAGGCTGCATACCTTTATTTCGTTCTAGGTATGTCTCTCGCATTCGTGCACTGACACTGACTGACCTTCTTTCGTTCCCCCAGATGGCCCATGTTCGTTTTCACACGAATGGGTAGAAGACTCTCATTTCAACGAATCTGTTCGATCTCGACTGTTTCAGGCGTTTCAGGCGATGGGAGGTGACATGGCATGGGTGGATATGACAAGGTGAGTAGCAGATGTTCACAATTTCTTCATTTACTTATCTATATTTCTGGTCTTTTAGCATTGCCTTTCCCTGTGTCTCCGACATTTGATGGGCATATGAGCTGTGTGTCGCCGCGACCTTGAAGGCTCGTATTGCGGGATTTGGAGCGTTGATCGAATCGTCAGGGTGTTGAACGCTTTCTGACAGCATTCCGCCTACAGACCGTCTTCCATCAATCTCTCCGTTTTCATTTTGATCCGATCAATGCAGGGGATAGCGAGGGTGTCGTTATTGAAGGTTGTGGATGGGGGGATGGGATGCTGATAACATTATTGGTCGCCAGGGTCGCTGGTACGTCGCGTCTTCATGTAATTCAACTATTCAACCTTATTCCGTCTACAGACACTATGATCATCTCGTACCGTATTCTCCCATTCCCCGTCAATTCATCCATGGATCTCCCGTGTGCTTCATCGACATCTGTCCGCCTCGGTCCCGCAACCGTTCTGGACGAACATCCCCTTTCCTCTGAACTCCAGACGCTTCCCGTGATCGTTATCCTGTTGACTCCAATATGGCTCGACGGTCGTTCTTTCCTGGATTGAATCAATGATGGCATGCTTGCTCGGGTGATGGGTTGTCTCAAGGTATGTCTCTTTGATTCATATGGTGGAGTATCAACTGATCTTGATTTCCTTTCATTCTCGCAGATAGCCGTACACTCCGAATCCGAATCTTTACTGAGTTTCAGACGAGTGGAAACAGCTTGACTAGGTGGGTTGTTGAGTCAATCTGTCATTGCTTCTACTTACCTTGTATCTCCCCGTCTTCAATATTTTCCTTCTATGTTCTGTAGAGGAGGGAGGGCATTTCCCTCAGAATTTGAAGTTTCGAGTGTTTGCATTGTGAGATGGGTACGTCGTATTGTTTTATTGGTGCATAATTGTCCACCTACACAGCGTGTATCGTCGTCTGTAGACCAACGCATGTTGTCTCTCGGCGATGCTTGCGTTTACCTCGATCGAGTGTTAGAGACTGTGCTGCGAGTGCATATGATGCCGCGGCTGTTGGTTTGACGGCAAGTACCTTACCTTGATCTCATTGGCAATCTCTGATGTGGTCTCGTAGGGTTCAGCTCACGACGACGACGTCTATAGAAGATTCGTCTTGCACCGTCTCAGCTGTCCATTGATAAGGGGAAGGCAGATCTGGTGCAGTGGACTCCAACCGTGCATGACCGATCATCACTAGACGACCACTGGGAGACGGTGGGTTGGAGAGGTACGTGAGTTGGAGGGTTGTCAGGTTTCGATTCGATCGCAGCCGGTTGATCTTCGAATCGTGTATAGACGTCTTGCGAATGGAGCAAGTATTTCGCAAACCGGGAAAGCTTTCGAGTTCTGCTTTTTGCATCTCGTCTGATGGCTCTGTACACTTGGGTCATTGGTGTAGGCTGGAGTTGGGATCTGAGTGTCATCCTGTAGTCGCATAGCGGTTGAAATACATAGTTTCGTGTGCCATCTGCAGACTCCTCGTCTCGTCTTCCTAGAATCCTCTGTGTTCTTTGCTTGCCAAATCCCCATACTCGAAGCTCACTTCTTTAATCCTCATGTCCTTACCACCTCCCGTGAGTTCTTTACCAGCCAGAACACACTATGTATTGCGAGTGCTTTAGTGTTCTTTACTACCCAAAACACACTCTATCTCCACGAATAATCAGGAGACCATCACAAACAACGCGCAGATCGTCCAAACAAATATATTCCCATCTCTTCTAATCCTATGTACACGCGCCAGTGTACTTACCTTGGCAACCATCGTAAACGTCTTCACCTCCTAAGATATCCACATCCGTCTCCAGACAACACACCCAATAGATAGCACCACGAAACCAAGAGAACGAAAAGCGATATGGAAAGGCAGAGGCAGTCAAACAATGGCTACAGCAGCGTGAACGCCCCGCCAGCCATACACAACATCATGGCCGTAAACAGGCCAATCAACTGCCCCTTACTCCCCTCGATCGCCTTCCACCCCGGCATCGCAACCCCATTCGCACTCGGAGGGAACGTCGTCGCAAAGTCGTTCAACGGATTCGGTCCTCCCGATATCGTCACCGTAGGCGCACTGCTATCTGGCTCCGTGGCTGTCGCATTCGAACTGCTGTCGCCAATCGAAAACCGTGAGGATGTGGTGAACATCACGCCAGACGTCGAGTTCAGGAAGAGTAGGTAGTAGTCGTCTGCCGAGGGCACGTCTTGCAAGAACAGGTTGAATGACCCCGATCCAGCCGGCACTGGAAATGAAAAGAACGTCAGTTATCAAGCTCATATTAATGAACAACTGGAAGATTCTGCAAAAAATAAACTACAGACAGCCCGCTTCTCACCAACCTCGTGTATCGAAACGGCGATACACGGCTTCCTCAAAGCATTGCAGGCTAGAAATATCCTACATGTGACTATCGGGTGCTCAGAACAAGAATAAGCCACCCAGTTGCAGGAAGGTACCATACAACGCTCGTTGGCGTTCGGAAATTCACCAGCAACTCTGACGTTGTGTCCAAGTCATAGTAGAGGCCTCCGAAAACCGAGCAAGGCCGGTAAGTTCTCACAGCAGACGCAAACCTAGTCGATGTGAAGCAACGCCTCGAACAGCAGCTAAAGAAAGCGCTGACATGGGTGCGATCGCGTCACACTGCCACAACACCGTTGAGTTCGGCGTCGATAGGAACAGCATCTACAACGCGAAAATGGAGGGGACGGTGCGCCTGAGAAACATCCAAGGAAACACCTCAGGGAAATAGGTACCTCCAGCAACAACAGCCAGACACTAGTGAGAGCATCAATCCTAGAAGGACTAACATACTACCCAAGCATCCGAGTCGAGATACCGGTAACCTGCCAACTCCACAAGACATCTGAACAATGTGGCATTTTCTCGGGACTTGAAGCTTTCGTGCAATGCGCACCACAAAGCAAGCGAGAAAGATCTAGACAAACGCGAGAGCACTCACCATCTCTTGCGACGAGGATAAGACCGTCGACGCTCAGTCTCGACATCTCCACGTCGAATGCGTCGATATCATCCAAAAGACCTTTTATCCATGTTATCCGGTTCGCAGCGCCGTTCTGCAGCTGCGTTCCTTGCGTCGGACTCGTGACGATGAAATATGCTATCGAATGCCGTCAGAGGTCGCCCACTTTTGTAAACTGCACGCTGCTCACAGTGTGCATCCGCTAACGAGAGAAGCAACGAGGCAAAGAGCAGAGTGAGGACACCTCGAGGGACGGCAGAGAAGAGGTGCATCGTCGTTGTCGTCAAGAGTGATTGATTATAAGCGGGTATAGGTGGTATGAGAGCACAATCACGAGCGGTGAATACGAAAGACGTCCACAGAGTCTAGGATATCGCCTTGACCTGGTATCGGAGAGACCGCCTGGAGGGATGGAGAAGGTATGCAGGCGGTGATGGTGGTTTTGGAGAGGAATCAAAAACGAGCGTTACTGCCACCGAAGGGAAGCGACTGTGATGGTGCCGGTGAGCTGCAGGAGGGTATGGGCAAGCACGGGACAAGGAGAGAGCGGCAGTACTAGACTGAACGACCGGAGAGGACTTCGCAGAAGGTGGCTAAGAGTCGGTGCAAAGCTAAGAATGCTAGTCTACTGAGCGGTGGCCATCCTTCCCCTCCACTACCTCAGGCGTCTCTGCGCGCCGAAGCACCACCGTCCGTATATGGAAACCAACCTCATCGCCAGCCAATAACATTCATCAGGATCTATTCGGAGACTGAATCTTCTGTCAGTCGTGCGCCGTTGCAGTGATTTGGGCGCTGGAGGTCAATCATGTCCGTCGTCGACAGGCTTTCATCACTTTACCGTCTCATCGACGTCCGTCACCATCGTCACCATATGTGCCCTATGCTTAGGTACATTATCATATGTACACTTACAAGGATCCAGAAATCTATGCACAACGCGACTTGCAAGCGGGCGTCGTTACTATCTGCGCCCATTTCACTTCCGGATACATCGCAAGTCCGATCAATATGCAGTGGTCAGGATCAGTAAGAGGAACATGCTGAATTTCATGAATCCTCGGCGTTTCCGGGCGATAATCAGACTCAAGCACTAGACTCTAGGATGCCATTAATAGATGCTCCATGTATATTAGAAAGTTAGACAACGGTCGAAACGAATATACGAAGGCGTTGCATACGTTCCCAGGTCATGTCCCATAAACCCATGATGCATGATGGCCAACCTGAGGTTCATAACGAGAATTATGAGGCAGACAGGCAGCGACGGCGTTCAGGACAGTCCTATGGTGAGTGCACTGTTTGTCAAGAACATGAATGCTAGGCATGTCTGCTACATTAGAGGTTTGCTTTGCTGATTTTTCGGGAGTGTAAGGGTAACCTTACGACGGCGTTGGCATGAATAGTGTAACTCACCACAGATACTCACACACTGCATTTCATTCTCACCATAGGCTTATTGCTTTTGGAGACCTTCGGTCGGCATATTCTTATCGAATAATGCCAGATGCATCAGGGCTTTATAGGGCTATAGTTCAGATACAACCATGATGGACTCTAGGTATCCGAAGGACTGCAATCCGAGGCGCAACACGACCTCATTCCTCTGCAAAATAGGCTGATTCCGACTGCATCTGTAAAAAGGAAAAAAAAGCGGTTCAATCACACAAGCTCCAAAAAAAAAAATGTTGCAACCATACCCAGGGCTCGTCTTTGCCAAGCACATACTTCCTCGGAGGCCGTTCCCAACACGCCACCCTCTCCAGCTCCTCTGCGCTTCGCAGCGGGAAAACAATACCCAGTTCAAAGTTCGTATTCTGAACTTCACGTCAATAGCAGTTCCACAGATATTGAAAGATGCAGCCTACATTTAGAATGGGGTTGAATCCTGAACCAGATAGTGTCCCCCAGGCCGACGGTGTAAAGTTGTGTGAACCGACATATGCCCATCCGATCACTTTACCTTCTTCTCGCCCTTGAGCATCCACTTCTACAACTTCATCGTCGCTCTCTGGTTCGGTTTCCGAGTCTGATTGTGGTGCCTTGCCTTTGTTCGAAGGACCTGTATCACGGAACGTCGCGATAATCATCTATCATGCGTGTCAATCATCAGTCTGCTGTTTTTACAGACGAAGAGTGATTTAAATCTGAAAACCACCTTAGAGTGCATCAAGACGCCTCCCCTCTTACTCCTCGAGTCATGGAAAAGATTTCGCGGGAATTTGGCTCCTTCCCATTGGCTTCGCCTACAGAACATCGTCCCTCCTCCCTACAACAAACGAATAGTCACGATCGGTCAATTATTGGAGGACGAAATCATGCCTTGCACTTACCTGCTCTCCAAGGGCACTTTCCTTCACAGTCTTGTCCGACGGGAACAAAATCTTAATCGGAGGATATGGCAGTTTCGTTCGTCGCGACTTTGGCTGATCAAGCCACTCCTCCGCCGAGTCTCCCCTAGCGGAACAATAGAATTCGTTCATCCATTGCGTCGAATATGTCCCGATCGAAGATCCCTATAACGAAATATGGTCAGTCATGACTTACAATGGCGAAGGTGCAACCGACTTGACATTCCAGTACCAGCTCCCTTCCCTTCGGCGTTCGCGCGCCGATGTCTCGTATGGCTTTCATAAGAGCTACGTGACCTGACTGAATGACCTGAATACCATACACGTGAGGACAAAGCGGACTGAGTGAAACTTGAGATAGATGTACCTTTGGCCAACCCTCGTGCTTCCCAGCTAGCGAAGGCACCAGGTGAATCTTCACTTTTGAAAAGTCCCACTTACGGCGTAGATCCTCTAGCCGGCTTATCGGTAAATCAGTATGCTGCTCGAACAAATGTCGTTATTCGTAGATTCTGAGAAGTAGACAAATCAACAACTCACGCCATTCTTCACCATCGTGATCAACGCAGGAGCGACATTCAACGAGCGTAGTATCCTTGTCCAGGTAGCTGGGAAATCGTTCGCTTTCGAGTCGTGAGGAATTGGACTTGATCGTAGAGGGACGTCTTGAACCCATACACTCTAGACACATTAGTTTAGGACGCGAGTCGCACGATGTTGTTATCTTACATTCTCAATATCTCGCCAGTCAATCGGCAGCAGGTTCGCTGTCGACACGACAACCCGCAATCGGCCAGTCTTGTAGAATAGCTAAATCATCCTTATTCAGTAATTGCGTACGACGGAATGCGTGAGTTCACTGCATACCAGCATAAACTACATGCCAGAAAAAATCAGTAAGATAAGGACAACCACGCGCTGTACACGCTTGCCTTCATATGCATACATCCACGTCCACCGCGAAGAAATGGTGTCGTCTTGATCCAATTCGGAAGGACTTCCTTCATGGTCTCATTACCCTGGGAGTCTTGGGCAACTATGATCACGGGCGTGCTGGGATTGAAAAAGGAGTACATCCAAGGAAAGTCAACACAATATGCTGAAATGATGGCGAACGAAATCTCGTCTCGCTGAAAGCTATATCAGCTCCAAGTGAAACATACATACAAGGCATTCAACGCACTGGCGCGAGGATATCTGTTAACCTGAAGACCGGTCGGGTATCCTTACTCGGCTCAACATACTTGTTCGCCGTCTGACGTAGCTCTCCGTTCCAAAAGTAAGTGTCCGTAGGTTCCCTTGATTGCGTTCCACTAGTCGTTGCGCGTGGAGCTTTCTCAGTAGTGGGTCGAGTGCTGGAAGAAGGAATGTTGGAATGATATGCAGTAGACGAATTATGCGAAAGTCGTTGCCTCTTTGCACTCCGTCCATTCATGTTCACATTTTCGTCTGTCTCCTCATCTTCATTGTCCAGTTGCGGCTTTGATTGAGCTTCGACAAGGTCAGGACGGAGTCTCTTCTGTCGTTCTAGTCGTTCCCGTTCGAGTTGTGCCCGATCAAATGGGAAAGCATTGCTGGGCCGTGCTAACATTGATGGTGCTGAGATTGCGGGAGGTGGGATCGTTGGAGATATCGAATCTTGGGGACTGTACGTTCTGGAAGAGCTTGCACTTTGAGCTTTGGAGGCTTCGATTGCTCGCTGTACGTCTGACTGTAACTGAACATCTTCGTTGTTATCCTCTTCGTCACTTGAGGGAATCTCAATAATCTCCTTAGGTTCCGGCTTTCTATCTGATGTTTTAGATGGTTTGTAGGCCTCCCGTACGCTCAGGGCGAGCGCTCTTGAGAAGAACATAAATGAGGTGCGCGTTTCCTGCAAAGAAAGAGACGAACCTTGCAATTTCTTCGTCATCGAAGCCGTCCATCTTCCAGATGCGATGTCTTGCTGATATCCAAGGAGAATGTAGAGGGTCAACGAAGATGAAGAACTGGTCTTCTCTGAAGTGCAGATCATGGTGTGGGAGGACAACGTGAACACACCAATTTACCATAACACGACGACCTCACATGCGTTGGACTGCATTACAGATGTGGTGGAAGAACAGGCTACGTCGATCTGGGGTTGCATTCAATTGTCGGTGCTCGGGAGTGAGGGACGCGTCGCGATCGAGGAGGATCGAAATCTGGATCACACTGCGTTGATGCCCACTGTCCTCGATCGGTTCCACTTCTCCTTCTCACTCTGTTCTATGTCTCCTCTCGGATGCACTCTCCTCCTGTCAAATCTGAGATCTACTCTTGCCTTGAACCCCTGAGCATCTCAAATTTTGTATCCTAGGCTTGCGATGTTCTCAGGTACGACTCACAAGCCGCTTAGCTCAACTGTGAATAGTTGGCCCATACTTGAACTTGAAGCTTAGGGCTTCGACTTTGACTGACCACTCACCCTTTCGACGTCACAACTCAACGTCATGTTATTTACTTCTGTTCACAGCCTGGCAACCACCAAGAATTTTAGCCCGTCTATGGGCAGCCTTCCCAATTAGTGACTTGACTGCCATCTTCGACGAACATTCAACACTCACCGCCATACGCAGCCATAGTCGTCACCGACTATACCTCTACCCAACGTCATGCTCATATAACGTCCGGCTTTCTCTCACACTCATGCGATTATCACAGGTGTTGTGCTGTAACGCTCGCTGACCTCTGATGGGACCATTGCGAAACTAAAGACCTTTTTCAGTAATGACCCCAGGCGACCTGGAATTTATCCTGGTATGTACAGGATTCAAGCACTGTAGAGGACTCACCTTGTATGACTCGCTCGCCTTGCTCACATCAACTACGCGATTCGCTGTGGCAACTTCACCATCGAGCCGGCGTTGGTCTTATGACTGCGAAAGGATTGTGTAAGTGCATCTCACTGCATTTGGCATTAACAAATATGAAAATGCTTACCGTCGAGCTAACCAACCTCGTTCTACAGACAGCGCTACTGGGACAACGGGTGAGCACTCAGATCAATTCCAAGCGAGAATGATGGTGCTCACTATCGAAATACAGTGCTCTACAGGACGCCATCTATGCTGGTGCTAAACGATGCTGCATTAGATGACAATATAATAGACAGGCCGTCGGAGAACTTACCAGCGGGGTGTTGAGAACGTTGAAGAGACTCGAAACATTGGTGATGACAGGGTCATCTTCGAACACTAGCAGTGACTCCGAAGGAAACCAACGAGGCTGAAGAATGTGAGTGAGGAAAACGGGAGAAAGAGTCCATGCTCATACAACCCAGACTTTCGTCCTCTTATACGCCAGGCTCGCCCTCAAAGAGAAAAAGATTTCTCCCGTTCAGTCGCACCCCCGGTCACAAGTGTCCGAAGTACGTATGGGCGATATCTCGTCCGTCAGAACGCCCCTAGAGATCAGGTACTTGGTGGCAATCGACAGACGATCTCGTTTCTCGACTCATCCGTCATTTGCTATCCGACTACCATCGGTTCAAATTGGGACCATTCCTAGCGACGTGCCTTGGATACGCCAATCCGTAAACCTCCACATCTGCCTTGGAAAAGGAAAAACACTACGTGCCTGGTTTGAAGTAGGCGTTTTGCAGGAAACCAGGGGACATTTCGATTTACGATCTAAATCCTGGTCTCACATAATGTATGTCACGTTTATAGAATGTACCGTTCGCGAATCGAAAACCTATGCACTGGTTACGCTGTGAAGGGAGACTACGTCCCCTAAAAATATGGACGTACCTGACAATAAGCTCACCTCTCATCTGTTGTTCACAGATGTTCTTGCTTTGGAAATATGCCCTCAGACTCGGCGATCCAAGTTGCTTTTAGAATGAGTGACATATACTTCGTAATAGTACTAGTCCTTCAGTCCGTCCGATGACCGTCACCCGATTTGAATTCATTGCCTCGCAGGCCATTGGTTGTAACGCGAGAAGTGAGAAATAATATTTGGCGGGTCTCAGAGGGAGTTAAGCGAGATGGAGAAGAAATGAGGGAACGGGAGGACGTATGTTCGAGAACATGTGTTCCGCTTCGCAACCTGTAACTTAGCTATGGAACATGAGTCGACGCGTGCATGCCCCCAATAATACAGACCATCTGAGGTGAGAGACAAGCTCACCTCTCGTCCTTTGTCTTTAGACTGCCGCTGTGGATTTTCGAGGTTGGACTCAGATAGTCTTGAAGACGTCCTTTGAGTCTCATTGAACTAGATGGAGGAGCATCCATTGGACCATAATCCAAGCCCTCCGGATACAGTGTTTACCAGAGCCTGATATGAACAACGGCACTTGCACCTCACTTTACGATAACAACAATGGTTTTTAGTGACGTACATTTTTCATCTCGTTTCATATTTGCGTGAGTCCGTGAATTACACATCGCTGGCATGCAGAAATGACGCGAGCGTCCTGGAAACGCGAAACTTGAATTTCTTCTGTTGAAGTGTGAAATTTGAAGCGAGTACGTTTACCATTGGCCAAGATTTGCGCGTTCCCCCCGATAACGTTAGACATTTGACGACGTGAAACTTCTGCAGCAAAACTTGGCGAGAAGATGACACGTTATGATATTTTTGAACTTAAGACTGGCAAATTCGTAAATGCACCTATTCAAAGACAGAAAACAAGGGTAATACATAGCGACTTCTTGAGGAACAAGGATGGTCTCTGCATCTTCATCGAGACGACATCTTACATCTCGTTACCTAGATGAGAATGTGAGTAGAGCTTATTCCAGAAATACGTCAACATGATCATTATGCGAGTAAAGAGAACGGAATCACCTATGCACTTAGAAACAAGAATGAGTTGATAGGCGCAGAATTCGCACATAAATGACATCTTCGTCAACCGAATGAGTGCCTGTTTCAAGTCCTTATATTTCATTGATCAGTACGTACCCTTCGACAGGCTGACCCAAACCAATTCTCCGATTACAACAAGATATAGGTATCGCATAGTTACCGCCCTGTTTATCGCAGAATTCAGCCACTAAGACCTAAGAATAAATGACACCTGTCCAGACTACATTCTGCCTGCTGAGCCGTCACACCAGGTTATACAAATTGAAGCTGACTTTCGCATTATATCTGCTTAAATGTTCGTGAAGTCAAGTCGGGCAGTACGGTGAGCATAGAATCACTGAGAAATGTCCTGGGAATAAGAATGACTTTTTGCATCAACGCCGAGTCAACAGCTCGAAGCAAGAACACTTTACCACCTGAATGACGTAGATGATAGGATAAGTGTTTTTTAAATGAAACATGTTACGACGCATGAGAAGGTATTTGTCGAGGACGTACCTATCAGAAAGAGTAACATTGCCTGGGGTACCGGAAAAGATTGATATTGTCATCGGATGAGCTGAAACTTGCATGTACGTTGGCGTTGATTTAGCTCCAAAGAATCCGAAGCCCAAATGTTCCAATTTCGCAGCTTGAGGGTGGCAACAGTGAAGCAGATTCGCAACCCTGGATACTAACCCGGGCTGCGCAGCGGAGTAAGCATGTGGACCTGTCAAACCTTGAACTGACACTTCTCGCGGTAGAAGACAGTCTGTGAGCCATGTTCCGACTGAAGTCAGGCATCGAAAACTTGAAACACCAGTACAAACTCACCCGAAAGGACATATTTATCAGGACAGCAAGAAACGTTCCGCACGCAAGGTGAAGTTGATTTGAGAGTGACCTTGAGGTTTAAACGTTGACACGGACATTGAAGGAGGATGGATATGAGCATATTATAAGTCAGTGGTTTCGAATAGAAAAATCAAGCTATGACCTGACCAAAGGGACGTATCGGTCATACATTACTTACTTTCGTGTCATCGGAACTTGAAAGCCGTGGCTTCCAGAGTATTCCGAATGACTGTTGGAATATTCGCACGTTGAAAAGTCTAATATAAATGAAACGCAGGACCATGATCAGTCTTCGACGAATGAGTCGAGAGAGAATGCAGATTGTGAAAACATTACCGTCACCAGCTTCAGTATAACTAGTCATCTTCGGACCATCTGCGAGTGTGGTATTAAATTGTATACCATGAAGAGAACACTAATTCAAGCCGCTATCCTGGTATATGGATGATAGCGACAGCATAAAGGAGATTAGATCTAAGACTGTTGATGTGAGTGCTTGAGCTTGAACGACAGAGTTGAATAGACTCATAACGTCAGAACGTTCAAGCTTCAAGTTGAACTGATCAATGAATGATCGAGATCAGATAGGCAGCTTTAACGCACAACCTGTCTTGGCTTGCCTCCAATGCAGATTTCTTCTCTATCCATCGACGACTCTCAATTGTGCCCTTGCAGACTTGGCAGAGACACCAGCAATATATTGAATTAGCCGATGGACCTGTCGGGAATGTAAACACAGCCTGCATGGTAAGTTTCCTATCCCAAGTCTCCGATTCGCTGAGTTCCCTCACTTAGCTTGCACAGTAGTCAAAAGACTTCTGAGACCCTTCCGTGTACGGCTGAGAAGCAACCGTTGGGAGAGAGACTTTATTTTGAGAGCAGTGGTATGAAGTGGCGGTAGGTACGTCATGCATTTCCGGCATCACATTTGAACTAGTATGAGACAGGTGTATTTTACAAGGGTCATTTCCGCCGATGTAAGTGGCGGAGTTATCATGCAGATTTGTAGCTGGTACATTCTGTACTGATATGCACCCCATGCCTAATGTGTCATTGTGTAGCAACGACGCCTGTGGTTTTCCAGGCTATACTTCAATGTCAATAACATTTTAAATATTTCCGAAGCAGAAGGTTCCCGGCCTGTCCAGAGTCAGACACCGGTGGTGCATCAGCAAGACACATCTGTGAAACTGGGAGGCACTCGTTCATGCATTCGTCGCGCTTTCAGTTCCACCTCTAGATCTTCTCGCTGTCATGTTATTATCAAACCCGCATTTCTATTTAAGGCTACAGACATCTTCCTTTCTCATGACATCTCACATGTACGTCTGTCAATCAGCTTTGTTGCCATGGTTGGTTCGCGTCGTGCCAACCACATTTGCAGGCCTGCGTGTGTCAAGGATTATGCCTATGCGAAGCATGGGTGACTTCTCGGTAAGCCGTGACATATGAAGTTCATAATGTGGGTATCTTGATGTCTCAGCATCTTCAACTAAGCTTGTAGCATGCAATACAACAAGCATATCATTCTCAATCGAAAGGGTAAAAGTTGAGATCTGAGATATTGCTATTACAATATCTCCCCGCTGAGCATTCTTCTGTGATGAGGCTCGTCGTCCCATTTTTCTATGCTATTGTGACAGGTATCGCGACGATAGTCATTCCACCCCTGGTGAGCCCTTGATGATGCAACTGTTTCCGTGTTTCAGTATCTTGAGCTGACTTTCGGTTGAGATCTGCATGTAGCACATAATGTGATTCTGTCGCGACTGGATAAAGTGGGTAAGTCTGATTCGAATAAGGTACATAATGAACTAAAATATTTCAGAAGTGCCGAGCTCCCGTTCGAGAGGGGGATCGTTGTCGTAATGCTGATCAATGCAATCTAGGGTGTGTCATGTCGCATTGTGTGGGTTGCGCCGGAGACTTTCAAGCATTGAGAATTTGAAGCTTGAGCTGTTGACGCTCCCAAGTAGGTACGTCGCTCTGAACTAAGCTGCATTGCTCACTAGTAGGCCGACCTAACACCTGTTCGCATGGCGCAGTTAGAGATTCACTGATGATATCAACTGTGAAGCTATTGTGGCTTCAGCTTCAACAGTTTTCATCTGAACGTAACAGGGACCGGTGTATGCATCGTGAAACATATCGCTTCGAGTGACAGGCGGTATTGAACTGCTTTGCAGATATTTGAGATAAACTTTGCTATCTCACGATGGCTTCCGATGATAGGCTGGCCCACCCACACAGTCAGTCGCCATGCAGACATCACAATCTGAGTGTCGTAATAGTGTTACAGCTGCAATTGCATCTGTTGTCAGGCACTGACTTGCATGTCTGCTTCGAAACCCTTGCGAAGGCTAATATGCTAATTTCGGCTGATATTATTTTTATGTTCCATGGTATTTGAGTCACTAGTCTAAACTTCCGTGATCAATGTTTTCTTCATTTGAGAGCTTTGCAAAGGCTATCATGAGTTTACGAAATGCTTAGTGAGATTCCGATATGAGGTGATCAAATATAAAAAGATGGTCTCTGAGTTGCGAGAATCTTGCATTCTCACTTGCAGTATGTCGGAGACTCAAAGATGCTCACTTGCAACCCTTAGTCTGCTAGCTCGTGTGAACTGTGATAGTATGTATGTCTGAACTTACCTCTAGTATTTCGTATCTGACTCTGTGCAGTCGGAACAACTCTGGACCTCACCAAAAGTCCACCTGGTGTTGATCGGAGAAACCGGATGGGCCAGCGGAATTATGTTCGGGATAACCTGACTCCCATTTTCCGTACGTGACCCTGGTTACCTTCTGACATCTCCGCAATTTCACAGTCAGTTCCAGAACAGAAAGCGGGAATTGCTGGACCTCATTGTCACACCCGGATTCCATGGAAGAGTCCAGAGAAGCTGCTTACCAAATATCATGTCATCCCAATTGGGTCACCTCTTGCCCGGCCATTCACTGATCCAAAAATGCTTACCATGGAGGAACTGTGGATGGTGGTCTGTGCCGTCCACCAGGGAATCTTTACCTTCCGTAGACTTAGTGATGAAGAGCTTGAATTTCTTGAGAGTAAGCATAAGGAAGGTATTGCAAAGGGGACTTACAAGCCTGACTGGAAGAGGAAGCCAAGAGGAGATATTGGGAATTACCGTGGTCGTCGGCCAACAGCTGAGTTTGCTCGGAAGAAGAGGGGTGGGAAGATCTGCAGCCCAAAGATGATCACAACGGAGGAGTAGATGAGATCGACAAGAAATCTAGATCTATTCATATTAGCTTAGTTCGCCAAACAGAATTTTGAAATTTTGATGAGAAAATCTGTCAGTTGTTTGATGTGGCGGGATCGCTTACTGAGAAAGATTCAGTCATGCTGGCCATCCAGAGCAGCTTCCGGAAAATCTGGGGATTTTATGGAGACAGCTCTGGATGGACAAGCAGTAATGCTGCACAGAAAATACAGCATAATAAAAATTAAATCTGCATCTAGAGACAGTCACACCTCAGATATCTAGAATGGCTATGATAGATTTTCGGCATCAATGGGCGGTCGATTGAGCCCATTGTTTCATTGCCGGAAATGGGTTGTTAGGGACGCACGAAATCTCTGATCGGCGAATCAGAGAATCCTTGGGCACAGCCATAGTCCTGGCATGATTTATATCTTGCTGTTGGAGTGCGTCGATTTCCCCCTCTCGTTACGCAGAAATGCTGCCTTTCTTTCGCAATAACTTCTTGGCCGCGATCTCGTCAGGATAAAGCTTAATCGCAGTCAAGCAGTCAGTTTCTTTATATTTTATTTCATCCGGGAGGCAAGCTCACCGATGGCATTAGCGAGGCACCATTCGCGCCCATCCGAGTGACGAGCCTCGACGTGAACATTCGAATTTGAATGTTTGCAAATCTGAGCTCTGTGGATGTCCGATGGAGAGCCCAAGTCCGGTCAAAGCCAAAGCCGGTCGCCGAGGTCCTGGATTGGGAGGTGCTTCGCCGCATTTGGCAAGCGCTGTTCTTGACAGATCTTCTCAACGTTCTGAGCTGCGTTTCGCCCTTTCTTCTCGACCACCACCATCCCTGCTCCTCTCTACGATTGCTGTCGTCCCCGTCCCCCGTTGACTCTCCCGTGTCCCGTTCACATCGTGAACATTGTTGGAAAGAGAAAATCCATGCGGTTCCAACGGTTCCAAGATCATGGGAAATGAGTGAGCGCAGCGGACGCTACGCCTCAATGTGTGAGGTTCGTGATAAATTTACTCAACCTCTACTTTCTTGTGCTGAACTTGCGCCTCCTTTTTTGTGATTTCTAGTGCTGACCGTTTGTCCCGCCGTTATGGTGTGCACTGTTCGAAAGAGGTGGTTGATGCGATCAAGTAGACACCGATATTGTGGAGGGAAATGGGAAGCTATGGTGCGTTATTAAGAGGTTTGTGTCGGTATCTGTGAAATTCGGCATTCCTTCAATAATATTAACCTTTCATTTGTTTGAATTTCAGTTTCAACCAGTTTCCTTGACTCAATCACTCAAACGACGGACTTGAACACACACCGTTGGTGAGTATAATGGTTTCACCTATCGTCATTCGGATTTCATCGTTATTGATGACTTTATTATCTCGCTAGAACTCCGTTGCAGCGAATAATTCGTTCATCCAGAACAAAACATTCGTTCGTACGATAACCTCGATTGTGAAGACCCCATCCGTCCTATGTCGCTGAAGACCTCGCCGTCCATGTCGACCTTACGCCACTCTCCCCTCGTCTCTTATTCCATTCAATTTCAACCATCACCCTCTCGCTCAGCATTGTTGGAAGACTGCTGAGAATCCTCGCACTCCAATTTCTTTTCATCTCTCTGTTTCGACCCTCCCTCTATTTACTCCAGAGTTTTACTCACCAACACTGCGTTGATTATCTGGTGCCATGGTGTTGTTGCTCTCGTCTCCCGTATCTGCACCATCCGGTCTACCATATGACATCTTCTAGACGAGCTCTTCAATGCCGTCAATGTCCGCTCTCAAATACTCGCCAGTGCGAAGACGGAATAAAGTATCTGAATATCTCGTTAGCACGAAAATCTACTTGCACAGGTATGCGCACCTTATCTTCCTTTAATCTGCGTCCCCCGTCACCTCTGCTGATCGCGTATACCTGTCTCTAGGCGTTTCATGACGTTCTTATCTTGTCTACCAATGTTCTACTTTGCATCCTGGATACAAGCGGACTGTGTGACTGCTGGCGACCTCATTCTTTGTCATTCTGGTCACCCCACTACACTTCTCTCACTGACGCTCGGCGAGTGTAGATGGTTCCTCGTTGGCTTGATCCCTATCCACCCCACCTTTTCCTTTATAGCAGACAGCCGAGCCTAATCATCCCTGTACCTGGTTCTCTCCCTCTCGCCTCACCGACTCCGTTCCGCAAGCTTAGGGCAACTAGTCCGATTTGGTTATAACGTGCACCTTGTGCGTTATCATCGTTTCTCGACGCGAAGTGAGCCGAATGCACTTACTGCCATTTCGGTATGCTCCCTTCTCTTTACTACAAACAGCTCGACTTACCGGGACGGCAGAACATGGTGTGCTGGAATCGCGTGAACGTTTGGCGTCTGAGGCACAAGGGCTACATATTGTGGTAAGACCCTATCTCGCTTTCAACTGTTTATAATTTGACCAACCGGCAGGGCTAGCAATAGCGTCATTGGGATAGCGAGTCGGTCACACCCGTCTCAACGAAAGCCTGAGTGTTGTCAATGTGGTCGCTTTCACTTGCACTCGGCCTGTATGGGAGAGAGAAAGAACTCGTCGGAATGGTTGATGGGTTACGAAAGTTGGGTCATCGAGCTAGTTGTCAATTGCTCAAGGTGTTGGTATGTCTGCTTCGCACGTTGCCTCACGTCGTTATCGACTCACCTGTTGACAACCCATTCTCTACCATCTATCTAATGCAGACAACTCCGTTGTCACCCTCAATACATGTCCTCTCCGAACATGCGAAGACGACGATGTAGGCTGCATACCTTTATTTCGTTCTAGGTATGTCTCTCGCATTCGTGCACTGACACTGACTGACCTTCTTTCGTTCCCCCCAGATGGCCCATGTTCGTTTTCACACGAATGGGTAGAAGACTCTCATCTCAACGAATCTGTTCGATCTCGACTGTTTCAGGCGTTTCAGGCGATGGGAGGTGACATGGCATGGGTGGATATGACAAGGTGAGTAGCAGATGTTCACAATTTCTTCATTTACTTATCTATATTTCTGGTCTTTTAGCATTGCCTTTCCCTGTGTCTCCGACATTTGATGGGCATATGAGCTGTGTGTCGCCGCGACCTTGAAGGCTCGTATTGCGGGATTTGGAGCGTTGATCGAATCGTCAGGGTGTTGAACGCTTTCTGACAGCATTCCGCCTACAGACCGTCTTCCATCAATCTCTCCGTTTTCATTTTGATCCGATCAATGCAGGGGATAGCGAGGGTGTCGTTATTGAAGGTTGTGGATGGGGGGATGGGATGCTGATAACATTATTGGTCGCCAGGGTCGCTGGTACGTCGCGTCTTCATGTAATTCAACTATTCAACCTTATTCCGTCTACAGACACTATGATCATCTCGTACCGTATTCTCCCATTCCCCGTCAATTCATCCATGGATCTCCCGTGTGCTTCATCGACATCTGTCCGCCTCGGTCCCGCAACCGTTCTGGACGAACATCCCCTTTCCTCTGAACTCCAGACGCTTCCCGTGATCGTTATCTTGTTGACTCCAATATGGCTCGACGGTCGTTCTTTCCTGGATTGAATCAATGATGGCATGCTTGCTCGGGTGATGGGTTGTCTCAAGGTATGTCTCTTTGATTCATATGGTGGAGTATCAACTGATCTTGATTTCCTTTCATTCTCGCAGATAGCCGTACACTCCGAATCCGAATCTTTACTGAGTTTCAGACGAGTGGAAACAGCTTGACTAGGTGGGTTGTTGAGTCAATCTGTCATTGCTTCTACTTACCTTGTATCTCCCCGTCTTCAATATTTTCCTTCTATGTTCTGTAGAGGAGGGAGGGCATTTCCCTCAGAATTTGAAGTTTCGAGTGTTTGCATTGTGAGATGGGTACGTCGTATTGTTTTATTGGTGCATAATTGTCCACCTACACAGCGTGTATCGTCGTCTGTAGACCAACGCATGTTGTCTCTCGGCGATGCTTGCGTTTACCTCGATCGAGTGTTAGAGACTGTGCTGCGAGTGCATATGATGCCGCGGCTGTTGGTTTGACGGCAAGTACCTTACCTTGATCTCATTGGCAATCTCTGATGTGGTCTCGTAGGGTTCAGCTCACGACGACGACGTCTATAGAAGATTCGTCTTGCACCGTCTCAGCTGTCCATTGATAAGGGGAAGGCAGATCTGGTGCAGTGGACTCCAACCGTGCATGACCGATCATCACTAGACGACCACTGGGAGACGGTGGGTTGGAGAGGTACGTGAGTTAGAGGGTTGTCAGGTTTCGATTCGATCGCAGCCGGTTGATCTTCGAATCGTGTATAGACGTCTTGCGAATGGAGCAAGTATTTCGCAAACCGGGAAAGCTTTCGAGTTCTGCTTTTTGCATCTCGTCTGATGGCTCTGTACACTTGGGTCATTGGTGTAGGCTGGAGTTGGGATCTGAGTGTCATCCTGTAGTCGCATAGCGGTTGAAATACATAGTTTCGTGTGCCATCTGCAGACTCCTCGTCTCGTCTTCCTAGAATCCTCTGTGTTCTTTGCTTGCCAAATCCCCATACTCGAAGCTCACTTCTTTAATCCTCATGTTCTTACCACCTCCCGTGAGTTCTTTACCAGCCAGAACACACTATGTATTACGAGTGCTTTAGTGTTCTTTACTACCCAAAACACACTCTATCTCCACGAATAATCAGGAGACCATCACAAACAACGCGCAGATCGTCCAAACAAATATATTCCCATCTCTTCTAATCCTATGTACACGCGCCAGTGTACTTACCTTGGCAACCATCGTAAACGTCTTCACCCCTAAGATATCCACATCCGCTCCCCGACAACACACCCAATAGATAGCACCACGAAACCAAGAGAACACGAAAAGCGATATGGAAAGGGAGAGGCAGTCAAACAATGGCTACAGCAGCGTGAACGCCCCGCCAGCCATACACAACATCATGGCCATAAACAGGCCAATCAACTGCCCCTTGCTCCCCTCGATCGCCTTCCACCCCGGCATCGCAACCCCATTCGCACTCGGTGGGAACGTCGTCGCAAAGTCGTTCAACGGATTCGGTCCTCCCGATATCGTCACCGTAGGCGCACTGCTCTCTGGCTCCGTGGCTGTCGCATTCGAACTGCTGTCGCCAATCGAAAACCGTGAGGATGTGGTGAACATCACGCCAGACGTCGAGTTTAGGAAGAGTAGGTAGTAGTCGTCTGCCGAGGGCACGTCTTGCAAGAACAGGTTGAATGACCCCGATCCAGCCGGCACTGGAAATGAAAGAACGTCAGTTATCAAGCTCATATTAATGAACAACTGGAAGATTCTGCAAAAAATAAACTACAGACAGCCCGCTTCTCACCAACCTCGTGTATCGAAACGGCGATACACGGCTTCCTCAAAGCATTGCAGGCTAGAAATATCCTACATGTGACTATCGGGTGCTCAGAACAAGAATAAGCCACCCAGTTGCAGGAAGGTACCATACAACGCTCGTCGGCGTTCGGAAATCCACCAGCAACTCTGACGTTGTTTCCAAGTCATAGGAGAGGCTTCCGAAAACCGAACAAGGCCGGTGAACTCTCACAGCACACCCAAACCCACTAGATGTGAAGCAACACCTCGAACGGCATCACCATGGGCTAAAGAAAGCGCTGACATGGGTGCGATCGCGTCACACTGCCACAACACCTTAGAGTTGGGCGTCGATAGGAACAGCATCTACAACGCGAAAATGGAGGGGACGGTGCACTTGGGAAACATCAAACAAAACGCCCCGGCGAAACAGGACTCTCCAGCAACAACGGGGCACTAGTGAGAGCATCAGTCCTAGCAGGACTGACAAACTAGACACTGCAAGCATCTGAGTTGAAGGGCTTGAGATACCGGTAACCTGCCAACTCCACAGGACATCTAAACATTAAGGCATTTTCTCGGCGCTCGAAGCTTTTGCGTAATGGGCGAGGGTGGAAGATCCAGACAAACGCTAGAGCACTCACCATCTCTTGCGACAAGGATAAGACCGTCGACGCTTAACCTCGACATCTCCACATCGAATGCGTCGATGTCATCCAAAAGACCTTTTATCCATGTTATCCGGTTCGCAGCGCCGTTCTGCAGCTGCGTTCCTTGCGTCGGACTCGTGACGATGAAATATGCTATCGAATGCCGTCAGAGGTCGCCGACTTTTGTAAATTGCGTGCTGCTCACAATGTGCATCCGCTAATGAGAGAAGCAACGAGGCAAAGAGCAGAGTGAGGACACCTCTAGGTATGACAGAAAAGAGGTGCATCGTCGTTGTCGTCAAGAGTGATTATAAGCGGGTATACGAGAGATGGTATTGGAAGCACGAGCAAGGCACAGTGGTATATGCACTAGGGGAATATAGCCTCGCCTCAAATGCGGGGAAATCGGCCTGGAAGGAGCAGCAGGCGAGTGTGGTGGTGGTGGTGGTGGTGGTTCTAGATCAAAACGAGCGTTATGGATAAGGTTCTGAGTGAGTGGTAGCGCTGCTGCAGACACAGGACGGGGAATAAGGGAGCGCGGCAGTACTAGACTGAACGTCCGGAGGGCGAGCTGAGGGCGATGTACAACACGAGACGAAGATTGCAAGACGAGACGATGCAAGAAACGATGGCAGAGCAGCTGGGCGGTCCTCTTTCCCCTGCGCGCCTCTTCCCCGCGTGCGTTTCTATTGGCTGCCCCGCGTGTAGCTACCATTTACGGCCGGTTTCACCAGCAGATGTCACTTTGCGCGCCGGCGGTCAACACCTTGTCGTCGTCGTCGTCGTCGAGAGGTTTCCATCAGCCTTCGTCACATCTCGCCGTTGTCCCCGACCACGACCGTGTACAGAGTATATACGCATACAATAATTACTTTCAGGTTTGTGTCCGGAATACTCTACAGCACGTCGGTACACTGCTCAGCGTCACAATCCGCGCCCAATTTACTTCACAAACCCGACACGGATCATTCAAATGGATACACACATAGTCATCATTGCAGTTGTGCAAGACTCTCACAAGCTTTCAGACCTCTTGTCAGTTGCAGTTGTCATAGCATTAAAGCTTAACTTGCACCTGCACTGAAAATATACCGGTCAATCATCTTCTCAGGGTAACTGATATTCAAAAGCTCAATTCTGGCGCACCGAATTCATTATCGCTGGTGATCGGCGTGCGAAGCTCCATGTGTATTAGAAATTTAGACAACGCCGTCGAAACAAATGCGCGGACGGAGGCCGTTCTCTACGTTTGTAGTTTGTAGGCCGTGTCCCGTAAACCCCCGTGGTGGTTCCATTCATAGCAACAATATATAAGTAGTGGAATATGAATCAGTCAGACAGGCAGCGAAGCATCCGTACATTCAAGACTCAACAGGGCCTTAGCAGACATACCTAAAATTCATGTTCCTTACAAACATAGTACGCACCAGCCAGTGCCGACAATCGACAGTATATCAAAGATCTGCAAACCTAAGTACGACGATAAACATATAATGACATTGGCATACTTAGCGTGACTCAAGAGTCCCCAACAAAGGATAACAGACGGTCAGATAAAAATGAATTCAGTTACTCAACCATCATCCACGTTCGCAGTATTTGACTTGACAGTCACCGTAAAGCTTGACGAGGAATAACTGAATTAGTTCAAGCTCACGAATGCGAGAGAACAGAAACATAAGTGACCGCATACACTCATAGACTGCGTTTCATTCTCACCACCGGCTTAGTGCATTTGTAGACCTTTGGTCTGCATAGTCTCACCAGCTAATGCCATATAGGTTAGGGCTGTGTACAGCCAGAGGTTAGATACGTGCTGCTCCTTCAGCGACCTTTGAGCTGGTGTAATAGTCAGTAAAGAAGCGAGTATGGTTTGCAGTGCTGAACCACTGTCTGGGCGCTACAATGAGTGCATACTGATGGTGTGTTGCTACATCCACAATGCGCTCTAAGTATCCAGATAACTGCAAATCGATGCGCGATAAGATCTCATTCCTCCGCAAAATAGGCCGATTCTGACTGCATCTGCAGAAAGGAAAAGAGCAATTTAGTCACACATCCTCAACGAAACAAGTTGCAAACATACCCAGGGCTCGTCTTTGCCAAGCACATACTTCCTCGGAGGCCGTTCCCAACACGCAACCCTCTCCAGCTCCTCTGCGCGTCGCAGTGGGAAAACAATACCCAATTCAAAGTTCGTATTCTGAACTTCGCGTCAAAAACAGTTACACGGATATTGAAAGAGGCAGCTTACGTTTAGAATGGGGTTGAACCCCGAACCAGAGAGCGTCCCCCAAGCCGAAGGTGTAAAGTTATGTGAACCGACATACGCCCATCCAATCACTTTATCTTCTTCCCGCCCTTGAGCATCCACTTCTACAACTTCGTCGTCGCTCTCCGGTTCGGTTTCCGAGTCCGATTGGGGGGCCTTGCCTTTATTCAAAGGACCTGTATCACGGAACGTCGCGATGATCATCTATCATGCATGTCGATCATCAGTCTGTTGTTTTCCAGACGAAGAATGGCGATTTAAATTTGAAAACCACCTTAGAGTGCATCAAGACACCTCCCCTCTTACTCCTCGAATCATGGAACAGATTTCGCGGGAACTTGGCTCCTTCCCATTGGCTTCGTCTGCAGAACATCGTGCCCCCTCCCTACAGTAAACGAACAGTCACAATTGGTCAGTCATTCCACGAAGTCATGCCTTGTACTTACTTGCTCGCCAAGCGCACTGTCCTTCACAGTCTTGTCCGACGGGAACAAAATCTTAATCGGAGGATATGGCAGTTTCGTTCGTCGCGACCTTGGTTGGTCAAGCCACTCCTCCGCCGAGTCTCCCCGAGCGGAACAATAGAACTCATTCACCCATTGCGTCGAATATGTCCCGATCGAGGAACCCTGAATGACGAAATACGGTCAGTCATGACTTACAATGGCGAAGGTGTAACGGACTTGACATTCCAGCACCAGCTCCTTTCCCTTCGGCGTTCGCGCCCCGCTGTCTCGTACAGCTTTCATAAGAGCTACGTGACCTGACTGGAGGACCTGAATACCGTATGCATGAGCGCAAAGCGGACTGAGCGGGACTTGAGATAGACGTATACCTTTGGCCAACCCTCGTGCTTTCCGGCCAGCGAAGGGACAAGGTGAATTTTCACTTTTGAGAAGTCCCATTTACGGCGTAGGTCCTCTAGGCGGCTTATCGGTAAATCAGTATGCTGCTCGAACGATTCGTGTTATTCACACACTCTAATAAGTAGAGAAGTTTACTACTTACGCCATTCTTCACCATCGTGATCAACGCAGGGGCGACATTTAACGAGTGTAGTATCCTCGTCCACGCGGCTGGGAAGTCATTCACTTTTGACTCGTGAGGAGTTGGTCTTGGTCGCAGAAGGACATCTTGAACCCATACGCTCTAGACACACCAGTTTAGGATCCGAGACGCACAATGTTGTTGTCTTACATTCTCAATATCTCGCCAGTCAATCGGCAGCAGGTTCGCTGTCGACACGACAACTCGCAATCGGCCAGTCTTGTAGAATAACTAAATAATGCCTATTCAGTAAGTGCGTATGATGGAATGCGCGAGTTCGCTGCATACCAGCATAAACTACACGCCAGAAAAAATCAGTAAGATAAGGACAAACACGCTGTACACGCTTGCCTTCATATGCATACAGCCACGTCCACCGCGAAGAAATGGTGTCGTCTTGATCCAATTCGGAAGGACTTCCTTCATGGTCTCATTACCCTGGGAGTCTTGGGCAACTATGATCACGGGCGTGCTGGGATTGAAAAAGGAGTACATCCAAGGAAAGTCAACACAATATGCTGAAATGATGGCGAACGAAATCTCGTCTCGCTGAAAGCTATATCAGCTCCAAGTGAAACATACATACAAGGCACTCAACGTACTGGCGCGAGGATATCTGTTAACCTGAAGACCGGTCGGGTATCCTTACTCGGCTCAACATACTTGTTCGCCGTCTGACGTAGCTCTCCGTTCCAAAAGTAAGTGTCCGTAGGTTCCCTTGATTGCGTTCCACTAGTCGTTGCGCGTGGAGCTTTCTCAGTAGTGGGTCGAGTGCTGGAAGAAGGAATGTTGGAATGATATGCAGTAGACGAATTATGCGAAAGTCGTTGCCTCTTTGCACTCCGTCCATTCATGTTCACATTTTCGTCTGTCTCCTCATCTTCATTGTCCAGTTGCGGCTTTGATTGAGCTTCGACAAGGTCAGGACGGAGTCTCTTCTGTCGTTCTAGTCGTTCCCGTTCGAGTTGCGCCCGATCAAATGGGAAAGCATTGCTTGACCGTACTAACATTGATGGTGCTGAGATTGCGGAAGGTGAGATCGTTGGAGATATCGAATCTTGGGGACTGTACGTTCTGGAAGAGCTTGCACTTTGAGCTTTGGAGGCTTCGATTGCCCGTTGTATATTTGATTGGAACTGAACATCTTCCTTATTATCCTCTTCGTCACTTGAGGGAATCTCAATAATCTCCTTAGGTTCCGGCTTTCTATCTGATGTCTCAGATGGTTTGTAGGCCTCCCGTACGCTCAGGGCGAGCGCCCTTGAGAAGAGCATAAATGAGGGGCGGGTTTCCTGCCAACAAATAGACGAACCTTGCGATTTCTTCGTCATCGAAGCCGTCCATCTTCCAGATGCGATGTCCTGCTGATATGCCAGGAGACTACTAGAGGGTCTATGAAGATAAAGAACTATTATTCCCTGAAGTACTAATCGCAGTGTGGGAGGAGGATGTGAACACGCCAAATTCCAATTTACCGCGACGCGTCAACTCACGTGCTGGATCAGTTTGACTCGATATAGGCCGCTGACGAGATCGGTTGTCATTCCTAGCCTTGCCGCGGCGAGCCTTTCACCCTACTAACCCCAAAGACGTCTGCACGCCATGTAGGATTTATGCGCACGAAAAATTCCTAGTGCACTGCAGATAGGGCGGGGGATCGACATGCAAGTCGCTCAACGAAGCATTTCTGATAAGTCCATTCGCCTAACATCTTGAAGTGCTTGTCTCGTGCAGTACGGGATGCTGAGGTCTGCGAAAATGAATTCATGGTACCAGTTGAATTGTCGATTACGATGGGACCAGGACAAATCGCGATTTTGAAAGCATGAATGCATTTACTTAATTCTAGTGTCTTCCCATTCTTGAATATGGCTGGTGTTATTCAGTGGAGTCACTTTGTTGCCCATAACACCAGTCCCGTTATCCACATAAGGGTCCTTTTGTAGATCAGAACAGCTGTAAGTTCACAATGGTCCTAATTTACAGAAGGACTCTGAAGAATCCATCGATGCTTCAGCCTCAACTGAATTTACCGCCGTCAAACGTTGTCGATTTCAAATGATGGGAATCAATCAACTCCGCGATTTCACCACAGTAGACGCCTAAACCTCTGGATTGGGCAGCCGTTCAACATCGTCGCGCATTTTGCACTCGACCTGTTCACGATTTCACTAGGAGTGCGGATTTCTCCAACTCTCCGGCTGCGGTAGAAAAGAGAGCTCGTTCTCTAGGCTCAATCAAATCACAACGTCGAAACTTGGGTCGCGTTTCATACTTTGCCACTTGTGAGTTGAATGTGTCGACTCGCTATTTTAGTATGCAAAGCTAACGGTACGATGGAAATTTTCTTTCAGTGTGGGTCCTGCTTGAAGGCAGTGCAACTGACGAGACTGCAGACGGCTACCTCCGAGTCCGTCCTATATTGTGTCTTGTGTGTCCCGGCCACTGGCCACAGATCTTTGGCCATCGCGTAAACATGCCACATAAATACCAAGGTCACAAAGGGAACATGGTTTCGTTTCACCACATCCACTGGCTTCGAACCCACTACCTGGGAAAAACCTCCTGCTTCTCTGTTCTTATGGCTGACCCTGCCGATGGCCGACTGCCCTTCGACGACGAGGATTTCATTGATGATATCAAGGTAGAGAAACTCTTGTTCGTCGGCAGCGAGGAGTTGCCAGACAAGGGATCTGACAATACTACCGAGCAACGACCTCATGCCGTGTCGTTTCTTGTTCCGCCTGTTCCTGCTTCTGCTTGTACTCTTCGTGGTATTCCCAATGCTCCCGCAAGATTGCTACGTACAGGTAAGGTCTCAATCACCACATATGGCATCGTTATTACAACTCGATTTTGTTCTAGTCGCGTTCACACCGCCAACGCCAATCAAACGTGGACTTTCATCGATAAAAGAGAAGAACGAGTACAAGAATGAAGCCCTGGTCAACTTCCTCAAGAGCGAATACTCTGACAAGATTGACACCGACTATGACATCGAGGACTTTGTTCGTCACGTTTGGAAGTTCGATGCCAAGACGATTCCGACAAAAATAGATTATCAGCTTCGCGCTGATGCTTGCTCGGACTTCTTGGGAGGTCAATACGTGAAGAAGAATGGTAAGATTACGGAGAAGGAAAGGGCGTGTTGCACTCACTTCGTCAAAGTCTTGAGTGGCCTTTTCGGAGCGTTGAGAAAGAACGTCGATCGTGCTCAGCAAGTGATATTGAATGCGTTCTCTGCCAAGTTTATGTTCCTATTTGACCGAACGATAGCGGGCGACTATGCTCACCTGAAGCCAGACATAGGATATACACCGAAGGACTTGAAATTAGATGAGCAGGCGTGGGAGCTTCTTGGACTGTTTGGAGAGATGAAGAAACGATCAGTGCAGACGCATATGGTTCGCGAAAAATACCCGATTGACCTGGGGCAACTCCGAAAGGTATGTAGACAGTGTTCAACTGAATATCATCCTATTGACTGAATGAAACATACATTTAGGTCAGGAGAGGTGCTCGTACTACCAAGAAGATGGCGACAGCGCCAGATAGGAACACTGTAAGTGAATTATCCCCCCCTTTTCTCATCGCATTCTCAACACTGTCTGATTCTGTGATAGACGACACCGCCGACTCATCCGATGGTTACACGTTCTATAGACAAGACTGGCGCGGCCGAAGACGGTTCCAGACGGGTGAGTCTCTTCCCATAGCACTAATTGTTGTCACCACACGTTGAACCATAACAGGCCATTTCCGCCAGATCGACGACAAAACGGAAGTCTCGCGATATAGGCGTCGATCATCATGCGGAGGGACCTGTACAGAAGAAACTTAGAGATTCGGTGCATCCGCACCCAGTCGCGTATGCTAAGAGCAACGAGACACGTATGACGAACACTCAGGCACAGGTCGTGAAGTATCTCAACGAGCTTCTTTCTCATGGTATTCGACAATACTCCACTGGCTTCCTCATCGAAGACACAAAAGTCACACTGTGGTACAGCGATCGCATGGGCATCGTGAAGAGCAAATCGTTTGATTTCATCCTGGAACCCCACTACCTATTGTTGATGGTGGCAGGAATCGCATTTGCCGACCGTCATCGCCTTGGATGTTGTCCACTTATTGAGTGGTCCCCGAGGCACCTATTGGACTACAGGGAAACGACATTGAAGCTCCCTCATGCGCTGGACGCTGAAGACGTGGAACTCAAGGACTTGGAATTCAAACTGGATGTGAACAGGAAGCGCGAGGTGAAGACGGCTTACGGGGCAATTGGACGTGGAACGACGATCGTGCCTCTAAAGGCAAGGGGTGCGGCGGCTGCGCTGTTTGGGTCTGGAAATCTGGTGGCGAAGATGGCTTGGCAACCAGTGAATCGAGTGTGTTTCGAAGACCAAGTTGTGAAAGTTGTGCGAAAGAAGTTACGGGACTCTGGCCAGCCACACTTGAAGAATATGCTGAAGCATATCACAGACCTGAAATGTTCACTGACGTTGAACATGGACGACCCACTGCTCGGCTTGCCTCGAGGGACAATGGAGCTCCCTGACCCATACGAACTTCGACTATTCAAGGTCCTTATCATCGATGAATATCTGCCTCTCCAGTTCGTCGACTCCCTAGATGAGTTCAAAAGGATAATGAGACACGTGGTCGAAGGTGCGCCACTTTTCTTCTTCTTTCTGACGAGCATTTATTTTATAAATCGGTCTAGCTCACTATTGGGTCTACGAGATAGCGGAAGTGCTTCATCGTGACGTCAGCAATGGCAATGTGATGTTCTACCGGCTGAATGACGGGAGCGTGATGGGAGTTCTTTCGGACTGGGATCTTTCAACGAAAAAGGATGGGCAGCTAGTCAAGAATGCTTCTACTGCTCCCGTGGCAATAGACCCGATCGCAGACGCTAGTAGGTCTGACGCTGAAGGCGACATGGACGCGCTACTTACTCAGGTGAGATATCGGACAGGGACAGGACCATTCATGGCGCTGGATCTACTTGTTGCCACTGAGACGCCTCTGCATCTTTACCGACATGATCTGGAGTCATTCTTCTATGTCATGGTCTGGTTTTCCGCGGTCTTTAACCCGAAGACGCACGAACTTGGATATCTGGAAGCTTGGGAGCAATCTTCCTTGAAGGTGATCGGCACGGCAAAAAAAGACTTCCTTAAGGAATCCGATGAGTTTGAACGTATTCTCCGAAACGTGCATCATTCGTTCTTGCCGTTGATATCCTCATGGCTTTCTCCTCTGTATGAAGACTTCGGCGAAACAATACTGGATGCGGTCACCGCTATGGACAAGATTCGGCAACTCCAATCGAAGATTGTCCTCGCACGTAAGAGGCCTGGCCCTAACACAGAGGCGGCTGTATCTGAGCTTGAGAAGCGGATCAAGGAGATGGAGGAGAAGCATGACGGTGCACAATCTGCACTCACCTATGAAAGATTTATGGCTATTCTGGTCAGATAATGGTCTCGTTGCGACCGTTGAGGTTATGTATGTATTATTTCCGCTAGATTATCTGTACATCAGGACGAATTGTGAACATTTACATTGATCTATAACATTTGATAATATTTGTCTGCTCATTCTAGCAATATTCTCGAGGACATTAGCTGGGTGAGGGCGTGAGGCTTGAAGCATGAACTGACATGAATACCTGCATAATCTCCGATTAAGTATTCGCAAAGCATATGTTCGAATGACGGGCCACCTAGGGCGCGCACTGAGCTACAATGACCTTCATAGAAATTGCTATCGATACGCACAATAGTTAAGTTCATGTGCGGAGTCTCTGACTTCCGAACTTGACAGCTTTTGATGTCCTGCCCAAGCCAGCTTTCATTTCGTTCATTTTCTTCAGCCGTTCCCTCAGTGCCAAACTTGCGAACTTCTCATCTTCCGTCAGTTTATCCCCATAAAAGCTCGAAGCCCTCGACATGTCCGAGCCGACCGAAAGAACGGAATATTTTGATGACATTCGCGACTTGAGGATAGGCCGCCGAGACTTCCTGGTCGTCTTCCGAGGTTTCAACATGCTCTTCTTGCGTTCTCCAAGAGTGTCAATAGGAGGCGAATATGACGAGGATTGACGAGACAATGGAGGAGGGATGGAGAGCGATGGCGCATGGTCTCGTTCTGGAGAAGCGCCTTCCGATCCGGAGTACGTACTACTAGCCCGAGACAAGGTGCCAGGTTGAGTGCGAGATCGAGTTTTTATCACTGCCAAAGGAGGTTGTTCTGGGAGAACAACAGAGCCTTCGCCGGACATCCAAGCAGAAAGGTCGTCCCAGTCATCGGAGCCATTGTGGCGCAGAGACCCGAGTCGCACCATGCCGTGTGCATAGTTCGACCTGACGGATGTCGTTGTATTCTTACGCGATGGACTCTCGTCCAACTTCTCGTTTACAGACTCCTCCGAGCGCGTTGAAGAACGGGTATCTCGACGCTCAGGAGCATGTGTGAGGTTGTCCCCAGGTGGATCAGGTGTAGACGAGCCCACAACCACATGGAAAGCGTTAACGATGTTAGATTTCAAAGAAGCAGCCCAACCCTCCGGCATCGCCTTAGGTTGGTGAAGAGACGTCGAGCTCGCTCCAGATGACGGCAAATGGTGTAGACGCTCCGCCACTTTCTCGGATGCATCTCGTTTGGGTGCCCAAGGAACTTCCAGAGCACCTTCACCAAGAGCCAAAAATCTTGGCCGTGAAGCGTGCAACGCAGGGAGGGGTGAGCCGTACTCCGAAGCTGTCTCCTGTCTCGAATTAGCCCGACTAGCCTCATCGCATGACGAGATATCGCCAGGCATATAATTTGTAACTTGCAGACGTCCAAGGTCCGGTGCTAGATCGGGTACGCTTTGGTTTGTATTGATGTGGATGGTGGGATGCGGAATTGTTTGGGAGGGACTCCGAGGTGTTCCATAGGAGCCACCATTTTGATTAAGAGCTTCAGGGTAGGGGAGCTCAAAGAGCCCTCTCGGGGATCGAGTATGTGAACCACCGAGCTTCAACTGAGTAGCGGATTTCTGGTGCCAGTCATGAATTCCATTCTCCAGATGTCTATCATCGCCATCAGAATCCCATGGCCAGTTATCCATTTGTTCCCTTGGTGTTCCGCATTTAGACCGCTTACTACGAATTCGAAAGAGCCAGGCAACTAAGGCGCAGATGATCGCAATAGCAGCTATGACACCAACTACTACTCCGAAATAGAGTGTTGTTATATGGTGCGATGCTACTGCAGCATTGATGGCGGCATGAGTGCTGGAGGACGCTAAAGACATCGTGGATGCAGTAGACGTTCTCATTTGAGCAGTGGCGACTATTGTCTCGGTCGACGTCGTATTGGCTTGGAAGGCCCTGACAGAAGTGGCCGGGACTGTCGATGGCGCAGACCTTAATGACGAGAATGTAGAGAAAGAGTTAGTGGTGAAACGTGTTGATGAAGTTGGGGTAGAAACGAGGGAAGTCCATGCCTGAGATGAACGTTCAAAATAGACAACAACTGATACAATACTGGTAAAGCTTACGACGGGACCAAGACTCTCGGACGGAATGCGAGCGGGAGGCAGGCTGCTCTCAACTGTTGGGTCCGCATGAGGTTCAACGAACTTAGGAACACCTGCAGCAGATATAGCATCAGGGAGAGCGCCAGGAGCAGCATCTGGATCATCGGGTTCAGCGATGATTTGACCTCCAGGGCCAAGAAGAATATTATCGTCAGGCAACGGCTGTGCATTTGGGGTTACAAACACCCTGCGAACAGCGGTCGGACGTCGTCCTGCGACCATAGCGGTAAAAATTAGAAGTAACGACAGCGTAGGAAAACAGAAGGCGCGTCCTGCACGGGAAAGAATGGATACAGAGCGAAAATGCTTAGCATGCAGAGGTGGTGGCGAGTCAAGGCATCAAGCTGACAGCATTTCATCGGCTATTCGCCCCTCATGTACGAATATTGCGATCGAAACTGGTGACTCGTACCTGTCAACCTCTCAACCTGGGTCCACAAATGCTCCCCAAAGACCTACAGCAGTCCAACCAAGATGCCGCAAACATTGGACAGATACGAGAGAGGAGACTTACTACATTACTCAAGTTCTCACTCAGATACTCGGACATGCCAATGGTTCCTGACATCCAAAATACAGCATGTCGCGTCGAGACTCGAGAGAGCCCGTGGCCTGATCGTAAGGATTTAAATGCTATAATTCAAGTAAAGCCCATTCAAGCTTATAAGACGCCGTGAAGATTCTACTTAGCTTGGACTGGAGATCTGTCAATTGAAAAAGAGTGAAGACGAGAGGCGCAGGACGCGAACTCCAAAAGACAGAAGCAGCAGCCGGCAACACCCGTGACCGAATCAATCGATCACCTTATACGGAGGTTGCACTTTAGGCAGCTGTTGTGAAACGGCGGTCCAAGAATGAAAAACATATCAGTCGATTTCCAGTTGCTCAGTGTAATGATGGTATCATCGTTTGAAACTCAAGTTATAGATGAAATAAAATACAACATCCTCTAAACGGCTCCTCATGAAGCATACCACCGCTCCCTGAGTCGCTTTCTTCGAACCATGGGCTTCGTTATGACGATCGCTAAAGCCAGACCAGCTACTGTCAAGACGAGCTGAGCCTTGTTAAAGTTCTCGTTCAGCACATCGAACGTTTTGGATGGTGCGACCCGCGTGAAAAAGAGATCGACGCCGTAACCGAACACCAGCGAGGTCGACTCCAGGAGAGCAGGTGAAGTGATGATCTTGCGAATGCGAGCGACCTAGGAAGACAGTGTGAGATAGGAACAGAATTGTTAAACAATGCCTGCCAAAGAATAGATACCTGGTATCTGTGCGACAGCACTCGTTTGGGATCATCTGGAAGTAGAGGGTCGTATTGAATCAGCCATTCCTCCTGTTCTTCTGCGGTTGGTTTCCGGTTCGGTCTGCGAGGATCGAGGAAGCGACGAGGGAATGACTGCACTTGATGATTGTTACCGGCGACTAGCGAAACGTTGAATTGATTAGTTGCGCAAGATTGTTCAGAACATCGCGCTCACCTAGGATATCCTTGACGGTGATTCCAAACTTTGTGGATGTCGTGGTGATCGTAGAGATGCCTCGAGGGAATACATAGCTCTGTTCATATACAGATATCCTTGTCGTGTCGTTAGAGTAAGCAGACAAGTCCGAGCTATAAAAAGAATATCAGAATGCAGCTGACAGAGGCAATGCCCATACACATACCTGCTCGTCTTGTCATCGACGCCTGATCCTTCATAGAACTCCAAAGAGACCATTCGATAACTCTTCGCCTGGTCCGCATTAGCTGAGCCATCATCGTAATAATGATACACCAGCCAATTCTCTGTGAAAGCGGCCTTTACATCGCAGACACCACCGGCCGCGGGTAAATTTGCATGATACAAAATCGTCCCCTTCGTGCCGTCAATAACGTAGACACCGCAACTGGTTGCAGGACCACTAGGCGTCGACGTGGAAGTCAAAACAACAACAACGCCTGGGTTGAGGTACTTGTAGAGCGTAGTTCGATTCCCCAGGACTTTCCCAAGAGATGCAACTGGTTCATGTGGACGCGTGACAATTGAGCGGACGTCTTCATTAGGAGGCAAACTAGCTGTCCAGATAGGATAAGCGATGTGTCGACCCGTGAACTCCTTTTCCGGCGAGACTTTGTGTCCGCCGAGTCGGTGTGAGCCTGCAGTACCTGTTCGAAGGGGTAGATGAATGGAAGGGGCAACCTTGTGGAAAGAATCTGCATTCTCTGGCGTGTCAGGGAAAAGGTGTACCTGGGCATTATGAGCAATTTATAAACAGCGCTAGCAAGAGAAAACATACCTGCAGGTACTCGTCCAACAAGACGACATATTTGGTAGGTCCGTCTTGGAAGAGATATGCTTCGACAAGGGCGCCAGCGATCACGTCTTGACCTTGCAAAATGTCTTGACCAATCGACGTCCCGCTCACGTCTTCGCCCGTCAGAGCGTCAATATGGAACGCGACCGTGTCCACGAGGCTCTTTAAGACAAATCGTATCAGATGCGCGTACAGACACAATTCGAGGCCAGAAACTCACATTGTCAGCCTTCCTTTGGCCCACAATAACCACTTGAGGTGTATCGCCGTCGCTTACGGTACGAGTCGTAAAGATCTTCAGAGGGAAAATACGTCCGCCAACTTCGGCCGCCCAACCTAGCCCGAAGACTCGACTCCAGATGATCTCACCATTGGCTGAGTCGATACCGAAAACCTTGCCATGACTTGTCGCGGCTACGATGATTTTTCTGAAGCCAAAGGTATCGCGGGAAAGCGGAGATGTGTCATTTGATGCTGGGGCAATGGAAGAAGATGCCGATGCATAAGAGCCCGTTGCGAATCGCTTTGCGAAGTTTATGGCGTATTGTGGGAAGTCCTAGGAATAGTCAGGTCGAAGATGATGTGATAAACACACGAATGGATGACTCACTTGAGCGTCCGCTAGCTGCCGGCGTAATCGAGCACCGAAGGATTCTGTTTCCTCTATCCCAACTTGTGAAGCTACAAGCTGGGGTTCTGGTAGCTCAACCATCTCGGCTACTCTGATATCTGCCAAGCTCTCTTCGCGCGTCCATTGATGCTGGTCTTGTTGCCAAAGCTGGACAGCCCCGGTCGTTGTAGTCAGTACTAATCGTGAAAGAACTCGGAACTCCTCAGGATTAGCGGCGTCGACAGCGACCTTCGAATGAAATGTCAAAGAAGGGAAAGAAATAAAGGTTACAGGCAACTTACATTTGCGATTATGCCATGTTTCTGGGTTTCGAATGGGAAGGTGAACCCTGTCACGAGTCCCTTGCCCTCTGCTAGGTGAGGGGCTAGAACATGTGCAGAAGCTTGCTGTTCAGGCTGTCAGAAAAATGATACAGGTGATCAACAGGAAACTTACCCGGAAGACATGGGACCAGTAAACACGAGCGATGTACGGCCACCCATCCTTGTCTAACCCACCGGCATATGTCGACTCGGTGTATTTTGGCGACTTGACCTTCATAGAAAACAGATTCATCATGGTTCTTGAGCTTATAGAAGAGACACGTACCGAATCCGCAAATTCCCAGAACACTTTCAACGCACCATCCTCTGAAAAACGGATAACCCGCCCACTTCCATCTTCTTTGGTAGCTACAAAGAGCCCCTTCTCTTGAAGACCAATGTCATGGACTTGGAGATACGCGGAACCCTTCTTAATAGTTGGCTTGTCTTTCAATTGAGGTGTAAGGGCGACGGAATGAATCCGAGCTTGCTCCAGCCAAGCCAGCCGGACAGATTTGCCGCGGGTGCCTTCATGGCTTACGACAATGAGCCCTTGTGGGCCATTTATGATGCTCGATGGTACGTCGGCGTCGGAAAGAAGCTCCCCATTGTCTGGCGAAATTGCGGAGACGTGAACTGTGTAAGAAGCGAACGATTTCGCGAGGCCGATCAAATAGATTGCGTCGGACGTCGTGACAACCTTTGAATAGACAACCAGAGAACTATTTCAAATGCTCAGATATGAAAATATCGAAAGATGGCAAGACTCACGTCTGATCAGGCGAAGTCCATCCCCATACGATGTCTCCAGACTTTCCGTTGATACGTCGAAGTGTGTGGCCATTCGTCAAGACGAATGTATCCTTACTCTTGTCTGAGTCGTCGAAAGCAATTGCTACACCCAAGTTCACTGGCTCGAATAGCCGGCCAGAGTCCGCCGAGTGTAAGTGCAATTCATGTAGAAGATGGCCAGAGTTAACATCGAGGATGCGAAATGTTGCGCCGCCAGGTCCAGAAAGCGTGGCGAGTCCTGTCACAAAAGAGGTCTGGTGGAGAAAAGCTGAAACAATAATTGGACGCACGATCGTTGTAGGCCTTGTACCCTACCACGGGGTCCCTATCCTCGAAAAGATACCGCCACGCTACACTTCCATATATATTCGTTGTTTGCTGAATTACTTCGTGGACGACACGTACCTACAGTTCCATTCTCTGGATGTACCGCTCCTATGACATTGTTGCTAGTTGCAGTCAGTACAACACTCCTCGTAGCCCCATGTGCACCCGTCGTTCGATGGAAATCAGGCCTAGTAAGGGGGACTCCGAGGAGAGCTTTGTGCCAGTCTACTACTCCTGCTTCAGATGGATGCAACGCGTATGCAGTCCAGATAGCGAAACTGGCCCAAAGAAACCGTACAATAGTCAACATGAGCCTCAGCTCGCCGTATCTTTAGAGTATACCACCTCTAGTAAGATGTGTTGGGAAAGAACTGAAGAGAGCTAGTGAAGGAGGAGGAAGGTATGGCGGATGATCTACCGTAATTTACACGTTCAGCGATGTAAATAAACCTTTAAGTAGACGCTCGAGGCGAGCCAGCTTCGAAGTACAAGTACTGCTGGTGGATACATGAGGGCTTGATACTCTTTTCTACACAGTACGAAGATCCATCGCTATATGTAAATCTGAACAACTTGCTACTGCACTTTAGATTCTCGCCGAACACTTAAATGTTAACCCTAACCTCCTTGCCAAGTATTAAATGTTTTACACGTCTGCCTATAACTTAAGTGCTGTTATATTTGCGTAATCATGCAGGCTTGCGGCTTACTTCAAAACTTCTTGAGAGCAAAGCGTCACTTTCATCCAGGCATCTGAAAAGATGGAAACATCGACATTCTTTGAGTCTGTGCCGTTGAATGATTCGGACTCAACTTCTGTCCATTCATCAGCCTCTGTCAATTTGGGGGCAAGGTCGGTCTTCAGAAAGTCTTGTACAGTATCATACTTTCACTCATACAGCTCGTACTTCGATAGCGCTACGTCGCCAACATTGAACTTTGATGTTCTCGATTATCTCATGCGAATTATGAATCGGCGTTCGCTACTCAGGATGCTTCGTACTTGTCGAACATTATATGCCTCCGGCATTCCAATACTCCTTGGAGCCCCGATTGTCCCCTCAGCCCGTAATATCAAGGGATTCTGCCATTTTATACTCGCAGACCAGGAGAGATGTGGCGCTCTTATCCGGGACCTTATGCTGTCCAATTGCTATAGGGACACGGAGTGCACCAACGACCTCATTCGAATACTTGGTGTTTCAATTGGATTACGAAGGCTCCATATGTCACATTTGAGCTCCCTTAGTTTGAGTGCCCCGACAGTTCTGGCTACCGCTATAACATTACCGAATGTGCACAAACTCGAACTTAGCGGAATAGACTGTCTTACCCAACCGTTCCTAGAGCGCGCTACAATTCTTGCTAATCATCTCAAACTATTTCACAGCTCTTTAGCTTTCAGTTCTCCTCTTACGGAATTATCCATCCATAGAGCTTGTCTGCACACATTGGCCGTCTGGAAGTTCGAGTTCGGAGGGCCAGGTGTTGCGCCGTTTCCTCATCTACGAGAATTGCGCATGGAGGATATCAATTATGAAGATCTCTCGGCAGAGAGACTGGTCTATGTGTTCCCTAATTTAACCAAACTCAGCATCGACTCTCTATCCCAGCACGATCTACCTCGTCATCGAGAACTTCGCTTAGCCAACCAGCAAGCCCAGCGACGGATGTCGTGGAAAGAGCTTATTCATGTGGAAGGGACACTCCGCGCCCTTCATGCTCTTGGTCTGATGTGTCCTATACGCTGTCTCAAGCCATTGATATCGGATACTAATTGGGAGTTAGGGGAGACGACGAACGAAATATTGCAAACGGTCATATCCGATTGCCGGCCTACTGCATTGGAGGTCACTGTTGGGAACTTGGATGACCTGCAGAAACTTTTGCAGATGCATCCGCATAAGCCTTACCTTACGCATCTATCCCTTGCCTAGGAACTATGGCTTTTGAAGGGAAGCGACGCTGAGGTTGACATTCCTCGCTTTCTGGTGAGTCTCAGCGCCATTCACGTCGGTCACGCCACAATCTTGGTTGAATGATTATTCTACTTATGCAGGACACGTTGTTACATATCGTTGCTCCATTATCGCTCACCTATACGGAGATACAATTCAAGGTTTTTGTGACGATTCCCGCACTTCATGACTCTCTTGCCATACCTCCTCCAACACACATCGCATCTCTACTCGCCGCCACCATCCCTACACTGAAGAGAGCTTTTGTTGGGCTTCCTCGCAATAGACTGGCTTTCGTCAGCGTTTATGAAGATGAGTCCGGACACAGAAGCATTCGTCCAATTGCAGATCTTTCACAGAGACACCATGATTTTCCGTGGAGAAGTTTTCAAGGCTATTGATGGCTAGTCATACGCCCCAGTACGGCTCGTCTTTCCTTACACGGTTGGGCGTGTTTCGGTGACACTTCCAACCTCACTCCTATTAACCTGCCAAAATTTTGTAGAACATTATACCTCGTATGATACACAGAACTTTTGGATTGGCCTAGATCGCGTTTTTGCACATGGTGGCAGTTTATATCCAGCTCAATCTGACCAGGTGCAATCATACAGTAGCGAAGGATTAATCGATTAATGGCCAGGCAAGACCAGGGTGGGATGCTTCTCCACGTGAAGTCGGCAATGTCCGGTCTACAGTTGATCTTGATTCTTGAATGCAACCCCCACTTGAGAAGATTCCTATCATCTCGAGCTCAGTCCTCTTCGACAGATGGACGATATCTTGACCGACGAGATAGACAGCCTCTATGAGTCCCTCTCCGTAGCTGAATCAGACTCGACTGACTCAGGAGCTTCTGCAGGTCAGCAGCAGGAATCATGGTACGCCCCAGATGACTGCATATGTTATCAATTGACGACCATTCTCCTTGACAGCGTTGCCAAAACCGATACAATTCCGATCATGAATTACGACGTACTTCATCAGGTCCTACGCACTCTTGATCGTCGGTCTCTCTTGCGGACGCTCCGTACCTGCCGTGGTTTCTATTCTTTGGGACTTAGAGTACTTCTAGAGTCGCCGATCTTCCTCGATCACCGTAATTTCAAGGGGTTCTGCCGGTTCATTCTCGCCGATAGGGAGAATCGTGGTGCACTAGTACGAGATTTAACACTGCTGGATTGCAGCAGGGCACTGCAAATCAAAGAGTGTGTAATCGATTTCCTTCGGGTCCTGCAGCATGTTACTGCCTTACGGAAACTATGTGTGGCGCAATCAGATAGAGTTGGTTTGAATATTCCGCTTGTGCTGTACAAAATCATCACTCTACCAGGGGTACATGACTTAGAGCTTTTGGGGGTCGGAAGACTTACACAAACGCTCTTGGATGAGGTCACAATCCAAGCGGAAACTTTAGCCTTGCGCTATACATTCACCTTGCGACTCGAGGATGCCCTGATTGCACTGAAACAGCTCTCACGCCACGAATCACGCCTTCGAGCACTCGAAGTCTACTCTCTCCGATTCGATGATCGTGAACTGCGGCCGTTTACTCACCTGCAAGAGCTCTGCATATCTACCATTCCTCACGAGGAGCTCTCCGCGGACCGGCTCATTTATCTCTTTCCAAATCTCTCGACACTGGTTATTATGGACTCGCATTCCAACAGCGATTTTGTCGGCCATGAGGAGATCAGGAATGCGAGCAAAGGGACGACTCAACAGGAGAAGCGATGGTCTGGGTTGACTCGGTTGATGGGTCCAGCCTACGTACTCCATGCACTTGGACTGACATGCACGGTTCGCTGCCTCAAGTTGATATTATCGCATACACCCGCGTTCTTCGAGCATACCGTCAAGGATATCATACAGGACGCGATCACCGATTGTCATCCTACCGCGCTGGAGGTTAGTGTCGGTAGTCTGTCGAAGCTTCAATTGCTATCCAAAATGCAAAAACATACACCATATCTCACACATCTTTCCCTCGAGTACAGTTTTTCTTATTTCAATCAAAATGCATGGGATGAAGAACTCGATCTTGTGGGATTTGTGGTAAGCCTTTAATCTTTTCGAAATTCTCCAACAGATAGTCGAAAGTTCTAAACACGGCGCTCTTCGCAGAATGACCTTTTCAAGATACTCTCCCCCCTTTCTCTCGAATATCTCGAAATTCATTTCGAGGACAGCAGTAGAGATTTCATGCTTAGCGATATCAAGAAGTACCTCCCTCAGGACTACTTGGGCATCGGGACCCCTACGGATTTCATGGCCCGCCTCATGGACACAGTCCCCACCCTGAATACCGCTTATATTGTCATTCCCGGCTGCAAGCCGGCCTTTTTCAGAGTTTCTGACAATGGGTCGGGTCGCAGAATAGCGCTTCCGATCAAGGACATGTCGCAAAGGTATACCGAATTTGCCCGGAGAAATGCCTCTTAAGCATTGACCATACCCGTGCGTTGCACATTATTGCTGATTGAACTTTAGATAGAATTTGGTGACATAAATAGAGCGTTGTCTTAGTTATGCACTACATCTGACGTCAACTGGACAGGCATCTGCGAAGTCTACATCGTTGTAGTTCAGTGTTTCGACGACCGGACTCGATCCATCATGTCGATTACATGCCTATGATGCAATTGGACATAACTTATTGCATCATGAAGGATTTATGTTGACAAACCTACGACAACTACAGTCACTGGCTGCTATGATGTGGGATAACATGGTTGTACGCGCATCATCGGCCGTTGAACACCCCAGCGAACGCAAATCAGGGAGGCGGCCATCCCAATTGGGAAGTGAGCGCTAGTTAGCGTGGGAGCCTCAGAATCTGTTCCGCTGTAATTTCGGGCTAGCACTCTTATGCTCTACAAACGTTTCAGCACCCAAGTCGTCTAGATGAGAATAGCTTCTGGTTGTATTCATTGGAGTCTAGCTTTATAGCGTTGATGCCTTGTTTTTCCAGTTCGAAAGTTCATCCCCATTGGGACCTCCCTACAACCTATGGCGTGCGACGTGTTCTCCAACGCGCAGCGCTGGATGATAATAATTATTCTGCTCGATGGATGTGCGCTTTGAATGCGGGATATCTCGTTGAATCCGTCTCAAGGAACACTCTCCAGGTGTTGTGCATAATAATATCCTTCTCAGGATCGGTGGTGCTAGATCTGGAAGCCAAGTTTGACAGATTGACCCGAGCAACCCAATTGCCAGTATATCTTTAGACCCGCTACTCATGGCAATGATACGGTTTCGTACGTTGACTTACTTTCTCATCTACCTATCTGACACAGACATGGCGAATGTTGTCGACACGAGTTTGTGCACCTCCAATCTGTGTGGTTGGAAGGTCCCTCAGGAGCTTATTGACAGCATAATTGACGAGCTCCACGAGGATGTCGCCGCATTGCGAGCCTGCGCACTAGTCTCAAGTGCCTGGCTTCTTCGCAGCCGCCGGGGTCTTTTCCACTCCCTTACTCTCATTTGCGATGCACATACCAAGGACATTCACGAGTTCATCAGGTTTCTTCGTTCGTCATACCCTGTTGGAGCCTGTGTTCGGCACCTCGATATGCGGTCGTGCAATACTACGTTAAGAGCGGTACATGATCCGTTCGCGCCTCCTCCGCGTTTGGTCCCGCAGGGTACGGTGGCCCTGGAGTGCATAAAGGACGTTGTCGCATTGCTACCTAACCTATTGACTCTGATGCTAGTTGGGCTGAGGTGGCGAGAAGTGTACGAAACACTTGGAATGTTCCACAAGCACAACCTCCAAAAACTCATTATCTCAGACGTGACATCCGAGTTGGTGGACAACGTGCTATCTCCAGCTGCAATTGCGCAGCTTATTGACCTCTTTCCGTTCCTACAAGTGCTGGAGTTGTCCAATATATGGATCATCCATCAACCTTACGCTGCACCTTCCATCGTCACATTCCTCGCCCCAGAGACCTTGATAGTTTCGGATCACCTTCATTTTAAGTACATTTTGATCGAAGCTGTCCGATATCTTCGCATTCTATCGTCTATCGATGGAACCATATCAGCCGTGTTGGATTCGAGGCAATTGCAGCCCTCAAATATAACGACTCTGGAAGTCGGTATGTCTACACATCGTAGATATTTCTGCTGCAACTTAACGACAGACCCTTCAGGCACGAATACCGAATTCCGACTTCCCACAGACGCGAGCACCAAGTTGGCTGCATCTTTACGGTCACATCCCAATCTGCAGACTCTAGTTTTTCGCCCGTACGACGAGGTCAAGTGTGCGGCCAAAAAGGAACCCTTACACCCCAGGCAGATTTTAACGTTCTGTCAAAATGCCTTCGACATAATCACCTGCGGACCTCCGGCCTTGTGTCATGCCATCTTGATTTTATCCGCTGAATACCGCAGGGGTATGCGGGTGCAGCATTGGCCAAATCTGAAGGTCATGGCTGGTCTACCTGCCAACGTACAAGTGCTGGTTTGTGAGGCCGGGAACGCTAAGACGTTTTCTGCTCGTTGCGATTGCGCAACTCAGTGGACTTTGGTGGGACGAGTCGAGCGAGAGGAGGGTGCCGTTGTATTCAGACGAGTAGCTGAAGATTTGACATCCTCAGTCATTGGGGGCTTGGGATGAGGAAGGCGATACTTGTTGCAAATTGGCCTTGTTATATCTAAATGCTAAGTGTGGTTTATTATTATAGTTCAGGTCAGTTTCCACACTACACGAACTTCATGGCTATTCCTTCCGGAGCGGAATCGGCCCGAATGGACGATGAGGAATCCAATTATTAGAAAAGCTCCCAAGCAATGCGGTGGACATTATCTTTGTATTTTAAAAACTGCATACACTGGCGTCCATTTGTCGTTTGGCGAATACGAGGGTATAATGCACAGTATTCTGGCCTCTGGGGCGTAATATCGTAGCATACCGACTGATCTATTGAAGAGCTTCTCCTCTCGATGTATCAGGCGAAGTATAAGAGGATCCCGGAGACATAAGCTCCAATTCCATGGCCTCCTCATCCGGTCTATTATTCCTAGCGAACTCTACAGATGAAACATCTGTTCGATTGTTTTGCATCATGCCATACAGCACCGAATCATATCGAGCCCAAGGATTGGCTGCTTCTCGGATGTTTAGCTGCAAGACAGAAATGAGCTTTGAGCGACTGCCACGAGCATAGAACGCACAAGCATCCTGCATCCGAGAATAGAGTATAGTGCTATATAAAGCCTATAGATGTCGAAGTTAGTCCCCAACCTCTTGTTCCGCTAAATGAGATACCACATACGCAGTGCAAGCGCTGAATATTGAAGGCTGCAAGAATCATAAGTTAGGGAGAAAAAGAAATAAGTTGAGGGCGCAGACTTTTCCGAGAGCATTGATGAGACAATTGACCAGTACTATAGAAAGCGTTCCACCAAAGAATACAATGGAATCCCGCAGGAGGACGTAGATAAGCCATGGCGTTTCCGGCTGATCACGGGCGAGCGCAACGGACTTGTATATCGCGAGCACGAAGATGAAGCACTCGTAAGTCAAGTAAGGCATCCACTGAACCCAGTAAGGCAGAAGGTATGGGTACGGATCAGCAGCGAAGCAACCGGTATACACAGGCGGCAGGCGGAAAGCTTTGTTGAGAATAATGAGTAGGTGAAGCTGATTTTCGGGTGAGTAGATACGTACTCTCTGCACGAATGACCATGATAAGGAGAACTGGACCTTGGAGACCAAAGGACAGTGAGACCGCGGCTCCCATCGCCATGAGTAATTTCCGATTGCAGTTATACATAGCGTAGATACGCAATTGCGAAATGACTATGATGGACGTGAATGATGGAAGAACAGGTATCGAGATTGGATATGAAGGTGACTCACTGGTTGTTGTCAGGCTGGTGCCTGCTGTGGCAAAAACCACATAGAAATACCAGACTCTACATCTACAAAGAAACACGAGCTACACGACAACTCATCCAAATTCTAGTTTCAACACCTACAGCTGTTTGAGGTATTCAGCGAACCACGCTTTGAAGACTGATGTCAACAGAATACATACTCGATCGGGAGGACTGGAAAGTGCTAAGACCACCTATGCAAGAGACATTCAGAAGACCGCCAGAGTTGGGGAAATTGCACACTGACATTATGAATGCTAGACCATGCAGGCGATCAAGATTGAGTATGCGAAAGAATTATCAGAGGGCTGCTCAATTCTAAACCTGACAAAACAAAACAAAAACGAAAAGCTTCGAGAGGTGTTTTTCCGACAATTCGCCAACGGCTTTCACACGTAAAGCCGTGCCTTGAAGCTTTCATTCTGTATACAGCGGTGAAGCCGCTTGTTCTGCTCCTCTCCTTCGCGCGAAACTCATTTGTGAGGTACGAGGAGGCAGATGATCAACAGCCCTTCGACAAGTCTTCAAGTCTTGATAGACGAATGCTCTGACAATCCATCAACGCCTGCCGTTCGTTCAGACGTCCGGTTCCCGTTTTCGTTTTTTTTCCCGTTTCGAAGTCGGTACAATAGTTGAGCAGCACCAGAAGACATCACTTACACCAGATTCACGATTCTGCAATTACGTTAGAAGTGAAGTAAATAGCGAAAATATAACAAGTTAGAACATACGTCCAGTATCGGCTCTGTCAATTGTCGCATGTAAGCATTAAAAAAAGCCAAATGGGAAAGCAGACGCACAACGGCGAACAGAACACGGGTCCACAGGAACTTTCCGTTCCACATCCAGTTCACCTGGGAATGGAAGATCAGTTCGGACTGAAGAGAAGTATATGATTAGAATCGCACCTCATCACCAAATGTTAAGACTTCTCAAGATCCTCATCATTTGGGCTACGATTGAAAGTCATGTGAACAACGACGCACCATAGTCGTAGAGAACAAGTGCCAAAGACAGGACTAGATATCTCTGGCGATTGGAGAATGATCTGAAAGGGAAACAAGTGAAAAGGCTCACTCCAAATCGCTCTTGTTACCCTGATGTCCCACGCTCCTTGTACCACACTTTCCCCTCCCCACTCAGGACCCAAACGGGCCTCAGCATCTGGGTACATTCGCGATATGGCAGAACGACAAAATGCATGTACGCAGCAGTCAGAGCATCCGTCACTGTCGGAAAGAAATGGTCGCAATATATAGCTGGATGTTCCGCGTAGAATTCCATCGCATCACTTGATGGGCTCTAGACTATGCTGCACATGCAACATTAGCTAACATTAGGCACTTGAGCAGATTGCTCGATCTTGATTCAATGATTGTACTTCAAGCGTCCAGCCTGCGGGAGTCGCAGGTTGGGAGATGACACGGAAGTCGCATTCATCACTGGCGACTCGAGCTCAGCAGGGAGGGTGTCACGGTCGTCCAGTATCCTCATCGTACTTCTGAAGTTCAATCTTTAATTCAAAATATCGTATGTGCAGTGCCGTCTGTCTTAGAGAGGCCTGAAGCCATGGTGGCGTAACGATACTCCCAAGTGCCGCATACGCTTAATTATGGTCCTGGGATGTCAGTCCCCGAAGCTGGAATGATCTCGAGTAAAATCACCGTCAAATCACATTGAGACTTGAGGCCTGAGCCTCTATCTCAGTAAGGCTGGATCCAGGCACACGACAAAAAAAAGTTGAGACTCCCCCCATGAAAGCCAAATCACATTACAGTATACAAATTGGTACGAACAGCTTATCCAACATTTGAAGTCCGTCCCTCAAGATTAACCCACAGACGACGCCAAATTTTCTACGAACAGCTTAGTCCAAATCATTCAAGCTGTTCAAGAAAAGTTAGAACATGAGACCAGCCTGCGAGAGCAAAGATACTTACGATAGATCACGCTTCTGATTGCCCGTGAGCGAGTTGAAGAGGTTTAACCCCTCGCTGATGATATTGAACACCCCAGGGAGCTTAAATGCACCGGACTCGTCATCAGTAGCTGCATCCCGAACGAGCACCTCGACCAACTCCCGCTTCTGGTTACCCGTGAGGCTGTTGAAGATGTCCAAGCCATCACTGACGATACCAAGAATACCAGGGAGCTTGAATGCGCCCGATTCATTTTCATCGTCGCCAGCGGCGACGTCTCGAGCAAGCACTTCTACCAACTCCCGCTTCTGGTTCCCAGTCAGGCTGTTAAAAATGTTGAGACCATCGCTGAGGATACCAAGGAAACCGGGCAACTTGAATGCGCCGGATTCCTCATCGTCCGTGTCCGTAGCCACATCACGAGCGAGGACGTCAATGAGCTCCCGCTTTTGGTTGTTAGTGAGGCTGTCGAAGATGTTCAGGCCGTCACCGATGATGTTAAAAATTCCAGGGAGTTTGAACGCTCCGGACTGGTCATCAGAGCTGGAGTTCTCTTGCAAATCGCGAGCAACATTCTGCTGGCTGTTGGGTGCAGTGCCGAGTGTGCCAAAGTCACCGTTGCCGTTAGGTGCGGTGCCCAGAGTTCCGGCGCTGTTAGGGACGATGTCGATGCTATCGAAGGAAGGTTCACGAGCGAGGATCAAGGATAGCTCGCGCTTCTGGTTTCCAGTAAGGGAATTGAAGATGTTGAGACCATCGCTGAGAATACCGAGAATGCCTGGGAGCTTGAAAGCACCGGATTCGTCGTCATCGGCATTGGCAGTATCGGCATCACGAGCGAGGATATCAGCGAGTTCACGCTTCTGGTTACCCGTCAGGGAGTTGAAGATGTTCAACCCGTCGCCGATGATACCAAGGATACCAGGGAGCTTGAACGCGCCAGATTGATCGTCATCGGTGGTGACATCGGCGGCATCACGAGCAAGGACATCCACAAGCTCTCGCTTTTGGTTGTTCGTGAGGCTGTCGAAAATGTTGAGTCCATCGTTGAGTGCGCCGAAGAGACCGCTAAGCTTCAAAGCGCCGGACTGGTCGTCAACAGCGGTGGTATCGCGGGCAAAGGCGTAAGAAGGACCACTATATCAATGATAAAGTTCAGACAAAGTTGTACAGCATATCAGACTAGTCCAACTCACCCTGCGGGGTAGGCAAAAGCCGGAGCGGCGGCTGCAGCGAAAGCGAGCAAGGCAGTAGCGGTGGCAGTAGAGTACATGATGTTGAAATCGTGTGAGGGAGAGAAAAAAGAAAGTATTAGGTGGTAGACGATGTCGTTCCAAGTCGTAAAGGATTACTGAAATGCGAAATAAAGAACAAAGATCAGGCTGAGGGAAAGCCATACATCAATACTACTATGGCAAAGAGGCAAGAAGGCAACTCACCGACCAGCACCAAAATCTCAAATGGATGGCTCGAAAGGGAAGAGGGGAGCTAAAGAACCTCTGACGCAGGGCTCCTCATATTTATAGCTTCGGGCATGATCTTTGCCTGTGAAGAAAGGTACCCACCAGTCTCTCCAGAGCAGCTTGCCGTCTCGGACAACAGATGGATTTTTGCATTGTCCCACCAAAAAAAGATTCCAAAGCGTGAGGCACTGCTGGAACATCCGATGGACGGGTATTCCTATGCCGATAATTGGTGGTTTCCTTGCAAACGTTGGCTCAGAGCGATGAAGAACATACGTAACTCTATTGGCTTACTAAACCCAAACGTTAGCAGCGAACGCCATTGTTCAAAATCGCTATGTAGCAGCGAAGCGGGGACTTGTGCATCGTCAGAAGAGACCTCGATGGAGAAACGTACTCCAACGTGCATCAACACGACGTCCTGAGGTCACTCTGCCATGCCACAGAACGCACAATGCAAGACATGCTTCTGAGATGGGCAAACGGCCTTGGGTGTGAGTGACCATGCAGCCACAACATCAGACGCGTTGCATCATTTCACGGTGTCATTCGGAGCGCCTTTGCGACAGATTTGCAAACTCGTCGGTGAAACAATACCCTGAGTCAATTTGTGATCAGCCTGGACTCTGAACGTGAACAGATCTGGAACAGTCAGGAGCATCAACGATACAGCCAAACTACCAACTAAATATGATTATCCATCGGCTTGTATATGTTGACCTATGATAGAGTGAGAGTGGTGAGCTATGGTCTCAGTGATGATATTCAGGGGAGATTTGCCAATTGCGAAGATTTGGTTGAAGGCGGATTTCGATAATTCATTGGGATACTCTAGTTCTGGGCGCTAAGCCGTACAAAACAAAATCATTCTTCTGAAGTGGAGCATGCACAAATACATGTCTTGCATAACGCGACGCACCTATATTGCATTAGAGCTCCGGAAACGCACTTACCAGGCTTGAGGTCGACCGCTCTACAGGGCAACATGTTGTGACAAGGTACCGAGTTACCAACGTTCAGCTTCAACAAGCTCCCATGTTCGCGGTTAAAAATACAGACGTGTCCGCCATTCCGATATCCCCATGACGGATACGCTTCGGTCTCGAGACCAGTCAGCCAGGACTTCGCGAAACGTTGAGATTGTCCAACTCGGGACGGGCCTTGGGGCTCCAAGTGCCGCTATATACAAATATGCTAGAAGACGTAGTCAGTGTTCAGCGAAGACTCACAATATGTACTCGGGACGCAGGGGAGAGAAACAAGAGTTTGCATATCATCTGAGTTAAGTCGAGTTTGAAGTGAGCTAACCAGTATGCGACAACCGAGGACAGAATATGCCGATGGTTCGGCCTCCAACCATCTCAATGCCTAGGTGTACTCTTCCGCATGTTTGTGGTGTTTATCAGAGAAAGCGATGATTGGATGTCATTGGACTCTTCACTGCCGTCAAGATCTGATTTGACAACAAGCCTTTTGAGGCACCCATAGCTAGCTTGACGCTTCTGAAGCGCTCCGTACAAGGGTAGGTCGCTCCGGGCCACTTCGCTGCCCGTCGGAGTCCAGTCCGCATGGTCAACGACCAGTGTACGCAGGGAAGGAAGAATAAATGGGCATGAGGCCTGCGCGGCTTCAGATATCGGAGTATCGTCGCCGTCGCCATTCCGGACTTCATGCAGAAGGAACGCTGACAACTCATCAATGTGCAATCCGCGTACAGCTAGGGTATGAATTAAGGGCATCGAATAAACGAACCTGAGAAGGGGAAGATACGGGCGCATGTGGAGAGACGCTAGACTATGGATAGAAAGAGAACGAACTTCATTCAAGGTGAAGTTGCGTCGCATCATTCCTAGTAGGAATTCATGAGTTGTCTGCTCTGTATCGATGTGAAGTCCTACGGTCACGGTGCCGTGCCACAAGCTGGACCAGTGTCAGACGAATGACCCGTCGGAGCCGCGGCCCGTCGCTTACTCGAGTCAAATGGTGTAGCTATAAATAGCTTGAAGAGTCAAGTCGATGATATATATAAGTCCGATGTCCTTAAGGGTTGCGAGCCTCCAAAGTCTCAGTCAACCCTCGCGAATATTATTTCATATTACTCATATTACTCGTATCTATACGAAAAGGACATTCTACGGTAACACCAATTGCAGTCTCATGAGCGAGGTTCGTAAAATCGGTATCAATCTTATTGAAGCATTGTTTACAGTTACGGTCGTGTACTATCAGCAAGGACAATCGCACGCTGCTTCTGTTAACGCTAATTTCATTCATACACCTAGTCTAGCCGACAACAATCTCCGCAACATCATTCACCCTAGAGATCCTACATGTAGCCGTCTACAACTTCCAGTAGGAGACAAAGTCGGCCTGACCAAGACAGGCGTACATTATTGTCGTCTCCCTCCCGGAACGACAAGTACCGCTCTTCATTGGCATTCCCATGAAGATGAATGGGCCTACATTGTCGACGCTGGCTGGGACTGCTTTCTTCTTACTCATGACGAGGGCACGAATGAGACGAAGGAAGTTCCTCTGACCACTGGAGACTTCCTTGGATTCCCTGCTGGTACCAAAGCAGCCCATGGATTCAGGACGGGCAAAGGTTCCCTCGTTTACCTCATGGGTGGAAGCAGAGAATCTATGGACATATGTCATTATCCTGAAATCGGCCAGCGTTTGATTGTTGATCGAAGTGGGGAAAATTGGCTCGTTGATGAACGACATGTCAAAACGCAAGGTTGAATTGGGTACGTCCTACGAGCATCAGCTCTTCAGCACCCTCTAAAAGATATATAACTACAAAGACAGGAATCTACACCGTATATACTTACATCGATATCTGATTGATCTGATCCGGCGCTTCGTCAAATCTTCCGGGCCAAATGTAGTAAGTTTATTTATTATGTAGTCCTTTCTACAGGCTCCCCTTCATCTGTCCTAAATGTACAAAATAGACAAGAACGAACCAAGGATAGACATGGAAGTACTGCCGTCTCGTAGGGAAATACCGACATTATACCCACGTGTGATTCTGAAGGACAACGCTTTACGTACGAACCATGACCTCTTAATACTGATACGAACAAGCATCCCACGTCCTTTCAGGCTCTCTCCATCGCTGCGCAAGGTAAGCCCGTGCTATGTCGAGCACGAATGCGAAGAGCTCAGAATTGTTCCTTAGCATGGCGTACTGCGATCGCTGCGATCGTTACTTCAATTCTGGAGGTGCTTTGGGGCAGCACCAACAGAACTCCAGCGCGCATCATATCTGCGACGATTGTGACAGAGACTTCACGATCGCTGCAGGCCTCATCTCGCATTATGTGAATAGTTCTGCACATCACTATTGTGAGAGCTGTGAATTGGATTTCGATGATGAGGACGATCTCGAAGATCATTACGAAGAGGACCACTGCTACTGTGGTCCGTGTGGCCGTGTGGGTCTTTCACCAGAATATTCTGAATTATATTTACCTCAGTACTCACTCATCCTCCAGTTCTTCAGTAGTGAACAGGCTCTTGATAGCCACAACCGCGAGAAACACCGTTTATACTGCAAGCCTTGCGAACGCACTTTCCAGAGCCAGAACAGCTTGGATAATCACTTGCGATCCTCGATTCACCAATCACGCCGAATCAAGTGTCCTGGTCGTCACTGCTCGGCCTCTTTTGTGACCGAAGCCGGTCTCGTCCAGCATTGCGAGTCAGGTGCTTGTCCTTCTGGTGTAACTCGTCAAGCCGTCAACAGGGCCATTCTCGCAATAGATCGAGGAAACATCATCACAAACCCTTCTAAGCTAATCGGTTACTCTTCATCTTCAGTCACTAAAACCTGGGCGACAGATCGATCGTGGAACGGCGATGGCTTTGAATGCTTTTTATGCCATAAGGAGTTCAAAAAGCTTAGTGGTCTAAACATGCACCTAAAGGGCCCTGCTCATGAGCAGGACATCTACAAATGCCCCCCGGATTGGGAGGGATGCAGGGCAGAGTTCAAGACGTTGAGTGGTTTAATGCAGCATGTAGAGAGTGGGTGTTGCGGAGTGAAGAGGTTCAAGAAGCGATTGAGGAATGCGGTTGATGAGATGACGAGTACGATGAGGATGTTGACGTTCTGAATATCCTCAACTCGTCCGGAAGCTTTTGATGGGGAACCATGTGTTGTTGCGGTCGCATTTTTTAACATTTTTCTTGGCAGAATCATTTCATGTGCATTTGCACGGGCGTTTTACCAGGCATGCATCATGTCTCGGTTGTACTATTCACGACACTTGCAATGTATAGTAGTACCAAGTCTCCGGATATACCAACATTGAACTGTTTTCCATCTCGGTTATCATCGAACACAGTGAAGCTGTACGTCTCGTCTAGATTCAAGAATCGAAGGATGGTCTTCTTTGAAATTCAAAAACCACTATTGATACATGAAAGTCATCCAATTCGTAACGAGAGCATAATTCGCAAAAAGACGTTAATCACAACACATATCGGAAGTCCCGATTTTGTATATCCGTCAAGTCGAGGTATTCCTGCAAAAAGCGCCATGAACCGTCAGTCTCCGAGTAAAACTACTGTGAAGTGACGAGAGAAACGCACCTTGTCAATTTTCTTCTGCACCGTCTTCCCATCGGCGTCTACTACTTCAATATATACATCATCGTAGGTGTCATCAGCAGGCTCGCTATCGCGACGCTTGTTCTCCCTTCTCAAAAGGAAACGGATGACTAGCAGGATGACAGGGCAGATCACGTAGCAGATGCCGATGATGATCCAAGGGATGTGGTTTCTACACGTTCGGAAAAGTCAGAAATGAATATGAGTTGAAGGGGAGGTGAAAGGGAAGAATGCATGCGTACCGAGGCTTGTACTGAGCTTGCCACATAAACGGTCCTGCAGAATTACCGATGCAGTAGGCGATGAGCATGATCGCGTTCACGGTCACTCGCTTTGTGTGGCCAGCAGTGACGTTTGAGAGCCAAGATAGAGAGAGGACAAAACCAGTCGTGCCCACACCTGAAAATGATCGCCATTAATGTTAGACAGATTACAACTCGATGCGAAACACATGACGCACCCGTCAACCATACACTGAAAAGCAATCCAATCTTGTTCTCCCAGGGAAGGAAGTTCACCAAGAAAACACCGAGAATGTTCGGTATGAAATAGATAACGCCAACATAGGCGATCGAGTTCTTCAACCGAGATGCAAGTTGAACCCCAGTGAAGATGGTCACAATCTCGATAACACCATCGACACAACCAAGCAGGGTAGTTTGAAGAGGCGTGAAGCCGAATGAAGAGACGATGATTTGACGTTGGTTGGTAAGTGAGTTGGGAACATTGTCCAGAGCAGAAAAGAGTGCGAAGAGCCAGGTCTTTGGATCTGCGAGGGTTTCATAGAACCTGTAAAGACAGATGAAGCTAAGGATCGAGTAGAGACGGTCGGAAGACTTACTGCTCCATCTTGAAGTGCTTGTTCTCCACACCCGTTTGATTATCCTGCGAGGAATAAGTCAACAGCTGGAGAGAGTTACTGGTTCACCGACCTTGATGCGTGCTACGGCCTTGACACGCTCGTCATGGGTCAAGAACCATGCGTTCGTAGGCGAATCGGGGAACAAGAACCTGACAAAAATCGAATATATCAGCTTCCCAAAATAACCTAATACAGTTAGAAAGCATACCAATAGGCAAGCGCAGTGGCCAACGTTATTGTTCCAGTGATGATCATCAACCTATATCGAATAAGGATGAACGACCGGTAGAGCAAGAGGATTGAAGTAAAAGTACCATTGCCAAGACTCGAAACCCTCTGTCTTGATGTGTAGAGTTCCAAAGCTGATGAACCCCGAGATGATTTGTGCTGAACGAAAATGATTCGAACTTAGCACTAAGCACATCATATTGTCATGAATCGAACTAACCTGTGCCATTCATCAGGACTTAGGTCTCGTTGTAAGCATCAGACCAATCAAGCAATGGCGAGAAAACACTTACACCAGTACCCGACCCTAAGCGTCTGTTCCTTTCGCGTGTAGAACATGGCGCTCACGATCATGAACCCAGCCGTAATACTACCTTCGCACATTCCGAGTATAAGACGGACGGCGAAAAGCCCACCAAAGCTTTTACAAGCTGCGTGTGAACATAACGCGACTGCCCAGACGAATATGTTGATACTATCGGAGCATGAAGATTCAGTTCAGGGAAATGTGAAGAGAAAATGGACAATCGTACCTCATCCATCTCCCGACTGGGAACCGCTGAAGAGCTAGGTTCTGCGGGTACTCGAAGACGAGGTAGCTCAGGTAGAAGATAGTTCCTAGCCTGATTAACCGAAATCGTGAGATAAGCGCTATAGGTAATGAGGAGGGACCTACCAGTTATACTGATTTGTCGTGAGATGCGCGGATTCCCTAGGAGTATATTATGAGACCATTGCACTCTGAACGTACGTACGTAAGAAGACCTACCGAATACCCAAGATAGCTGAGCTTCCCAACGTCGTCTTATCCATGAACTGTACCCAGTAAAGTACTATTTACGTTTAGGTGAGGACTGATGCTAGCCATAGAAAAAGTGAATCAAAGCACTCACTGCACATCAGTGGTAGGATGTGCCAATCAATCTTCCTGCGTATCCTCTCCGCTTCTGCATGGTCTAACTCGACCACACCACCCGCAACAAGCTGAGCTCCAGTATCGACTTGGTCTTTGCGAAATTCGAGGTGAGACCGATCTGCGGAGGCTACATTGATATCGAGGGAATGCTTCTCGTCAAGTGAAGGGTCTTTCGAGTCGCCTTCGAAAGCTCGTGTGCCGGTCATCTTGTCGACTCGGCCAGGAAGCACAAGGTACAGCAGGGACAGAAAGAAGCCTGGGTACGCGATTACATTGATAGATGTGCACGCAATATATATACGTGCCTGCTCCAAAAGCGGAGCCGGGTCCGGCTGCTATTGGCCATACTTACGAGGAGATAAGGGGATTGTGCGCGGTCCATCAATGCCATACAAGTCAACCAGCTCACAGCTCGGTATCGTCCTTCGACGGAGAGTGCAGATATGTTACCAGCGCTTTTGAACTAGCATCCGGGTGAACGACAGCCCCTACAAGATTGCGTTCAGTATCTGGTTAGTATATTGTGGGACGAGATAAGTCGGAAACATCGAGGAAATAGCGATTCGAAGTGTTGTCTAGTGTTGCCCTGGCAGACCGGATGAAACATTCTTGACAGCTGTTATGGAGTGTTCATGGAGGGATCAGAAGCGAAAAGGTTGATGGGGTCTTCAATGAGATAGCGCAATTGTGGGAACGCGTGACGACACTGCGACATAACTCGTATCGGACTGGCCAGGACACAGACGAGATATTGATCGGGGCATCTCACTCACCTTAGAGCAGATTATGCTGCCAAGCTCATGAACTAGATACGATAGCGGTCTGGTGGCGAGCTCCAAAAACAATCTGTGGAGTTATCGTATGTGCACTCCGTTCAAGTCGGACGTTTGCATAATCCTCGCTAGAAAAATGATTGTGCTTGACCCTTTCTTCCAGCAAGATACCCTCTGTGACGGTATTGGAGACTCTGTTGAAGACTCGAGTTCGTCGCATAGGTGGGTACACTGGGGGACCCCAAAGACTTCCAAGCTTCGATGTCTTCTAAAATTGAACAAACAGAGTGGATGACTACATGGACTATACGACATATTCGCAAATATAAACCTGAACCGAGAGAAGCATCTTCTAGAGAGGTACAAGATAATGGAGGAGGATGAAAATTCGAACATGGCATTTTCCGGGACCTGATTGAGAGGGCGCCTGTTATGGTGGCACTCCTCAACGTTCAATTCAACGCTAACCACTGATAAGTACTGTACGTGGTCAGAAATCATAGCGTCGCCGCTCCTTGACGTTAGGTATCTTCAGATTTGAGATATCTGTTCCCCCTTGAGTACTCACGACGTCAAATCTGATACAGGTAAAACGGTTTCCTGCTATCGCTACGATACAGGCAATGCCGAGCGATTCGAGTCCTCGTATCTCGTCTCTACCACCGGAACTTCTCATCGAGATCTTTTTGTGTCATATCGACCTTCTACTCAAGTCCTTTCATGAATGGGACAGTCGACCAGCATTTTGGTTTGTTGTGACCCATGTCTGTCGCTATTGGCGTGATCTCGCGCTGGCTTGCCCACAGCTATGGACGCTCATTTTTGCGAGGGATCGTTTAGAATGTATCTCTGCGGTGTTGGAACGCTCTGGAGACATGCCTTTGGACGTTCATCACTCAGATTCGGACAAATCGTGCCTACATGCAACACTCGAAGCGCTTCACCGCATCCGTACGCTGATCGTACACTTGACCGACAATCAGTACACCGAGTTCATGCATATCCTTCCGCGTCCAGCACCTCTTTTGCGACGTCTTTCAATTAATACTTATATGATCCAGACTGATCCTCCTCGAGCTGAGCATGTTCTCTCGTTCCTCAACGATGTCCCTGCATTACAGGATCTGTCAACAAACCTATATTTTAACGAGTTTCGACATCTTCTCCCCCCCAGCTTGACCCGGTTGGAAATTCCGATTGCTCCTGGATTTATGTCTCAAGTGCTGGAATGTCTGTTCTCGTTACCGCTCCTGAATGACCTATTACTCCGTATGGGCGATTCATTCGATGCGACGTATAATGGTCGCCCCGTTTCGCTCTCTCACCTACGGCGCCTTGAAATATCAGGTAGCTCAGTAAACCTCGTTCATATCCTTTCCCACCTCGAATTCCCATCCTACATCTCCATTCACGCCAATCACATTCCGCCCCATGAACAGTGGCAAATACAAGCGGATCTTCTCGCAATCATTGGGAGGAAGTACTATGGGTCTGCACCGTCTGCGTCCCAACCTGCCTTTGACCATACGTTCCACATCTATGAATATTGGCTTACCTTTGTCATTGAAGCATGGCCCTATGGTCCCCACATCAGCACACTTGCCGAATCCTCCATGCCTCAGCCTCACCTCTTCATACAGCTTTCGAGCGCCAACTCCAAATTCCTCTTGCCAGCAATTCAGTTGCATATGCGCCTTCCGGACGTGCAATATATGATTCTTCCGGCTCCTGATGGGGAGCCTAGACGATTCATAAGTTTCCTGAACAATATCATCCCTTATCTCGACAATATGCCGAACCTTCGATGGTTGACTGTGCAATGTTGGCACGTCTCGTGGCTCGCTACATTGCTACAGTGCCAATCTAGCGAAGATTGTCGCTTCCCCAACCTCAAACTCCTTGGCATGGATGCCCTTTCCTGGACTAGATACTACCCATCCAATGTAGGACCTGCGGAGGAAATCATAGCTGGTCCGCGCCCGCTCTTCTCTGCGCTAGAGAGTCGCAAGAAGATAGGGCGTCCTATCGAACTGCTATCATTACAATATTGCATCGACGTACAGGAGGATATCGGACAACTGAAAGAGGTAGTAACAACGCTAGACTGGGATGGGTTGTTGGAACCCTGCCCTGACACCAGTATTTAGCGGAAACGAAAAGGGGATATGAAGATTACTTCGAGTCGTTTGTACAACCAATAGCAGGTGAGTCATGTTATACCCTAGTGTTACAGACTCCGACCGCAAGTCTAGAGAGGAAACAATGCACGCAACATATACCATCACCTCCGATATCAATGTGTGTGTATATGGTTCAGGGGAATATAGATTCTCGTCTTTGTATTTATGTATCGATTAGAGGGTGCTGAAGAGCTGATGTTCGTAGGACGTACCCAATTCAACCTTGCGTTTTGACATGCTGTTCGTCAACGAGCCAATTTTCCCCATTTCGATCAATGATCAAACGCTGGCCGATTTCAGGATAATGACATATGTCCATAGACTCTCTGCTTCCACCCATGAGGTAAACGAGGGAATCTTTGCCCGTCCTAAATCCATGAGCTACCTTTGTACCAGCAGGGAATGCAAGGAAGTCTCCAGTGGTCAGAGGAACTTCCTTCGTCTCATTCGTGCCCTCGTCATGAGTAAGAAGAAAGCAGTCCCGGCCAGCGTCGACAATGTAGGCCCATTCATCTTCATGTGAATGCCAATGAAGAGCGGTACTTGTCGTTCCCGGAGGGAGACGGCAATAATGTACGCCTGTCTTGGTAAGGCCTACTTTGTCTCCTACTGGGAGTTGCAGACGGCTGCAAGTAGGATCTCTAGGGTGAATGATGTTGCGGAGATTGTTGTCGGCTAGACTAGGTGTATGTATGACGTTCGCATTAACAGAAGCAGCGTGCAATTGTCCTTGCTGATAGTACACGACCGTAAGTGTAAACAATGCTTCAATATGATTGGTAGCGGTTTTACGAACCTCGCTCATGAGACTGTAGTTGGTGTTACCGTGTAACGTCCTTTCTCGTATAGGTACGAGTACTATGAAATAATCGCGAGGGTTGGGGGCTCGCAGTCCTTGGGGACATTGGATTTATATGATATCGAACATCATGAACTTAGCTCTCAAGCTGTTTATAGCTACAGCATTTGACTCGAGTAAGCGACGGGCCGCGGCTCCGATGGCCGGTTATTCGTCTGACACTGGTCCAGCCTGTGGCACGGATGTGTCTTAAGCAAAGCCCTTAGCCGTTAACCTATTCGTTGGGAATTTCACTTGACGGTTGAAAGGTATACTTCACATTGAGGTGGCTGATGGATACTAACAGCTCTTTCATCGTATATGTAGGCAACATGAAGAACGTAATTACTCGTGATTCCGATGCGCTCGCGATGACGACTCGGAGTCGATTACATATCAACCAACTGCCTGAAGAGCTGCTCCGGGGCGTCTTCTTGCGCCATGTATCCCGGTGCCGCGGTGGATGGTCCAAGTTTCGGTCAAATAATAAACGAAAGCCCTACCATTGGCTTCGTATCACGTTTGTTTGCCGACACTGGCGGATAACAGCACTGGAGATGCCAGTGATATGGACGCATATTGTTACGACGCATCCAGTCGAGTGTATTCAAACAATGTTGGAACGCTCTCGGCCTCTACCCATCACCGTAAATCCTTCCTTGTCCGACCTGTCAGATCGGGCTACTCGAGAAATGTCATTCACGGTGGCAAGGCTGATATTGGAAGAATTATACAGAATTCAAGACCTGGAGTTCGAGTTTCGTGAGGCTGATATCATTGAAGTATTTAATAACCGACCACCATCACAACTCATCCTCAAGAGGCTAAATCTCTCTTGTGACCTATCACCTCATCGGCTTTCTCAGCCTTCTTTCGAGTCCCTGCGCCATTCTTCACATTTAACACACCTCACCCTGAACATCACCAGCTGGGATCAAGCCAAATTATTATTCTGTCCCACTATGCAAGTTCTCGATCTCACCTTGGCCGACTACGTTGCAGCGCCGCGTATGTTGGAGGCATTGAATTTGATGCCCTTCTTAACTCAGTTCAAGATTGATCACGAAGGTGCTATGCCGAACGTGATAGAAGCACTATCGGAGACAAGGTCAATTGTGTATCTTCCAAGATTGGAATGTTACGACTTTACCGGAATGATCGAGGATTGCAATTGGTTGCTCAACCATCTGTCCTTCCCACCTTCGGCACGGATTTATGTGGACGTCGCGCCGTATTCCACCCAAACCGCTACTGCGACGGAAGGACTCACATCCTCCATCGCCTCCAAACTCTATCCTTCTCGATCAAACTCGCATACCAATAATGAATTGCCATTGTTGACATTTGCTATCGAGCAAAGCGTTATAGTGCCTTGTGTCGAAATACTTGGTTGGAGAAGCGTCCACACGGAAGGCGTCTTTCTCGATCAAGAGCTACGAACGCGATCCTCCTTTCACGAACCCACCGTAGGACTTCACATCGATACAGAGCGGACATCTCATGAATTCCTACTGGAAATGATGCGACGCTACTTCACCTTGAATGAAGTTCGTTCCCTATCCATTCATCGCTTATCGTCCCTTGAGATACGCCCGTTCCTTCCCTTGGCTCTCAACTTCATCCGCTCCACGCCGTTGGTCCATACTCTAGCCGTATACGAATGGACTTTTGATGATTTATCAGCATTTCTTCTGCATGAAGATCAGAATGGCGACAGCGAGGATAATCTGATATCAGAAGCGTCGAGGACGTTGCGCCCATTTATTCTTCCCTCCCTGCATACCCTGGTCGTTGAACATCCCAATTACCATTGGGGGGGCAGCGAAGAGACCGGAGGTGACCTACTATTACACGAAGCGCTTAAGAAGCGTGAACCTTCCTATGGATGCCTCAAGAGGCTTGTTGTAGAATCCAACGATGACTCCTGCTAAGAGTCAGCTGATGACCAGTGATCGCTTTCTCTGATCAACACCACAAACGCGCCGAAAAATAGACGTTGGTGTTGAGATGGTTAGAGGCGAAATCACTGGTTGAATGGGTGCTGCACCGGGGGTCCTATCCCTTGATCGACTTCCTGCAGCATACTGTGCCGTGGTATTCAAGGGAATGCTGCAGACGTCAAACCTTAGCAGCTCCAAGAAGAATGTAGAGTATCTATTTAAACACAGGTTTGTAACCTCAAAGTACCGAGCGAGGTTGTTGTATCGTGGATCTGCAATACTGCTTTGCTGTTATCTTGAAACAGAAGGCATTGAACGAATGGCCGATCGGTGCCGGTGTGTAAACCAATTCAGCCGTCCCCTCTGAATGCCGGACGATACCCACCCTACTTTTCACCGTTGGCAGGTCTTATGGGAATCATGTCTCTTGACGGGGATTCTCTTGCGTTTTATCAGCGTTCATCATCAACTGTGGTTTGACATGCTTGAAGGCTGTGCGACCGGGCGCGCCACTGTATGGGAAGCGGGACTACAGACAGTCGTGCACGGAGGACACAACCTTCCCTGCAGAGGAGGTTGTTCTCATATACACATGAGAACGGTCCCGGGGTGACACGTACAGATGTCGATGGAATAGGTCAATGTGTTGCGTTCCAAAAATGCACCTCCCGACAAACTACGCAGTCGATGATCAATCGAAGATGTCCAGCGATCGACCGTCATTATGTTATGTCACGATGATGAGGAACGACACAATGGTATACAATCCTGCTCGACGTTAATCTTGTTTCTATTCTTCACCCTCCATGCCCAACCTTATCCGAGCAAGTATTCCTCACACACGTCATATCAGCAGGGCGCTTCTCCCATCGGTTGCCGGCACACAGTCGCTGTCCGAGCCAGTCCTGGAAAGTCGTCCAGCTCTTTTCAGGCAATTTATCCTCAGGATGAGAATGTAACATCCTGGGACCGAGATTTCTCTTGCCGATATGCCAATGTATCGGGTCCGGAGTGAGAAACAGACTCTACCTAGCCCGTCTCCGAGGCGAGGCAGTACACACAGATATCATATATCAAACAGCCACGAACTCTCTCCGACGACTCGACTGCGAGGACCTCTTCTCCATTCAATCACGTCTCACCCCTCTTGTCTTGGTATCGAGGCTCGAAGTCGACCATGTCGTCAAACGCTAACGAAGCAACTAGCCAAGCCAAACCTAAGAGTATACTCAAGAACAAATCTTCAGCGACTACCCTCGTCGACCCGCACTCCACGAACACGTCGACAACCGCTGCATCGACACCTGTTATTACAGAGCATCCGAGTGCCTCTGGTTCAGACAATCGCGATGGCGATCAAGGCGAACGAACTCCACATTCGCCATTCTCTTCTAACTTCGATCTCAACGCCTCCACACCGAACACAGTTGCTAGTAATGACCGAAGCTCTTCCCCTAACTTTGCTATTACTCCTCCAGTTCCCGGTCTCCCTCCCATTTTCACGCGTCTGGGCCACATGATGCACCACACGCATGAACACTCACATACGTCCGGCAATCCTCCCTCTCCCTACTCACCTTCCTTTGACCCTAACGTATCCAACATCTCGCTTGCTTCGCCTGCTATCGCTCAACCTGCTGTCCCGCCTAGGTCAAATCAACGGCCCACGACAGCTGGTTCTTTAGCCAACAGCCATTCACGTAGTTCGAGTTTGAGTAATGGGTCTCAGGCTCAAGAGCAATGGTCACAGATCATGAGCGCGAGTCTGAGCGCATTGGCAGCTCAGTTCAATGCCGCTTCACATGCATTTATGACTGCCTCTGGCAACGGATCATTCGCGGAACCCAAATCCGCAGAGGAAGCGGCAGACAGAGCTGAGGGGTCGAATTTGGCTTTGTCGCGGACTATTAGGGACGGACAAGAGACCGTACTCATCCTTCAACGGCTCGAAGCGATCGAGAAGACCCAGTCTCACGTCCTTTCTAAGATCGCTCATCTTGAAAGCTCCACTTCTGCGCGAAGTCATCCTTCTGCTACTTCAGAATTCGAGATGCCAAAACGACCAGAGCTGAAGAAGGAACTGGAGATCGAAGAGATCCCGACATCCCCCACCGAAAAGGACAACGAGAACGAAAAGGAGAAACTGCAGGAGGTCCTTGGCATGAGTGTAAACCAGCAGGAACTCGCGCCTTTGCTGAAGAACTTGATTTCTCGCTTGGAAGGTGTCGAGAATCGTCTGGAGGGGATGGAGGGCAAAGTCGAAAGTTTGTCCGAGACCATCCGTATTGAGTATGCCCGTTTTCATTCTTGACTTACTTTCTTGTTGGTGTTTGGACTTGGGCTAACATTGGTATTCGTTCGGTTTGCAGCCAAGCACGTCTCTACCCTCGTCTCCTGAACGGCAATGTCCCCTTAAACAAGAATCAAATACATCCTTTGCCTATGGCCAACGGGAAGGCTCCCCCTAACTTCCCTGCTACCAAGGGCGAGTTCGAGCATTTGACCAGTTGAGTGTTTTCCTCCCGTTCGTTTTATGCTTAACCGACCTAATTTTCTTTTTAAATCTTTAGAGGAACGCTACGAGTCCTTGCTCAAGTCATACGGCGTCCCTATTAAAGGTGATACTAACGCGAAGAGGCAGACGTTGAGAGAGTTCATTGGGTTAACTCCTCCCGGAAAGTGAATGGGATGGCCGTACGTCCTTGTCTCTTCTAACCCCGTCTGAGACGACGCTGGGAGGGGAGGGAACGTTCGAATGCCGTACGAAATATACGACTACTGCTACTCAACTTGGATTTAGACTTATGCCAGATACTGCCTTATGTCGTGACCATACTCGTACTCACCCTAGAATGTAGTGCAGACATGCATAAACGCTATGACATTACAATGTTCACACTTTTGGTTCAACAGTCGTCGTCATGCAATTAGCTGCCACATGTAGAGTATTTACGAATGAATTTATGTGATACCCGCTCTCTGGACATGTACAGCTAGTAAAGAGCTGAGGGTCATGTATGAGACGCACAACCTGGACTCGTAACGCGAACAAATCCACGCGGCGCTTGCTCATCTGGGCACATTTCCGGGCGAACGGCGCTCGAGGGGATACGGACTTCAATCCAAGCCAGTGTACAACCGGCGTTGAAAAGGAACATCGCAAAAACGAATGACATGTTCGGAGATGTTTCACAAAGGTCGCCGAAGGGTTCGTTAAGCCCAAAACAAACGGGAGATGGAGGGGCGGGGAGTAGACCTTTTCGCTTATCGGAGATAATGAAAAGTGAACCCCGAGACACATACATGTGCGAGAAAAGACTTTCGGAAGCCAGAAGAAACCTTGTAACGAATACATCAGTAGGTTAGAAACGGAATTAGAGAACTCTAAAGACGGTAGATGCTCACCAAAATCATGAAGCCTCATACATGAAGCGATCGTATACGGACGTAATCCTTTCTTTCAAGAGGCCCCTCTCTGAGACCCCCTCGTCCAGTTGTTTCAATTGGCCTCTCAGAAAGTCAATAAATCCACCAGGAAGAGGGAACAGCCGGTCATCCCAGCTAAGCAACAGCATATTGTTAGAAGTTTGTGTCCTCTCCCCTCCATGGGCATACACAATCATATCCGAGTTGAAGTCGTGTCCAAGTAGGTAAACTGCCCCAAGATTCGGATTGCTTCCATCTGACATTTCGAAGTCAAGGTGCATCCATACCCGTTTTCGCCTGCATACTAAGTTTTGCGTGCCTGCGAAGACGCCAGACGGGGAGGGTATGGCAGGAAAAGCTGGCCACATCCACAGAAAAATGGCTCGTGTTGGCCATTCTCGAAACCACATTCGAATTTCGTCAGGAAGACGCCACCTGGAGCTAGCTTCTACTCGAGCAACAAAGTATGCTCCGGGCGGATGATCGCACTCGTTCAATTGCTGGATAACTTCATGTCGTGAGAGTTGAAAGGCGGGAGATTGAATGACGTCGAGGTAGAGATCAAGAAGACTTCTACGAGTGGGATCGATATGTGCGACTTCGACCAGGTCACGCCATAGACGGCTAACACCTCTGACAACAATCAAAGACTGCAAAGGCAACAATTCGAAGATATTGAGCAGAATCTCGTTCGGTAGAACTGTCTTTAGAAGATCAGGGCGGCGTCGTGGACTCGACAATATGAAATGCTTTAATTGCTGCACAGAAGAATAAGAAGGCGGTTTGCATATGCTCAAAAGCGACACGGACGAGTCCAAAGGCTAATACGAACACTGCACCGATAAGAGTTTCATGCGAGAACATGGCCATCAAAAGTTGACCAGGAAACACTTTGGGATGAGTACTTATATATAGTAGTTTTGAGTGGTCGGCAACTTCCACAATGTAACACAAGAGATCATAGCATATAAGGAGCTGGTGGAGGGGACCGATAGACGGGGTACGGGAGCCTCCGGGAGCCTCTAGCTAGTAGTTAGCATTTACGTAGCATCGCGTAGTGATGGTTGAAGGCCACCCAAGAGCGCAACTTCCGTCACGATGTTCAAATTCCAACCATTGATCCTTAATTTGGACATGATCTCCCAGCCCGGCCGATACCGAAATCAACACACATGCCGACTGCTTGCATAACGGCCTCTTGCTTCGCCTTTTTAACTCTACCATAGTGTGTACGATTTGACACTGAGATGATTTACCCTAGCCGTTACGCGGTGTTGCTTCCGTACTGCATGCCGCCGCGTCGTACAATAATTGAGCCTCAGACAAACCTATTCTCCGCTTCTTCGTTGGTTTCCCTTTTCTTTAGCTCAAATATGGTATCAGTCCGTATGCTTTTCTGCCTCTCAATAAGCATGAGGATCATCTGCATTTACGAATGTTGAGTTGCTGTCATATCTATAACTTCTACTTGTCGCCTGTACAGCATCTTGTAAGTGCCCACATTCATCCTTATTTGCACTTTCTGACAAGATTAATTTTTAATCAAGGCATTTCTTTCGATATATTTGTTGTGGCGGTCTATACGTGTCTACTCTGTCCATGGAGGAGTAATGAGGCGCTTCTACTGCTCTTCTTCAAACTCGTCAGGGACTATTCTATAAGATAGTGGTCATTCCTTCTGGCGATATGAAACAAACATTAGCGAAGTGGTAATGCATGACTGCCAGACGATAATCGGTCATACCGCTCTGCCTCAGGCACTATTGTCACGGCGGTGCTTTGACCATGACATATGTCAATACTGACCGCTAACGCTCTCTTGCTATAGACACTAGTGGCGTATGGTAACTCTCCTCCATTCTTGATGAGTCCGCCACCTGCTCTGAGGTTCTTGCGCCACCGGTAATGTTGTTCTGGACGTCATTCTTTGTGTTTCGCCGTGCTAGGGTTATCGCAGTTACTCTCTATTGGTTGGAAGCAAGCATACTCCGAGGAGGTACTGTGTTATTATTGACTTTAACACATAGACAGGAAGACAGTTGTCCGAAGGTATAAGTATCTGCACATCTGAGTGCATGCTTTCATCAAGTTCATAGTGTTCTAATCGTCTCCTTCACGTTCCCAGTCGTTCATCTCTCTCCCGCCTATAACACAATGTTGACAGACCCAGCTCTCCAGCGACTCTTAGACCAGAACCACAAATGGGCGGATGATTTTGAGAGAGAGCATCCCGGATTCTTCAAGAAGAGTGCGGAACACCAACATCCTAAGGTACTTACCTCCTCTTCCTCAGGTTGGATACCAGATCTAACCCCCCATCCATTGTCATTAGGTCCTATGGCTCGGATGTTCCGATTCACGGGTTCCAGAATCCGTCATTACCGCGGCGTTCCCTGGCGAAATCTTCGTCCAACGGAATATCGGCAAGTATGTAGTTGATGTCATTCCGAACCTCAGAGACTCACTCATATGCGTGTTTAGTCAATGTATTCTGATAGATGATAACTTTCTCTCCGTCCTCGAGTACGCCCTGTCAGAACACGTCGGGGTCGAGCACGTCGTTATTACGGGCCACACCAACTGTGGCGCCTGTCAAGCTGCTCTGGACGCCATCCATACTCCCTGCCCTAAACCCATTCCGGAGCCTCCAACTTCGCTCGATCGCTGGCTCATTCCTCTTATCAACCTCGCTCGTACTTTACCACCTGATGAAGCGACGGTCAACGTGCTCGTTAGGAAGAATATCTGGCAACAGGTCGAGAACATGGCGAATTCCAACCCCGTGCAGAGGAATTGGAGGAATGGCGGGAATGTGAGTATACACGGGTGGATATATCAGTTGGATAATGGGTACTTGACTGAGTTGTTCGAGATCCGGAAGGGTGACAAGATTGGCGGTGAGGCCTGAAGCACCCTGTGGAGCTGCAGAGCCCATTTTCAGTGCTTGATGACTTTTCTCTGTTTTCCTCGCTGTGTAGCATTTCTGTTGTGAGGCACCACGATTTTACTCTTTCGACCTTATTTCATGAGGCGCATCTAGCGCTGAGACGTAGAACTTGGAATTTTGGAAGTTGAACGTTAACGATTGCCAGAACCGGCATCAGGACCGTGAGAAAGACCACGAGATGACAACCTTGGGTACAACGCCGAATCTCGACTAGCTCACGGATACCGAATACCGATCCCTTAGATGAATCTCCCAGCTCTGTCTCTCAGCTGCGAGTCATCCTTATGCCATTTGTATCGCAAGTATCCTGGGTACTTATACGAGGTTTTTCTCCTTCCTGGCACTCTTCATACTACTCGGAATCGTAGACCACGCTCGCCCACACTGACTCACAAGGCATTGTGCAATATTAGAGCAACTATCCAGCTCATCTCAGCAGCTTCATTCAGATATTCGATACTGCACGATCGCGGCCTTGACCTTAACAAACTAGTGAAGCTGTCTTGAAAGCACCTCTATATGCCCTTTCGTCCAACATATCGTTACTTACGATACTGGTAAAGAGTTCGAGGCCTTGGGTTGAAACGCACACAAAGTTCCCTCTGACTCGTTTCGTTCTCATACGCTGAGAGATGGATCGTTGAGTTGGTCTTTTGCCTCTCTCAACACACTGATGTCTACTGCCCATCCGATTCAACCATGAGCAGCGCTTCTGAGCATGCGATCCTTTGTCTTAGCATCTCTAGGCTCTGAAGACAATATCCCAAAACATGACATCCTCTGGATTCACCGCTTCCATATGCTTGTTCTATGCGAGTAGTCCAAAGCAATATGGCCTATTTTGAAGCTCTTCGTTCCTCAATTTGAGGCAGCAGATTATCGTGATTGTCATGAGGTGCGTTCTAGTCATTGCGTACAGGGGGAGACACTCTAAATGGAACTAGGAGAATTAAAAACTGCATGCATCTTACCTGCATCGTTTTGCCTAGACCGTTCAGGTGATACCGCGCACCCCAACGTTCCTTTGACAGAACCTTATCCTGACGTTATCATCGTAGCTCGGTCCTTTTTGGATGAGTTCAGGCTTGCTGTATTCCTCATAAAATCATGGAGCTCATCTAGTAGCAAGTCGATATCGATTAACGGTTGAATGGAAGGGTGTAATATCGGACGCTTGTGGTGTCGCTGTTCTGCAGCATGCCCTCTTCATGTACCCATCCGTTGGGCCTCCCTAGTCTGGTCTGTTTATTTTAAAAGGAAAGTTCGTCATATCTTGTAATTCCTGGAGGCGTATATAAACGCCTCCCTTCGTTAGTTTCGTTCATTCAAGGTGTACTTCGACCCTCCTAGAGATTCAACATGTCTGCTTTACCCCCCGACGCTGCGACACTTCTTTCTCAGAACAAAGATTGGGCTTCCAAGTTTCAGGAAGATCATCCTGGCTTTCTCCCCGAGAGTGCGGATGGTCAACGTCCGAGGGTGTGTTTTATCCGTAACTTTGGTCGAAACAGTCTGATAAAATTGCTTTTAGACCCTATGGCTCGGGTGTTCAGACTCGCGAGTTCCAGAGTCGGTCATCACTGCAGCTTTCCCCGGCGACATCTTCGTGCATCGTAACATTGGAAAGTGAGTCCACCATATTACTAAAGTACGAGAAGTCTCGATGTTCAATCTGCTAATGTGTGATATTCTTATCTAGTCAAGCTTCGCCAAACGATGATAGTTTTCAATCAGTCCTCGAATTCACCATGTCGGACCCGAATTCACCTGTTGCCGCCAGCTTTCGTGTCGAGCACATCGTCATTGTTGGACACATCGGCTGTGGTGCAGTCGAAGCTGGCCTTGATCTTGCCCAATGGGATACCGATCTTCCTGATAAATCCGAATTCCCTCTCATTCGTTGGATACTTCCTATCATCAAACTCGCAAAGGAGGTCGGCACATCGATCAGCTTAGACGATCTCATCAAAGAGAACATTCGTCGACAGGTTGACATCGTCGCGAAGTCGACCCTCGTTCAGCGTAACTGGGAGATAACGAAAGAGGAACAGGAGACACCGGTAACAATTCATGGATGGCTGTATCACCTCGGCACTGGGTTGTTGGAGCCGATTTGTGAGGTTGCGCGACCGGACGAGAAGTAGGGCTTTGACTAAGAGGCAGATTGTTTGGTTGTGCTCGCTGAACTACCGGGGCGCCGCAGTATATACATTGTATCGAGGTTTGATATTTTTCATTTGGTCCAAACGGTTGACACTTAGTGTATGATAGTCAAGTTGGCATTCAGGAATTCATGCAAGTTACGCGGGAAGATTCGGAAACCGCGGGTTTTGCCCAATTCTTAATCATGGGCTTTGAATAAGTTAAACCTATCCTTGGTTTCATCTAATCTACGCAGCAGAATCTCCCGAGTTGGCCATCCTTCTCTCTTGTGATCCCCCATAGATATGAGGTGCTCGGGTTGATAACGAATAGAACATATTTCATGTTTGGCATCTCCTCCGTCACCCGAAGGGCCATGCTTTCCGTATTCAAGCTCTCAACTGCGCGTTTCATCCGATTGGGTCACCGTGACCTTGTAGATCTAACTCCAGGTAGATTATATGCGAATCGTTGAATTTCTCAATAGCCGAGAGCTGAAATATACTAGATGAGCTCTCAGTGATTACTACGTGCCGCCAGGAATCTACTTACGATTCTGTCTTCCAGTACTTTGGTCACTCAGCGGATATGATGGAGATGTGAAAGATGAACCTGTACGTGAACATGTGACACGCTTTCCATTCGGGGAACAAGGTCCTCGACGTTCCATGAGCGGGTGCAAGGCGAAGAGAACTTCATAGCGATCGGACAGCAATCCCGGGCAGCTTCTATGCAAAGGTCGGTCATATCGATCGCCCAGCGATCCAGCTCCAGCAGTGGTATATGACCGTTCAAGGCCAGTTGGTAGAGAGTAGGTCCGTCAGCGCAGTAAAGTGTAACATTGTCCGCGGTAAGGAGGGCGTGCTCCGCTGGTTTTGCGTCCTCAATAAAACTATCCCAGAACGCGTAGGTGATGTGTCGCGTCGAATGGTCAAGACGTCGAGGTTTGGGAAAGCGTTCATTAGCTCTGACGTCAATATGGTGAAAGAACTAACGAGAGACGGATTGAGGACCTTCAGAGAAGGGAATATGGTGTCTTGGAGACTTGTGACCCTGGCAAGGGATACATGCATCTCGACAAGTGTGCTTGCCAGGGATGGCACCTGTAGGTCTGATAGATTCAATCTCTGCGGTGAATGAGGAGATGCATGGAGTTCAAGGTAGATCGGGGGAGCTGAGAATTGAGAGAGAATCGATACAAATTTGGGATGTAATTCGTGAAGGGAAAATCGACGCAGATCCCGCATGCATTCGAAACTGCGGACGTTTCCGACGTGATTGGACACAGCAAGAAATTGAGAACTGTGGTCGATTGTCAGCTTTGGGAGGTAACGCGCATTGTAGATGATGTCAGTGAGATCTCTGGTGGGATCATGACACTTGATATGAAGGTCACGAAGGAGCAAGCATCTGCGGCGTTCTGGCACATAACGAAAGAAGTGTGCTGTTCCCAGATGGTTTGCGTCGACTCAAATGAAGGAAGGCGACACGCAAGGGGAACAGTTAAGTTGATTCATACGTGTATGATGGTATAGTGTACAAAGTATGTTACAGCGTTACAATACCGTGAAGGAGCGTAGTGGTGGATATATCACGGTGTCCGATGATAGGAAACATAAGAGTTTGACTCTATGCGGGCGCATTGATGTTCTGTTTAACTTCACCCTTGTCCTGACGAAGGTTACCTTTACAGAAAATCATATCAGTATGCCATCTACCAAGATTCGACTTGATCGGATAAGACTTACCAGCAACTTCTTTTGATCTATCGCCCGTCACTGAACCAATAATCGCGTCCTTCTTTCCACCGACACGATCTGCAACACCCTCAACGTAGCCTTTAGCTTGAGCAGCCTTGTATTCGGCTTCGCCTTCAGCATGTTCCTTCTTGCCAGATGTTTGCCAGCTTGTGGCTCCGGTGAGGTTGCCGATGGTCTCGACGACGTTGCCCTTGGTAGAGTGGAATTGACCAGTGGTCTTGCTGATGATGAAACAGGTTAGAAGTCGTTCACGACGGCGGGATGGAATAAGGAAGAAGACTTACTTGGGCTCGCCGCTGTTAGTCATGATGTTGAAAATGGGAGTGGTATGGGGATATGTGGGTGTGATGAAGGTAATGTGGGTAACTTCTGGTTGGCTATCTCAATTCGAAGGTGACACTGCTTATATACCCTTTTCATGCATCTCCGTCGCCGAATGGGCAGGCCTAGAGTGCGGTGACGCGTCGTTTTTCAATCGTAAGAATCTTTGAAAGAAAAAATTAGTACAACGTCATTACGCAGTTTGAAAAAAATAAAATGGAGGCGTTGCGGTACCAACCCCGACACTAGTGATTGGTTAATTAACGAAGTGACGTCACTAATCGCTGTTGGGCTAATTGTTCTCGACGAGGAAACTGCCTGGATCCTAATGCCACATATGGTGGACGAGCACGCGCACAGGTGGCATGGTCATTGAACCTGTAGACCCGACCTTCAGGCCTCAGGCCTCAGAACTTGAATTGACATCATACACGGCACCTATGAGCATAGTCATTAATAATTTGCGAGGTCAAAGTTCAGAATCGAAACGTCGTCGTCAACACACTGAGATTCACCTGTTTAAATATTGGCTTAGGAATTGTACTCTGCATGAAGCGATTTCCGTGAACCTAAGCCGCATACCTCGAAAATGACAGCTTCTAGATACGACCGGACTCCATTTCTCCCAGCGTATTCGTTTAAATCATCCGAAACGGACCTGTACAGCCGTACAAATTTTAAAAGCAAAAAGCAACTGGGAGGATTCTGGGCAGGAGAGGGAAAGAAACATATGAGGAAGTGTACTTGCCAAATGCAGTGACGTGTACACGCGTAAAGCGGTGGTACCGACTGCCAGATCGGGCTCCGGCTATCTCTCCAGCCGGTTACATCTCCCGTTCAATAAGACTCAGAGCTCCACAGCTCCATCTGCAGTTTCGATCAGCCATGCCAGCCAAGGCTAGCCATTACCAGCCATTACCGCACTATACGATACTCGCCCAGGCACCATATGCATCAGGCCTCGGGCACCAGCCTAATAGTAACACACCGAACGTTCTGAAAGGCTTCAATATTCAATTCCAAGCGGAAGACTGTACATGCCTCGTCGACCTTTTCTTCCCGTCTTCGCGCTGACTAGGTCGACGAGGGTCGTTCTTTGCCATATCGAATATCAATATCTGAAGGCCTTCCGACTCAACCGGAATCGAACCTTTCATCGCTCACAAGTACTGTGCGACTTTCCTTTCGAGTCACAATTCTTCCTTCTTCACAAGTGCACCCTGACTACCGGGACAAAGGCTCTCAGGTTTCTAAACTTTAATACAAGGAAGACTTGAGCGTTGGGCACCGAACCTTCTGCCCCGGGAGCGAATGATGCTAGTTTGGTCGTCTGCCTTTAAAGTTCAAGTTCGGAGCCCTGACGTTTTTGCTTGTCCATTGTCCATCGAAAATCCTTGCAAAGCGATGGCCAAGCCGTCATGGAGTGCTGGAGTTTCTGTGGAAGACGAGGATCTCTGGCTTATGCGCGGCATGGCCGACATCTGCATCTACGGTTTATTATCTATACGTCCACAATATGATGATCCAGGTCAATACATTCTTCAGCACTAAGTATGTCGGCTTCATGCGTTACTGTAAAGCTTCAAGTGAGCGAAGTAATCATCCGAAGATCTGACGAACGCTAACTCGCTCCAGAAGATAACACGACATCCAAAACTATTCACGCTACTTCCCGCAGACGGGATGCTACTGGTCGCTTACATCAATGATCATCGCACCCCGCAGGGGGGGGGGGGGGTCCCTCCCTCCCTTAGCAGACCCGACATTGGTCTGCGTACCGGTGACTAGGACCTGGGACAATACTGCGTGGTATAAGTAGCAGATGCCTCGAGTTCTTCTCAACGCTCGACATGTGCATCCCCGCCCATGGTTTTCGGCAAAGTTGACTCGTAGATCTGGTGAGTCCATCAAGACGCTGCCTCTGTGTTCACTTAAAAAGTTGTGCATTGAAAGACCTTCGCATGCAACTGAATCTCACTCAGACGCAACCTTTGAAAATTTGAAGATCATGGACATCTCCGTTGAATCTCCAAGCTCCTCGTTTCCCCCTTCTCACATATCCCAACTCCCTCCAGAGTTGTTAGCGAAGATATTCCTGCACCTAGCTGATGCACTTCGACCCGAGGCAAAAGCCATGGGTTACTCCGATTGTCGACCATACGCTTGGCTTCCAGTCACCCGCGTTTGTTGTTTTTGGCATGACGCAGCGCTCCGATGCCCTTCATTATGGGCTTTCATCGACATATCGCATCCCGTTGAACGTATCAGAATGCTGTTGGCGAGATCTGGAAGGGTCCCACTCATCCTACTCTCTGTGTCTGCCTGCGAAAGCTGGGCCTTCTCGCTTCGTTTCCTTTCATTTGATGGGATAGTTCAGGGCATTCTGGCCGTCGTGCTGCAAGAAGTGCCTCGAATCACGAAGCTGGACGTCATGATCCCGAGACCACTTTCGGCGAAGTTTGCAGTGTTGACTCAACGTCCAGCACCCATGCTAAGGTCCCCGTGCATCAAAAACATCCCCCTTCTCGATAGTCACCCGGAAGAACATTTTCCTCTCAATTTCGATGTTCCCCACCTTCGTTCCCTCAAAGTATTCGGTTTCAAGCTCTCGAAAGCAAAGACATTACTTCGACCCTCATTACGGAAGCTTGTCCTTGATGTATGCGAGTGCCCTCCTTTACGTGAGGTGTCAGAATGCATACGAGAGCTACCTCTCCTATCCTCCTTAGACTTCCGCGGCTTCAACTACTTCTACCACCTAGGCGGTAGCGGTACTGACTATCCAAAGGACTACGAAGCCGTTACTTTGAACCACCTGCAATGGTTGCATATCAAGGGCAGCCGACACTACTCTCGGTTCCTCCGTGACCTTGAGGTCGCACCGGGAGCAACGCTGTTCCTTGAAATGTCGACTGGTGGTATGGACGGTGAAGTCGAGGACATCGATATGATGATTTCCCGTGCTGTAACATTCTGTGGACTACAAAATCACAATGCGGTGCTACCCCCGTCGCGTATGCTGCGATCCGTGCTTGTCCAGTATAAAGTCGACTCGGAGCACAGATCCGGAGTGATAATGGAAATCCGAGGCTGGGATGTTGTCTTATCTCATGACGTAATTGCACTGGCAATCGAACACCCTCGTTCACACCCCCGGCCGTTTCTTCACCTCAAACTCACATATTCCTTCACTGGCATATATTACGACATGGAGGCACTATCTTATCTCTGCCGACACTTCGATTTCAAGGAGCTCCGAACCTTGATATCCGTCTTCAACGCTCGAACGATTTTCGATGATGATGTTATTGGGCATGGATTAGCAGACATTTTTGATAGCCCCAGTATCGAAACGTTGATCATGCTGGATTGGAGTGCGAAACAGTTGGCTGCGCTGATCACAACAGGTGACTGTAACTTTTCCATCCAATCTCCAGACGACCCGTTGCCTTCGCGCATTCCCCCCATACCCTTTTCGGGTCTCAAGACCCTCATCACTTATGATCTGTTTTGGGATACTGATGAGGCATCTATCAGTCCCTCATCGCTACGACTCTCCACGGCTCTGAAATATCGAGCTAAGAACAACGTTGAGATAGAGACTCTATTCCTTGGTTGTGGATCAAACATCGATAGGGAGGACCTCGACAAACCGATAGCAGTTGTCCCTAGCTCCATGTGGAATGTGAGAGAGGAGAGAGTCGATGGCGATAATTCTATTTGCTATGCCAGTTCCGTTTCATCGAGACTCTTGCCGGTGAAATAGGCTTGCCGTCTCTTCGAATAGCAGAATTGAGTTCGGAAGAACTAACGCAGTCTATCCCGGCTGTCGATAACCCCATTTGGGATGAGACTTTGGCATACATACGATAATACCGACTCAAAAAGCAAACATATTGGTCGTTGTCCCCTCAATTTCCATCTCCGTCAAAATCTTCTAGAGAAAGGATGACCCTGTTGCATCTTGCTATACGGCCCCTTCCTCGTATATGGCCATCTAAGAAACTAAATCTCCATCCATGCACCATTTCCGTCTCCGTCTTGCTTCACATCTATTGTCATTTTTACCAGCATTCGTCTGTCTTTGGCGAAGCTTGTTAGGCTATGAGACTCCGCTGCCAGAAACCGAAGAGAATATCTAGAGACGCGCCTCGAGCACAGGGTTGATATCTCGTACCCCATGCTAAGTTATCACGAGTCTACTAAAACGCGACTTATTCAGCTGTATCTATACCGTCTACGACGAGCTTCCCTAATGTGGTCAATCATCCGATTTGCTAAATTCCATGGGTGACAGGGCATTGATCTTACAGATATACCGATGATCATCGGACCGGGGACTTCAATGCTGCGTGGTATAAGTAGCAAAGGCTTCGAATCTTTTTCGGTGTTTGACATGTGCATGCCCCGACCACGGTTTTGGGCAAAGTCGGCGACTCGTGGATCTAGTGAGTCCATTAGAACGCTGCCTCTGTACAACCTAAATGTAAGAGATGTCCTTTCTTCGCATGCAACTAACCACTCACTCAAGCACAACTTTCGAAACCTAAAGCTTGAACGTCATGGACATCCCCGTTGTATCCCCAAGCCGCTTCATTTTCCCTTCCCACATATCTCGACTTCCTCCAGAGTTGTTAGCCAAGATATTCTTGCACCTAGCTGATGCATTTCGACATGAGCCAAAAGCCATGGGTTGCTTTGGTCATCGACCATACGCTTGGCTTCGAGTCACCCGCGTTTGTCATTTTTGGCATGATGCCGCTCTTGGATGTCCTCCATTATGGGCTTTCATCAATACATCATACCCTGTCGATCGGATCAAAATGCTGCTACGGAGATCTGGACAAGTCCCACTCATCGTAAAGCCCATCTCCACGCTTGCCCTCAGCTGTAGTTTCAGTGACGTGATAGATCAGAGCGTTTTGGCACTAGTGCTGCAAGAAGTGCCTCGAATCATGAAGCTGGAGGTCATGATCACGGAATCCTTTTCAACGAAGCTTGCGATGACTAACATTCAATATCCGTCGCTGAGATCCCTGTGCCTCAGAAGCGCTTTCATCAATTTTGAAACCGATACTCGTCGGGAGAAAATGGATTTTGCGCTCAATTTTGACATTCCTCGCCTTCGTTCCCTCAAAGCTTTCTCTTTCGAGTTCTCGGAAGCAAAAACCTTGTTTCGGCCTTGGTTACAGAAACTTATCCTCCAACCGGCCTCATATCCTCCGTTGCACGAAGTGTCGGAGTGCATACGAGGACTACCTCTCCTATCCTCCTTAGACCTGCTCGCCTTCAACTACTTTAATGATAGTAGTTCTGACTATCCAAAGGGCTACAAAGCCGTCGCTTTGAACCACCTGCAATGGTTGCATATTGACGGCAACCGATACTACTGTCGGTTCCTCGATAACCTCGAGATTGCACCAGGCGCATGTGTGTCCCTTGAATTGTCGACTGGCAATGTGTTCCGTGATCTCGAGGACATCGATACGATGACTTATAATGCTATGAGATTCTGTGGACTGCCAAATCACGATGTGGTGCTACCCCAATCGCGTATGCTACGATCCATGGCTGTCCAGTATGAAGTCCATCATTCGCAAGCAACAATAGACATCCAAGGCTGGGACGTCGTCTTTTCTCGTGATATCTTTATGCGGGAGACTGGATATCCTCATTCGCTCCCCCGACCGTTTATTCATCTCAAACTCAGATGTTTCTCCGTAAATGACGGCGTGGTGGTGTTATCTCATTTCTGCCGAAACTTCAATGTCGGGGAGATTCAAGCCTTGATTTTGGGCTTCGCTGTTCAAAGGCATTCTGACAACGATGCTATGTGGCATGGATTAGCACATGTATTCGACAGTCCCAGTATCGAAACACTGGTCATGCTGGATTGGCATGCAGGACAATTGGCTTCACTGATCACGACAGACCATTGTAATTCATTGCCTTCTGGAACTCCGTCAATACCCTTTCCGGGTCTCAAAACGCTGGTCAGCTACCGTCTACGATGGGCCGATGTTGATGAAGGCATCAGTCCCTCACCGCTACCGCTCACCACAGGTCTGCAATATCGAGCCAAGAACAATGTTGGGATAGAGACCCTATGCCTTCGTGATTGTATATCAGACGTCAATAAGGAGGATCTTGAAGAATCGATGGCAGTTGTGCCTAACTTAATGTGGAATGTGAAGGAGCCTGAGGCGACAGACGATGACAGCGACTGGTGGTCCAGTGTCGATTCTGCATCATCGCTACTCGGGCAGGAAGAATAGGCCTGCCGTCTCTCCGAATAGCAGACTTGAGTTCTAGAAGTGGAGGTCTAGCGGTATGTGAGAAATTGACTTGCATGCATTTATACATGGCTCTCTGACGATGTAGCATTGCAACAAATGTATAGCCTGCTACCGAAAGAGGTTATCCATCTCATTATATACAAAAGCCCGAGTTATGCCACGCAAGGCGATAAAGAAAAGCGATATTCCTTTGCAGTCGAGGTAGGAGACGTATATCACCACACCTCTTTAATCACCGTGGTGCATAGTCGCGCTTCGGTCTCCTCTGGTTTGGATAATTTGGATAAATATACGGGACAAGAATGCCCCTGCTTTTAGAAGGCGGGAGCGAGCCTTCTGATCCTGTGGGTTGTCCGCTCAGAAAGAAAAGAAAATCGTGAGTGGTTGATAAAGAGTGATGAGAGCTTCACTGAACCCATTCACGCGCTGGCTACCGGGTTGGCATGCAGGACAGCTGATCACGACGGGTACCGGTCACTGTGGCCTTTCGATCCGTTCTCCAGATGACCCGTTGCCTCCTCGCATCCCGCCACTGGTAATACACCCTTCTCAGGTGTCTCAAAACCCTGGTCACCTAGGGCCGTCTATGATACATTGGGCTAGTGGAGATATCGGCTCACAACTGCCACGACTCGCCACCGCCCTGAAATACCGAGCTAAGAATAACGTTGGGATAGAGACTCTATGCCTTCGTGATTGTAAATTAGACATCGATACATAGGGAGGACGTCGAAGAATCGATGGCGGTTGTCCCTAACTTCACGTGGAATGTGAAGGAAGCGACAGACGATGACAGCGACTGATGATCCGTTGGTTGTCGATTCTGCATCATCGCTACTCTTTTGTGTGTAAGTAGTCGACTCGGTGACTATGAACAAACTTGATGACAATCTCGAGGCTGGAATTTGAAAGGTCGAACGCATATTTCCCGAAAGCAGGTAGTTGACGTCGAGCGAGAAGATAGAGAAAGAAAGAGAGAGATCTATGCATCGAGTACGTACGTCGAACAAACGCGACAAATAAGAGAGAGAAGAAGCAGAAATAATAAAAAACGCGTCAAGTAATCTGCTGTGACTGTGAGCTATATACGTGAGGGTAGAGAGTATTGAGAGATCGATATCGTGGAGATTGTATGTATGCATGCAGCGGTCTGTCCATCGGCAGCAAAGAGAGAGATCAAAAAGAAAAACAAGAGATGATGGAACAGGGAATGAGGGGAGAATGTCGAAAGAACGAGGGTGGTTGTGTGTTGTGCGTAGTTGAATCATTACTGCGAGAGTGCTGGAGAATGGCCATGGGAGGAGGCGGTGTCGATGGTATAACGAGCTGGTTGGGGGAAAGGCGTTGGAATGGAATGATCGTGGGCGTGAGGTGAAGCGAATAAAAGGAAAAGTAGATCATAAAAGCACAGAAACAGAGGATAACAAAAAAGAATTGGAACAGAGAGCAGGTGTAAAGTCACACACAGACATCAAAGAGAAAAAAAATCGTCAGTCCATGAATCCAAGCACAGATCACACGTCCCAATCCCCAATCAACGCCTTCTCCGAGTCTCCTGGAATGAGCAATCCCAACCCTCCTTACGGCCCAATCCAAAAGTCGGCCACCTCCCCCCACAAACACAAACGCAAAAAAACACGCAGTTCAACAAATCACACAACACCTTCCCTTATCCTCCCACCCCTCCTCCCCACTCCTCTTCCTCTGATGCGCATAATACGCACTCCCACCCACACCCTCCCGCATCAACATACTCGCCCTCGTCGCTGCCTCAAACACATCATCCACTCCCTCAATCTTCAGCGCCGAACACTCCTTGTACGCCCGAGCACCAATCAGCTGCGCCACGCGTTCAGCCTGGGCCCGTGTCACGAATTGTCCTTGTCCCGGTTGTCCTGGTTGAGATGATGCGTCGGAAGACGAGGATGGGGGAGAGTAGTTGGGCGGTCGCAGGTCTGATTTGCACCCTACGAGGATGACGGGGATTTGTGGGCCACAGATTGAGCGGACTTCTTCTATCCACTGTGTATGGGGTGGGTTTGTTAGTCAGTTGTTGTTGAGCGGTGTAAAGGGGGAATGTGGACGTACTTTGACGGTCACGTTGTCCAGCGAGTCTGGTGTGTCGATGGCGAACGCGATCAGGATAACGTGCGACTTGGAGTACGACATTGGCCGTAGACGCTGTTCAACTCCAGTTAGCTTCACTCGACGGCCGTGTGTCGGGTGAATACCTACTTCGTACTCTTCCTGTCCTCTGCAAATTAATGGTCAAAAAGGGTGGTGATTCAACATAACTTCAACGTACGCGGTATCCCAGAGAGCCAGTTGCACGGGCTTGCCATCTAACCTAATCTCCGCAACGTAATTCTCAAAGATGGCTATGTCCTTGGATCAGCATCCTCCTCCCAAGCGCGACCGAGGTACTCACTTGGTTGCTATAAACACAATGTCAGTCATGTACTAGAGGAATACGGAAGTTGAAGGAGACATACGTATTCCTTGGGGAACTCGCCCAATGCGAACGAGCATAACAGTGACGTCTTTCCGCAGGCACCTATTCAGAACGTTGGTCAGCATCAAGAAGGGCAGGCCAGCCAAGACAATTGAAAAGCCAGGAAAAGGTGGAAGAGGTAATAAATGAACGTCGACAAGTGCAAAGTACGCGAAAAGACAGTCATTAGGGAAAGGATGACGATGGCGATGATTCTTTGCGGGGACCTCTGGGCATGTCCATTTGACCTGGATCTCTCGCAGAGAGCACATGACGGAACGCCCGTCTTGCGAGAAAGGATAGCAAGTGCCTGTTTGCGCCGTCAGTATTCACCAGCACACTAACATGAGGTGACTTACGGTATCTCCTCGAACTGTCGTGAGACGGGTAATATTGGACGGGAAGTCGATGTCGTTGTAAGTGGGGACCTCGACATGGACAGAGACGGAGCGCAGCCATCAGTAGCTTGATTGCCAGAGACGTGCCAAAGCTGTCCACAAGATGACGGCGCTGAATACCAACGCCAGAATGGCAATTGGAGGTTCCGACAGCCAAGAAATAGACACCCCAGGACCGGCGAACCCAGCTTTAGGCATACGTCTATGACAGCGCCTGCGAAATGAAGACTAGAACGGACCACGCCTGTGTAAGGAGGTGATCTAAGCCAGAAGGGGAAATGTGCGCCTGGTGAGATTGGCAGCTTCCCGCTCGATGAACCGATGGGGTACTTGCTCGACTACGTCCAACTGCGCGGTGGACGGAGAACACTAGGGCGTACAAGTCGACCAGCGACGATGGTGGTAACGCGCCAGAGAAGGTAGTACTAGAACGAAGATGTGCGAATTGAGAGAGTGATAAAAGCTGTCTAAGATGCAAGTACTCACCAGGATGTCACACCGCCGTACACGGTGTACTCTCAAGACGGTCGATGTTTGCCAAGCTTCCGATCATGCGACAACAAGGAACAAAGGAACAAGGCTCCACGTCGAGATAGGTCTTTGAATGAGATTCCGCAGGTGCAAGAAATGGAGAAGAACGCGAAAGCAGGGGTTGAAAGCATAGAAGGGGAAACAACAGAAGGAAAGAAACGAGAAGGATACGTACCATCGCCTACTATGACAAGTTTCCTGCGAATCTATTTAGAGCGTATTCCATTCCATCCAATGGATAATGTAGGGCGTTGGACGGGAACAAAAGCGAATAGGACCAGGAAGTGGAAAGGGAGCAGAATAGTTAGAGGACGGTAGCCGAAGATGACGGTAGCGACGTACAGGATTTTGTGAAGACATTCGCTACTGGTGTCGTTCTGGGTGACAAGACACCGCCAACGTAGTGACTGTATTCCGAGGTATACGGCTTGAGGCGGGCAAATAAAGAGTTGATTCGCGAAAGTGGAGGAATCTCGAGGTCAGCTGAAGGGACGTGTTTCTGGAAAGAGCCAGGGAAAGGACGGCTAGGGTGAAAGCTAAAGTACTGGGGGGAGTATGGCCGTGTTGGGAGGCAGCGAGGGTGGTCTATGGCAGCCTGTGCAAGCGAGTGAAGACTGGGAGTGAGCTAGTGAATGGACGGATGGCAGTCGTCGATGGCAGTCGTCTATGGCAGTCGTCTCTCACTGCTGTCCTCCTGCTCTGCCTTGCCATAACGGGTTAGATGACGTAACCGGTGCAATTCGTTTTGTCGGTGGACAGCATCCCGGTCCTCGTCTCTCTCCGGGCTCTCTACCTCACCTGGGCTTCTCCTTTCCCCGACTCGCTCTGTCATCTCTAATACGTTCTCGGTGACGCTATTCCGTTCATGGCCTCTGACGCTAGGCTCTGCCTGTTCTGTCTCGCGCTACGGTGTTCTGACAATACAACTGGCGTTCACTCTGCTTTCGGGTGCTAACGACTTGTTTTTTTAAATCCGAACTTATTTCCTACCCTTCTCAAACGCGGCCTTCAACCCCATTGCATCCATGTGCTGGAGGTACTTCTTCATTCTCGGTCTTCCATCATCACAGCGTCGTATCAGTTTCCGTGCAATTCTTGACCCAACTGAATTCATCTCTGGGTACCTTCATGTTCCTCGTCTTTATGCTCCCGCTCGTGAGATTGACGGCCGACATCCTTTCTAGCAATATCTATACGCCGTCTCCTGGGATTTGGATCGCCATCTTCACATTTCTTCCCCATCAAGATGAACCTTTCACGCAAAACGCGCAATAATAATAGGTACGAATGCTCTAGAGCTCATTTACGCTTTACATAGCTCTCTATATCTCATCTCGGTCTTCATCCCCGCTGTCGTGCGCAGGTAAGGCATGCTCAGAGACTCGTCTTTCTCCGAATACCTCGCGCTCCGCATCTTCATTCTGTTCTAGCAATCTCAAGGTCCAGTACTTCGTTCGATGTATAAGCCACTGACGCCTTGAATTTCCAGAGTACACTCTCAATCATCATCATGTACGTATATCCTGCTCATTATTTCGTTGCATCTTGAGTTGTAGATTCGGTGGCGGCTTCTGCATCGACTACCTGTAATACCATCCCTTGGTCATGTCTACAAAGATGACTGTAAGTTCTTTCTACTGGACTTTCCTATTCCCTAATTTTCTTTCGCCTTCGATATCGTGCCAATCTTTCTAAGTTTTCGAGCGCACTTCTGCATTTCTCAATGCACACGTGCCAACGATTGAAGCTATATGTGTGCACTCCTGTCGTTCATTCCATATCGTGCGGAGCCTATAGGCACCCAAGTTGCAGAATATACCCTGTGGCGCATTCCGATATTCGGGTCCTGCGTAGGGCTTTTGCGTGTCGCAGGCAATCACGCTACCAATGGCTGCGCTTCACCTCTGTCAACGTCCTGGTCGTAGGCCCATCCGAGATGGTTCATGACAATCGAGGGAGATATCGAAAGTCACCTCATACTGACGATGCGGGTAAGACAATTCGTGTTTTACGCTGCATTACGACCGTTGGATTGTGGTGCCCTGACCCTGTGAGAGTCTCCATGCATAGCCAATCAAGGCCGAGAGTCTCAAACTGGGACGAAAGGTGAAGTCTACCTCCATTCAGACGGGCTTCGAAATTGGGGGCTGTCTACGTTGCGGATCTGTAAACCATCAGTAGGTCATGCACGACCATTCCAACGGGTAGGCGTTTCTCCATCGTGTTATACCGTCGACCACCTCCCGCATCCTCCTGCCCTTTCGCAGTAACGACTCGACTACACGCGACCACCTTCATTCTACATTCTCCCCTCATTACGGTGTTCATCCCAGTTTTATCACCTCTTGGCTTTCCCTCTCCCTTCCGCCGATGGACAGACCCCCCGCATACATACATCTCCAGGATATCGATTTCAATATCCTCTATCCTCGTTTGTAGCTCATTGACACAGCAGACTACTCGACGTCTTATTTCCGCTTCTCTCTATTTGTCATTTGTTCGACATACGTACTCGACCTTCTATGCATGGATATCTCTCTTTTTCTCTCCCTCGACATCAACTACCCGCATTCAGATACAGGTAAGTTCAACCTCCCACATAATGAAACGGAACTGACAACGGGTCACCAGTCGCTGTCATCGTCTGTCACCTCTTTCATACTCCACATGAAGTTAGGGACAACCGCCATTGATTCTTCGAGGTCCTCCCTATCGATGCGCTCAACACATTCACGAAGGCATAGGGTCTCTATCCCAACATTGTTCTTGGCTCGATATTTCAGGGCGGTGGCGAGTCGTAGTGGTGATGAACCGGTAGGTCGACTAGCCCAATGTAGATCATAGGTGACCAGAGTTTTGAGACCTGGAAAGGGTATTGGCGGAATTCGAGAAGGCAACGGGTCATCCGCAGAATGGATGGGAACGTCACAGTAACCCGTTGTGATCAGTGCAGCCAAGTGTTCCGCATCCCACCACGGCATGACCAGTGTTTCGATACTGGGACTATCGAATATATGTGCCAATCCATGCCCCACGGTACCATCGTCAAGATCCCTTTGATCATCGAAGACTAAAATCAAGGCTTGGAGCTCCGCAAAGTTGAAGTTTCGGCAGAAATGAAATAACGCTTCCACGTCGTCATTTATGACGGAAAATGTGACGCTGAGATGAATAAATGGTCGGGGAAGTGGACCAGGGTCCTTTAAGTGCCCGCGAAAATATGTCACAAGGAAAGACAACATCCCAGCCTTCGATATCCACTGTTGCGTTCTGAAACAAGTAACTGTTCGGAGAGTATATGACCACAACGGATCGCAGCGTACGCGACGAGGGCCGCACCACAGAATTGTTTGGTAGTCCACAGAATCTTTTAGCATCGTAAATCATCGAATCGATGTGCTCGGCTTCATCGGCCATACCACAAGTGGATGTTCTAAGGGACACGGATGCTCCTGGTGCTATCTCGAGGTTATGAAGGAATTGACTGTAGCATTGGCTGCCGTTGACATGCAACCGTTGCAAGTGATGCAAATTGACAGGCTTGTAGTCCCGTGGATAGATAGTACCGCCATCGTCCAAAGTGTCAAATCGGACGAGGTCTAATGAGGATAGAAGAGGTAGCGCTCGTATGCATTCTGACACTTCACGTAAAGGAGGGTATCCGGTCCCGTTGAGGACAAGCTTCCGTAATGAGGGTCGAAACAATGTCTTTGCTTCCCAAAACTTGAAGCCGTATACTTTGAGAGAACGAAGCTGGGGAACGTCAAGATTGAGCGGGGAATGCGTTTTCTCGTGATCAGTATCCATTTCAGCATCGACGGCGGCGTTTTTGAGGCACAGAGATCTCAGCGATGAATATTGAGCCATCGCTAGCTTCGTTGCAAGGGATTCCGTGATCATGATCTCCAGCTTCATGATTCGAGGCACTTCTTGCAACACGAGCGCCAGAATGCCCTCATCTATCAGTCTCTCGTCCCTGGGACGATAGGCGAAGCGAGGCTTTACGATGAGTGGGACTTGTCCAGATCTCTCTAACAGCATTTTAATCCGTTCAACAGGATATGATGTATCGACGAAAGCCCATAGTGAAGGGCATCCGAGGGCGGCATCGTGCCAAAAGCGACAAACACGAATCACCGTAAGCCAATTGTATTGTAGACGACCATGTCGAAACGCGTCAGCCAAGTGCAAGAAGATCTTCGTTAATAACTCTGGAGGGAGTTGCGATATGTGAGAAGGGGGAAACGAGGAGTTTGAGGATTCAACAGAGATGTCCATGGTGTTCAAGCTTTCGGAGGCTGTGTCTGAGTGAGAATCGGTTGCATGTAAAGCTTTGGAGGTCTCTCAAAGAAGAACTCTTTAAGTTAAGGCAGAGGCAGCGTCTTGATGGACTCACCAGATGTACAAGTCGATTCTGCCGAAAACTATGGGCGGGTGCATGCACATGTCAAGCCGCTTGAAAACGATTCGAAGCCCTTGCTACTTATAGCACGCAGCATAATGATTTATCCCCGGTCCGGTGATGTAACGAGATGAATTTGTAGCCTACTATCTTAAGAACGTTAGCGTTCGCTTTCTCACAAACGACTTCCTTTCTATTATTCCTCTATTTCCTTCGTATGTGTTCTTCCACTGCACCTCGTCCGTTTCGGTCCATAGATACTTCCCCAGTGATAATAAGGACCCTTGTAGCGTACATGCTACCTCTTCAGCTAAACTCTGCACATATGGTTCTCTCTCACGCTACGGTGCGTTCAGACAATACAACTCAGCCGTTGCATGCTACTGACTCGTTTTCAAATCCCAACTTGTTTCCTACCCTTCTCAAACGCAACCTTGAACCTCACATTACATACGTGTGCAGTGACCGAAATGACTTCGCCTTTGCATTCTTTTAGGTACGTCCGTCTTCATCGTCTTTATTTTCTCGCTGGTGAATTTACCAGTCAGCTGCCATATATTCTACTAATATGTGTACTCTATTCTGTCCTAGGATTTAGTGCCCACACCTTTACCGTTCCTGTACGAAATACGCGACGGGAATGGATATGAACACTCTAGAACTCATTCGCATTTCATATAGCCCCATATATTTCATATCGGTCTTCGTTCCCTCTATGGTGCACATCCCTGAAAGCTGCTCAGATATTCGTCCCGTCACTGAGTACATCATGCTCCGCATGTTCACTCGCTTCCAGCAATCTCAAGGTCCAGTACTTTGTTCAATGTATAAGTTGCTGATGCTCTGAATTTTCAGAATACGCTTTCGATCATTATCATGTATGTATATCCTGCTCATTGTTTCGTTCCATCTTGAATTGCAGATTTGGCATCAGCTTCTGTATCGATAGGTTATTATACCATCTCTTGGTCATGTCTACAGGGACAACAGTGATGCTGAAGATGACCGTAAGTTCCTTCTATCGGACTTTTCTATCTCCCATGCAGGTGTTCCAAGGATTTGAGCCATACATGTACATGCTCCTTGCCATTAATTCCATACCTCGCGAGGACTATAAAGCACCCAAACTGCGGACTGTCGCCCATGGTGCATTCAGATATTCCAGGTCCTTTGTGCAATTTTTGCATGTCGCAAGCAATCACGCTACCAATGACTGCACTCCACCTCTTGCAATGTTGAGGTCCCAGGCTCATCCCAAATAGTTCGTGACAGTTGAGGGAGATATTGTAAGTCATCTCATGTTAGTATGCCAGCGAATAATGATAGTGCAAGTAAGGCACTTGTCATGTTTCATGCTATAGTATGACTTTTGGGTCATGGTGCCCTGGCAGAGTCTCTGTGCACAGTAGTCAAGGTTGAGATTCTCAGACTGGGATGAAAACTGAAGTCTACCTCCATTCAGACGGGCTTCACATTTGGGGGATATCTAGGTTGTGCATCTATAAACCATCAATATTTCAATAGGTCACCTATGATCATTCCAATGCTTCCACTTTCCACCATCTCATTCTACCGTCGATCGCCTTCCTGTGCTCCTGCCCTCTCTCACAGTCATGACTCAACTACCTTCATTCGAAATTCTCCTCTCATTACATGGTTCATCCCTGTTTTATCATCCTGCTCTCTCTCTCTCTTTGTGGACAGACCGCTGCATATACACATCTCCATGATATCAATCTCAACACACTCTACCCTCGTATATGGCCCACAGCAGATTACTTGAGTTCTTATTCCTGCTTCTCTCTATTTGTGGTTCATTTGACATATGTACTTGATACCCTATGCATAGATCTCTTTCTTTTTCTCTCCCTTGACCTCGACCTTAACTATCTGCTTCTGAAAAGAATACATTTGACCTTCTGCCTTTCATTTTAAGCCTCGAAATTGTCATCAACTTGGTCCGTGGTCACTGAGTTGACTGCTCACACCTGAAGATGACCAGTCAGCGCGTGAATGCAGATACATCAGTACTCTTTAAACTTGGTATTTGTTAATGAGATGAATAAGCTATTTTAGTAGCCTATCTCTTTGTTGCAATGCTACAGTCAGACAGCCATGGATACATGCAAGTCCAATTTCTCGCATAATGCTAGACATCCACTTCCAGAATTCAATTCTGCTATTCGAAAATACGGCAGGCCTATTCTACCTGCCCGAGTGACGATGACACAGAGTAGATGATGGATGGCCAATCGCTGTCAGTCTGTCACCTCCTTCACATTCCACGTGAAGTTAGGGACAACCGCCATCGCTTCTTCGAGGTCCTCCCTATTGACGTCTGATACACAACCACGAAGGCATATGGTCTCTATCCCAACATTGTGCTTGGCCCGATACTTCAGAGCCGTGGAAAGTGGTAGCGGTGAGGGACTGATGCCTTCATCATCATCGCCCCATCGTAGACGGTAGGTGACCAGGGTGTTGAGACGCGGAAATGGCATTGGCGTAAATTCAGAAGGCGATGGGTCATCCGGAGAATGGATGGAAACGTCACAGTCACCTGTTGTGATCAGGGCAGCCAATTCTCCTGTATGTCAATCTGGCACGATAAGTGTTTCGATACTGTCAGTATCGAATATGTCTGCTAATTCATGCCCTATACGGTTGTACACACGACTTTCCGAGTTGAAAACGAAAAGCAACGTTTGGAGCTCCTGGAAATCGAAGTGTCGAGTGGTATGCATTAGCCCTTCCACGTCGTTATGCATAAAGGCACTTGCGAGATTGAGATGAAGAAATGGTCGGGGGAGTGAATGAGGCCGTCCAATTGCCAATGCGAATTCGTCATGAGGAAAGACAACATCCCAGCCTCGTATCTCTATTATCACTCCTTCATCCGCCGGGTTGACCTGAACAACCATAGATCGCAGCATACGGGACGGGGGCAGCTTCAGATCGTAATTTGGTAGACCACAGAACATTACAGCACGGTAAGTCATCATATCGATGTCGTCGGCTTCGACTCCACTCAACAGGCCGACAGTCGCCATTTCAAAGAACACCGATGCTCCTGGTGCGACCTCGAGGTTATCCAGGAACCGAGCGTAGTGATGGCTGCCATCGATATGTAACCATCGCAAATGATTCAAAGCGACAGGTTCGTAGTCCTTTGGATACTTAGCATCGCTATCATAGGAGTCGAATGCAAGCAGGTCTAAGGAGGTAGCTCTCGTATGCACTCCGACACTTCGCGTAGAGGCGGATACTCGGTCGCATCGAGCACAAGCTTGCGTAATGAGGGTCGAAATAATGTCTTCGCTTCTGAGAACTTGAAACGGAATACTTTGAGGGAACGAAGGTGAGGCAGGTCAAAATTGAGAGGAAAGTGCCCTTGCTCGTGGAGAGGGTCGTCTCCATTGATGCAGATCTTTCTGAGGCTCAGGGATCGCAGCATTGGGGGTGGATGTTGAACTAACGCTTCAAGCTTTGTCAAAAGTGATGCCGTAATCTCGACCTCGAGCTTCACGATTCTAGGTAGTTCCTGCAACACAAGCTCCAGAATGACCTGATCCGACTGATCTTCGTATGGCGGATCCCAATCGTTAAGCTTTGCGACGAGTGGGACCCTTCCAGACCTCACTAACAGCACTTTAAGCCATTCCAAAGCATCATAAGATACGTCGATGAAAGCCCATAATGAATGACATTGGAGGGCTGCGTCGTGCCAAAAGCGACAAACGCGAGTGACCGGAAGCCAAGCGTATGGTTGATGACTATAGCAATCCATGGCTCTTGCCTCATGTCGACATGCATGGGCAAGGCGCAAGAATATATTTGTTAATAGCTCTGAAGGGAGCCGCGATATGTGAGAAGGGGGAAACGACGAGCTTGGGGGTACAACGGAGATGTCCATGACGTTCAAATCTTCAAAGGCTGTGTCTGAGCGAGAGTTAGTTGCATGCGAGGGTCTTTCAAAGCACAACTCTTTAAGTGAAGACAGAGGTAGCGTCTTGACGGACTCACCAGATCTACGAGTCGACTTTGCCGAAAACCATGGGCGGGGGCATGCACACGTTGAGCATTGAAAAGGACTCGAAGCAAGCGTTGCTACTTATACCACGCAGGTGATCATCGATGCATCTGTAAGATCAGCACTATCTCGTCCACGGAACTTACCAAATTGGATGAATGACTACATTAGGGAAGCTCAAGGTAGACGGGTCACGGTACAGATACAGCTGGATAAGTAGGAATGAGGCTGACAACGTTAATGTGAACCGCAACAGCGAACCCCGACCTACAGCCAAGTCCACAGAGTAGGTCTTTACCGGCCATTCATTTTGCACACTTTGATCAGGCACTGCTCGGGGCCGTTGTCTCACGGACTCTCTTGATTTTCGTACCGTGAAACGTTGCAGTCACTGCTCAACCTCAACTCATTGAACTGTACACTTGTCGGCACGAATCGTCAAGGTTTATTGGTGAGTAAACGTACTTCGCGCATAAGGAAGAAATGAGTACTGACTATATTTCAGTTTCACGTCGTTTGAGACTACGATAATGGCAGAGCAACCGGTTGAATTCTTACCTCCGGATTCAGGATATCTCGAACTTCATGGAAGTTATCGTGATGATACGTCTATCAATCATCTTCCGGCAGAACTTCTCCTGGACATATTTCATCTGTGTGTCGCGTCAACACAAATTATCAACGCGCCTCCTCATGAGGTTTCAAGGCTTTTTTGGAAGTGAGGAAGAAAGTTGATGTACCCGTTGCCGAGTTCGTGATAGAAGACACCGAGCTCTAGGCAGATAATGTGGAGGTGCTCAGAAAGGTAGTAGGGCAACTTCGTTATGAACGCTGACGCCTGACGCCTGAAGTGCACAATCAGGCTTGGAGAGAACGTACAGCTGGTGTGCAGGAAGGCGCGGCATTTCAATCTCTAGATCTAGACAAAAGGAATCAGACAATATGATTACTTGTACCCACAGAGTAAGTGCACGACCAGGTAGCGGATGTGGCGTCACTTAGTAGACCACATAAGCTGACGTGTCTTTGAAGAATAGCTCCTGTTAGATAGAATAATCAATGCTTGCACATACAAAAGATGCTCCGTGTATAGTGTGTGATCTATCATCTCCGATGAGCTGCATCTCTAGGATAAAAGCGACGGAAATACGCATTCCGTCACGAAATACTCATGAAATCTGTTATCCTTTGTCAGCTCGGGATGAAAACTCGTCAGTAGATGTTTCCCTTGTCTGAGAGCCACGATAGTCCTTGGGTCTCTAGGATCTGTGTCGTCTTCGTCGGGGGAGACAATGGTTTGGGAAGATGGGAGCAAGGAGGTGGATATCCGTGAGATCACGACGATCGGTGGGTCAGACGGTGTTGTATGTATCGCAGTTACCACCTAAATTACTGTAAGAACAGCAGCAGCAGTAGCAGAGGCAAACTTTATGACGAACCGGTGCCCGAATGAAAATCCCGTGGAACGGTCGTTCGGATTCTCGAAGACCTTCCACTTCCAGTGGCGCCTCAAAAGATTCAACCTGTATTAGAGAGTTCAAATGGCTGACAGAAGAAGCGAGAACATAGATACACAACCTGCGAGCCCCAACCATTCCTCGCTACTGTTACGGACATTCCGCTCAATAGCTCCTGACCACCCTTCTTCGGATTCTCAATAGCAGAAGCAAGCAGAATGGCTCCAGCGCAGGTGCCCCAAATTGGTTTCTTCTTCGCGAATTCTCGAAGAGGTTCTAAGATCCCCGCAAGACGAGCAAGAAGAGCGATCGTGGTCGATTCTGCGAGCCACAGTAATTCAGCCATTAGTTCGCCTGTTTAAAGAAAATGAGTAAACGATCCGAAGTTGCGTACCTCCGCCAGGTATAATGAGGGCATTGCAGCTCGCAAGATCATCCTGTGTGCGTACCAGGATAATGACGATCTTGCGCTTGGAAGGCACCTTCTTCAGCATGACTTGGTGCTCGGCGAAGGCGCCTTGTAGCGCTACGCGTTCGAGAAAATAAGCAGGCGTGAATCCAGAGAGCAGGATTCAACGCGCACCCAGTATGCCGATATGCACATCCTGCTGCAGATCCTCCCCTTGCTGCATTTAAGTAATGAAGAGGCCCAGATAACGACGTGGTTCAGCTTCAAGGCGTCCGGAGGCTTTCAGCGGATAAATTTCCGAGGATCGATCAGTCGGTGCGCATCCACATATGGCAACTAGCGTTGAGCAGGGGAAGTGGCATCACCTTGGGCATCACCACAAATGATTGAACCTTTTTTGTCATGTGAGGGAGGAAATGAAACGAGTTGGCCAGAAAAACATAATTAATATGAACTCTGAAGTACAAGTAAGCAGAACAAGGAAGATATATACAATACGGGTAAATGTAAGGCTATATTTGCCAACTACATCTCCGGTCGCCAACCATCCTATGACAAATCGAAGTTGTATAGCTCCTTCTGAATGTTATCCAACCTATGCTTCTTGCTAGTCAACTCCGCCCTCTCTGTAACGATGTTTGGATCCTCAGCGAGATACGCCTTGCAAAGAGCGGCTGCATTGGCCGTTCCAAGCCCAAGTTTCTCAATCAAGAAATCTTGCAATGTCTCGGCGAAAGCGAATAGAAAAGTGTGGTCAATAGCCATAGGTACAGAATCGATAACCCGCTTCGAGAAAATGTTGTTCAGAAATGGTGGGTTACAAAATGTGAAGACAGCCTACCTTGTATGCGACGTGGAAGTAAGCTCGTACTTCTGCCATGACGTCCATTTCCTTCTCGTACAAGTCAGGAGGGTTCAATTTGCCCAAATCAGAAACCGTTATATTGTGTCCAAGGGCTGCTAGTGCCGATAGCGCCTGCTTCTCAAGCCTATCACGTTCTTCATCTGCGAGCAAGGGACGTTTCCTGAAATTGTTCAGGATATCGGCAGGACGAGCTGCGGCAGCATTAATACCAGGCGTGGAGACTGGGGTAGATTTTTTGTTCCCTGAAGTAGGTTTCTTGCTCGCTGGAGTGGGCGTCTGAGGTGTCGGTGTCGGTTGTTGGGGATTATAGCCAAAGTTTCCACCACCTCCATCTTGTCCGAAAGTGAAAACAGCCGGCTTCGGCGCCGGAGCGGAAGCCTTAGAGGGCTGTTTTGGAACTGCCATAGACGATACCGTTGATGGCGTTGTGGTAGGTGTAGTGGACGATTTGGAAGGAGTGGGTGCGTGTCCACTTGTGGATTGCCGTCGGGCCTCGGCTTCAGGTTGAGGTAAGCAGCTGCTCGATTCAGGGCCGGAGGGCTGATCCTGCCTCGCGGGATTTTCTGAACATCACTGTAAGCTAATAGCGAAAGGTGTTACAAGCGAAGACTTGCCTGGTAGAGGTGTATCTTCAGCTGCGACCCTTCGGCGACGTTTTGCAGGAGGTTCATTCAAAGTGGTATGTCCAGCCCTCGCGTCCTTGAACTTTGCGAGATATTTATCCTTCGTTACTTGCAAATAATGGCTATTTTGGGTATAAGGCGTCGATTCGCATTTGAGAATAGTCTCGATATGTTTCCATGTATCGACGTGTTTTGTCTCCACCAGATCCGCCACAACGTGCCTAGAATAACGAGGACACCATGGGTCAGAAAATGAACAGGTAACCGGGATAACCTATATATTCAGAGAACGCACCTCAGACGAGTCTTGAGCTTCTCATAACGCCCGAATTTTTTGTCGATGAGTTGGAACATTGTTTGTTTCAGTAACCTGTAGACCCCATCAAAACATCTTTGACTGTCTGTCTCCCATGTGCTCTGAGAGGCCTTCATGAGCGAGACCTTTGCTGCATATGGCACGTTATGCGGGAGTTCTCGGGTGATGGACCTGGAAAGCTCGTAAGATAATTTAGTCTAAAGACGCGAAATCAAAATACGAACTTGTCGATATGTTGCTTAACATCACTTAGGAAGACGTAATTTCCGGGGCTGAGGTTCAAACTTTGAGTACATACACCTCCGTCCCCTTGTTGATCTTCGTCATCGATATCGAGCCATTCAATTCCACCAGAAGACATCTCTGACGCGTCGACAAAAGGAAGGAACTGCGGAGCTGAAGAACGAATATCGTGCTTATACGTGGTGTATATCTGACGATTGGCCTGAACTAGTTCCGCACAACCTGGATCACCATGAACGTTCAGCCTGATATCTTGGCAGAAGGCTGTGATGAGGCTTAGGATGTACGATGATGGTTCGGTCGTGATTGGCTTGGGAAGCACTGCCAGACGGTCCATACATTTCTTCAGCTGTCTGTCAACTTCAGACTGAAGTTTGGGGAGTCTGGAACAGAAACGTGATATGAAGGTCAGGGAGACGTTTATGAAGCCCTCCTCAATGCACCTACGTCTCGTCTATGATCTGACTTAAGAGTTTGCTGACACTCGTGATTAGATTGTTCGTCCCAAAACGACGTTGTTGTGTAGACCGACACCACGGAACGGTCTTTGAAAAGAAGTCTAGTTCTGCGTCCCGAGCTTGTTGAGAGGTAATGCCATTCGAGCGTTCCTCATCGTCTGGCTGACGAGTGCAGTAGTATCCGTGACGCAGGGGATACCGACGACCCCCAATGACATCTAGCCATAGATCCCTCGATTTTGTGGCTCCGGGGGGCAGAGTATCCGGCTTGGTCAAAACACCTTCAAGACGTTAACATTCCATTTCCAAGAAGAGACATCATGGGAATCCTACCAATGGTGCGAGAACCAGTTGGGTCCTCCTGTTTGGCCAGCCAGGCAGCCTTTTGGTTCTCGATATCATCTGTTCCGATAACAAAATAAGGAAACGGTGAGTTGCAAAACCGAAGGATGCGTACCCGACATTGGCAGTGTCACGAGAATTAAACAGTTTCCGCGGATATGGGATAACACCAGGTCTTCCACAAGTTGGACAGTGTCCGATTCAGCGTTCTGGATGATACCTACCCTGAGGTCAGTACGAAGTCGGTTTCTTATGAATTGATAAGTACCAGGCAAATCCACGAAAGCGAGTTCGGTGAGCTCTGGTCCCTGGAGGTCGACACAAACCGTATTTCGTGAGAACTTTAACTGATGAGAACCTTTCGCTCTCAGCTCATCAACAGTCGCACGGAGGAATTTGGCAGCATCACGGCGGGGGTTGAGAACAACGGCTTGAGCACGACGGAGGGCCAGCTCCACGTCAGCTTTTGAAGTGATAACTGCTCCGAAAGGGACTTCGTGGACTTCATCCTTGCGAGATCCGTCTTCGTTGAATTCCCAGCGGATTGACACTTGGCATCGCCATTCGTCGGAAGAATGGGAGAGACGACATTCCATTGGACACCGTGTACATGTTCCAGCATCCCGAGGAACATTTATCTGTGAGTAGATGAATGCATGGTAAACCTGCTTCTACTCAAACACGTCGAAACAGTCCTACCCCTGAGATGGCCTCTACTAGACTGGATTTGCCGGCACTTTGGTTTCCAATGACAGCAATTCGCGGAAGATCCAAGTCAGCTTGGGCACTTCATAATGTTAGTAGAGGAATGGTGAATTGCGCTCATTCCAAGCTACCCTATTGCTCGCAATTGGTTGATGAGAGCGAGGTGCTGTTTTCGCCTTTTCGCGTACGAAGAGTCGGCACTTGACAGATGAGATGTCATTTTAAGTTATGCAATGAAAGTATTGTAGTAGTGGAAGAGGGGATGTAGCGAGTGGCTGACTCGACGCGTAAAAAGGATAATATTTAGAACGCGCCCCGAGCACGTGGCCGTACAAACTACCACTGCCAGGTCCACCAACTTCTCGTCAATGGAACTAGCAAGTCAGATGAATGGCTACCTTACGGGAGTCCGCAGGAGATGGATACACGGCAGATACAGCTGGGCGAGTATACTTGGTCGACTGTGGACAGTGCTGATCTTGCGAATATGATCACCGGACCGGGGACAATGCTGCGTGGTAGAAGTAGCTTCTCAAGCTTCTCAAGGCTCGATATCTTCATCCATGCCCATGTTTTTTGGCAAAGTCGACACGTAGATTTGGTGAGTCCATCAAAACGCTGCTCATCTCTGCCTTAATCTAAAAGGTTGTGCTTTGAAAGACCTTCGCATGCAACTTACCTCGAGCTCGGGGCTCAGGCACAATGGACACCTCCGTTGCATCCCCAAGCTTTCGTCTCCCTCCTCACGTATCGCAACTCCCTCCAGAGTTATTGACCAAGATCTTCTTGCACCTAGCCGATGCATGTCGACATCAGGCAAGAGCCATGGATTACTATGATAGTAGTGGCTATGGACCATACGCTTGGCTTCCAGTCACTTGTGTTTGTCACTTTTGGCATGACGCAGCCCTCCGATGCCCTTCGTTATGGGCCTTTATCGACGTATCCTATCCTCTGGAGCATGTTAAAATGCTGTTAGCGAGATCTGGAAAAGTCCCACTCATCGTGAAACCTACCCATCGTTCCGATGATGCTGGGTCAAAGCAAGTTCAGCCTGATCAAGTCGTTCTAGCGCTTGTGCTACAGGAGCTACCTCGGATCGTGAAGCTGGAGGTGGAGATCATGGCATCACTGGGGACAAAGCTAGAAGCGATGGTTCAACGTCCAGCACCCATGCTGAGATCCCTCTGCATCAAAAAGCTTTCCATCTTCGAAGACGACCCTTTGAATGAGCAGAAGAAGCGTTTCGCTCTCCGTTTCGACGTTCCTTTACTTCGTTCCCTCAAAATAGTCGATCTCAAATTCTCAGAAGCAAAGACATTGTTTCGATCCTCATTACGGAAGCTTGTCCTCGAGGCGACCGAGTACCCTCCTTTACGCGAAGTATTGGACTGCATACGAGAACTACCTCTTCTATCATCCTTAGAGCTTCGCGCTTTCGACTATTTCTATGATAGCGATACCGACTATCCAGAGGACTACGAACCTGTTGCTTTGAATCACTTGCAGTGGCTCCATATCAAGGGTTCGCAACACTACTCTCAGTTCCTCGATAACCTTGAGGTCAGGCCAGGAGTATCGGTGTTCTTTGAGATGACGACTGAGGACATGTTCGTTGAAGTCGAGGACATCGATACGATGACTTACCGTGCTGCAACATTATCTGGACTACCAGATTACGATGCGGAACTGCCCCCATCACGTTTGCTGCGATCTGTGGTTGTCGAGGTCGAGCAGGTGGGTGAAGGCGTAGTAATGGACATCCGGGGCTGGGATGTCGTCTTTCCTCATGACGTATTTGCACTGGCAATCGAAGACCCTAGTTCATTCCCCCGACCATTTCTTCACCTCAATCTCGAAAGTTTCTTCGTAAATGACGACGTGGAGGCGCTGTCTTATTTCTGCCGACACATCGATTTCGAGGAGCTCCAAGCCTTGATTTTGGTTTTCAGCAGGCGAAGAGATGTTGACAAGGGCATGGGGCACGGATTAGCAGACATATTCGACAGTCCCAGTATCGGGACACTTATCGTGCCGGATTGGCAGGTGGGACATTTAGCTGCGCTTATCACAACGGGTGATTGTGATGTTTCCATCCGTTCTCCGGATGACCCGTTGCCTTCTCGAATTCCGCCAATACCCTTCCCGGGTCTCAAAACCCTCGTCACTTACCGTCTACGATGGACTACTGATGATGATGGCATCAGGACCTCACGGCTACCACTCGCTACGGCGCTGAAATATCGAGCCAAGAACAATGTTGGGATAGAGACACTATTGCTTCACAATTGTCTAAACATCGACAGTGAGGATCTGGGAGAATCGACAGTAGTTGTTCCTAACTTCGTTTGGGAGGTGTGGGGGGCGTCTAGACGATGAGACCGAATACTGTTCCTTGCTCGTCAGAGCAAGGTAGCCACCGGGGAGTTTGCGTGGACATCCGATTGCACACTTGTTTGCGCATGTTTTTGCTTAAGATAAGATTAGGTAGACACTTAGCGCTTAATGCCAATGTGAGGTTGGGTTGCTGGCGACGCGTCCTTTGTGCACACATACCGTACGGAGGTTAACTGTGGGCACTGGCGACACCTGCCTTTTGAGTGGGGAATCGTAGTGATCTCTCGCAGCTTTCCTCCTGCAATCTATTATGTATAACTGTGGTTATGCGTTACAGAAATCGCGCTTTCACTGAGTCGTGATATTTCTCCACCAATGGCACGTCTTCGTATTCAACTCCCTCAGTCTTTCATCTTCATTCGCCAACGCTGAATCCAACGGCTTCAAGAACATGCGTTCGTCAAAATCGCGCAGGAGACGGATAGTTTGCCGACCGGAGCTTCTCGATAACGCTACATATATGTTGAACAAAGTGAGTTCTCCGCCAGGCGGTGTGGCGATATCAATGATAACATCTACCACATCTGCTACGTGTTTGACCGTTTCATGTATTATTACCTCTACTTACTAAACGTATTCTCCCGCTACTGCATCATCTCTGACATCAAAGAAAACTCCACCTCGCTACTTAACTCAATTTCCGTCCATCTCCATATCACCCATATCATGGCCACCAACACTCACACCGATCCTGTAAAGCCCTTAGCTTCTATCGACATTGTTCCTTTACTCACTATTTCCCGTACTCATCTCGCACTCACATATATCACACACAATCCCAACCTGCCGATCTTCAAACTTCTGCTTCCACCGTAAGCATCTTTTTCCCGAGTCCCCATCTACCTCAACCACTCGCATTACCTTAGAGTATAGTAACATACACTGTGATCGTACATCTGCTGAATATTGAGGGCCAAATGTGCGGCCTTCCACATTTCACTATCTTAGTTTATATTATTCCCCGCAACGTGCACATCTTACCAGTAGACTCTGAATAGTGTACAATGTATTTTCCTAGCACCTCTTGCCATTATTCACAAGCCTAAAGTGCGAGCAAGGCTTTTCGTCGCGCCAGCGGCGCTTTCGAGTAAACAAAGCGAGTACGCCGATCCTTTGTCGCTTCGATTAAATTTTGCCGATCGGTGAAACTCTTTCCTCGAAAGGAAGGTATGAAAGATTGAGCGCGTGCGAATGTTGGATATGATTGAAGTCCAACTTGCATCCATATGGCTTCTGATCTCGCGTCGATGTTAGATAAAATGTTATCCTTCCTTCGCAGTGCCCGCCGTCTCGTACGAAAGCCGTTATCTCCACGACTCTTCCCAGTGACTGGCTTTCAGGTCATCGACAAATCCCATTTGATCGAAGAGGAGACTTGGGACTGGTACAAACCTGAAGAGTTCTACAACGTCCGTATAGGCGAGGTCTTCAACACAAAGTATCAAGTCGTCGGAAAACTGGGATATGGTGCGTATGGGACAGTCTGGCTATGCCGGGACCTGGTGTAAGCTACGCCACGATTGACTTTGAGCTTCATTCTGGGCTTTGACTCATGCATCGCACACAGGGAGCACCAGCACGTCACGCTCAAAATTGGCACGTGCGAGGCGCTCGAAAGCGAGCTCGCAGTGTTGAGGCATTTGAAAGCGATCAGGACGAACCATTCTGGCTCGTTGCTTGTTCGGCAGATGCTGGACGAATTTCAAGTCACTTCTGAGCAAGGAAAGTTTCAGTGCATCGTCCACCCACCATTGGCTATTACCCTTGGCTCGTTCAGGCGGATGATACCGACAAAGTCCCTACCTGTTGACCTCCTAAGGGCGGTCCTTCAGCATCTTTTGTCTTCACTTGATTTTCTTCACACTGAGGCCAGAGTGGTACATACGGGTATGGCATGATTATCAACTTTTCCCGCCCTCTTCCCACTGAACGTGTTGCAGATATCCAGGAGAAGAATATCTTGTTGGGCATGAACGATAGCACGGCCGAATCGGACTTGGAAAGGTTCGAACAGGAGGAACTCGTGTCTCCATGCCCACGCAAAATCGACGGGGACCGCGTAATCTACTTATCCAGGCCACTGGTGCCTCGTATTTATCCATATGGCCGCCCCGTACTTTGCGACTTTGGCGAGGCTCGATTCGGCGACTACAACAACATGATTGACATTCAACCCTATCAGTATCGAGCCCCAGAGGTGATCTTAGATATGGCTTGGGACGAGAAGGTCGATATCTGGAACGTCGGCGTCATGGCACGTATCCCCGTCCTTATCACCATCGGTATTCGCGTTTCACTCTTTCACTGACTTTTCACGGCGCTGTGCTGCAGATATGGGATTTGTTCGAGAACGGCAACCTTTTCCGTACCACTGGAGGGCCAGAGGAGAAGCAGGATAATATCTACCATCTTGCACATATGGTCGCCCTACTTGGTCTTCCTCCCAAGGACTTCCTCGCGCGAAGCAAAACGGATCGGCCGTGGCGCTGGTTTGATGAGGACGGTGGGTGTTCGGGTTCTCAGCCTTGATGCGTCGATTGATTTGCCTGGATAGGAAACTGGAAAGGAGAAGCGGAGGTTCCGAACACGACGTTGGAGGACGCCGAACGGCAACTTGAAGGAGAGGAGAAGGCGCTTTTCCTGGCCTTTATGAGGAAGATGCTGAAGTGGAGACCCGAGGAGAGAATTAATGCCAAGGAGCTGCTGGACGATCCATGGTTGAAGTCTGCCTGATGATGATAATGGACGGGTTTCTATTTCTGCTTCTTGTTTTCTATCCGAGTTCCGAGTTCCGAGTTCTCTTGCGCTTTGTTGTCTTCATTGCTGTGATGTCAACTCTTTTGTCTTTTGTGTCTGCTGTACCTAGTCTTTCTCACACTTGCTATGCTTGTACCCTCATGTTAATGTTCGCGACGGAATACCACACCACTCATGCTTTCCGAGATTTAGGTGCAATTCCGGGACCTCCATGAATAGTGTGATTTTTCCGCCTACTGTTTTATAACGCCACATTCAACGCCAGGCAGAGTCCTTGTTTAGCGGCGGAGACTAACACCGTACTGGGTACATTAACATCTGCGTTACAAACTATATCCTCGACCGACCTCTCGATGGTAAACTGGCAATCCTTTTGATACATATTGTAGCACATAGGAAGGCCGGCACGATAGTGTTACGCTCAGATCGCGAAGTCCAGAAGTTCTTGTTGGGCACTTATGAGCCGCTTTTTCCGGGCAAGTAATTCTTCTCGCATAGTGGTAATTCCAGCGTCTTCTGCAACATATACTGCGCAGCGCTCAGATGTATTCTTCGTCGCGAGTTCAAGTTTTTCGATAAGAAACGCTTGGAGAGCATCAGAACATGCGAACAAGAATTCGTGATCTATGATCATTGGCACATAGTCGACAATTCGCTGCACGAACAAAGGTGAGATCGAAATTCAACTATTAACACGGGTCCTGACCTTATAGGAAACTTGGAAAAATGCCCGAACTTCGGCCATCATCTCGAGCTCCTCCTCATATTCATCACGCCGGTTGAGCTTTCCAAAATCCTCGGTAGCAACTCCAGCGTATCCCAGCCTAGCGAGACCTGCAATGATATTCGCTTCTTCCCGTTTACGTTCCTCTTCACTGAGAATACCTTTAGAAAAAGATGAGAGTGGCTCAGCTGTTTTTGGCAAGTTCTCCCAAAAGGGTGTGAAAGGAATCGATGGTTTCAACGGTGTCGCTGTTGATGACCCTGCAGTCGGCGATGTCAAGAATGAGTTCCTAAGAGCCCCTTTGCGGAAGTCTTCAGAGAACTTGAAATCATCTGGGAGAGCTATTTTCGATGACTTGTCTGTTGGCTTTGCGGATACATGTGCACATCCAGTGACACTACTTGAGACGGCACCCACTGATTTCGCGTCATGTGATGGAGGCGGCGGAGTAAACGCAGCAAATGGCCCTACACCAGATGGCTGTGGCGGCTTGAAACCAAGAAGAGCTGCACGAGCGTCCTTATATTTAGATAGAAAGTTGTCCTTGGTTTCGGCTAGATAACGAGAATGTTGAGTGAACGGCAACGCTTCATGGTTGAGTGTCTTGAAAATCTGAACAAGCGTATCCTCATATTTGACTTTCACCAATTCGTCAACTACCAACCTACAAATGTCGTCAGCGGTAAACCAAGGGTCAAGTTCCTGCAACATACCTAACCCTGGCTTCCAAGTGTGCATAGAGACTGAGATTGCTATCTATGAGTCTGCAAAGAAGCTCGTGGAAGGCGGCATGAACAGCCTCAAAGCATCTTGCACTTAATGCTTTCCAGGATGTCTGGAAGTGCTGTATCAAGGCGACCTTTGCGCTGTAAGGTACATTATTTGGAAGCTCTCGCGTGAGCGACCTGTCGGAACAATGGGTGAATAAAGGGCGAGGGAATGATGAAGATATAGTACCGTCGTATATGGTCTCGTACATCGTTGAGAAACATGCATCCATCCACACTGGAAGGCGAAGCTTCTGCTGAGAAGCCATTTTCATCGTGCGCAAATGATGTCACCGTAATAGAACCGCTTTGCTGTTTATCAACTGTATATGGCAGGAATTGTGGCGCCGTGGAAAAGATCTCTCGCATATAAGTGTCGTATATTCTGCGATTCTCCTGAACAAGACTCGCCGTTCGTGAGCCACCTTGAACAAATGATCTAACCTCGAGACAGAACGAAGTGATCAAGTTGAGCACATAGGCGGACGGGTCTGTCGTAACCGGCTTAGGAAGCGTCTTGAGATGCGCTTCACAAGCAGAAAGATCATGGTTAACTTCAACTACGAGTTTAGGAAGGCTACATACGAAATCCATGTTAGTAGACATCTTTTATCGCATAAGGGACGTACCTCTCATTAATGACATTGCTTAGGAGGATACCGAGGTTTTCGACAAGATTCCTAGTCCCGAATCTGTGACGATGAGAGGAAAGCGACCAGGGAGCGACCTGTGAGAAGAAGTCTTCTTCAGCAGCCCGCGCCCCGGTCGAAGTGATACCCCGTTGCCTCTCGTCGTCATCGGGTTGGCGAGTACAGTAATAACCATGTTTCAGTGTATGTCTATGTCCCTCAATGATGTCAAGCCAAAGGTTGCGCATTTTGATGGCTCCCTCTGTCAGAGTGTCCGGCTTCGTAAGAACGCCTTCGGCAAGACGGTGAGCTATCTAAGGGTGAGGATATTTTGAGCTATTTTTCGTACCTATCGTACGATCGCCATAGGGATCAACTTGTTTTGCAAGACGAACGGCCTTCTGATTCTCGATGTCATCTATTTACGAAGAGTTAGCTTCAGCCTATGACAAAGATGAATGAGATAGTACCGCTCATAGGCATTGTGATTAAAACAAGGCAATTGCCGCGTATATAAGAAAGAACAAGCTCTTCAACAAGTTGGACAAGGTGGTTCTCCGCATTTTGAATGATGCCTTATTAGAGAATTAGGCATATTAGAACATATTTTAGCTGATATACATTCAAGACTCATACCGGGCAGGTCGACGAAAGAGAGGTCTGTGAGCTCAGGACCAGAAATATCCAAACATACCACATTTCGTGAGTATGCCAAAGCGTTCTCTCTGGGTGCCCTCAGCTCTTCCATAGACAAAGAAAGAATGTGATTCATGCTGTCTTTGGGATTTAGAATCCAGAATTGTGCACGACGGAGAGCGAGTTCAACGTCTGTCTTGTCCGTAAGATGTTCAACGAGGTGCTCTTCCATTACTTCATCAAGACGTTGCCCTTGTGGATCGTACTCCCAGCGAATGGAGACTTGACATTTCCAAGGATCTTCAGATGAAGATAGGCGACATTCAATGGGGCATCGAGTACAAGTACCAGCATCACGAGGGAGGGAAATCTATAGAGCAGTGAGTAACCGTGTAGATTTAATCTTAAGTGAGATATCTATACTCCTGATATGGCCTCAACTAGACTCGACTTTCCTGCACTTTGATTTCCAATGACTGCTATCCTAGGTAGATCTATGTTGGCTTGTGCACTATAGACGAAGTACCGTTATTGGGGTACAATCGATACTTATCCGCAACGATTTGGCATACCCAATTGCTCGGAGCTTTTTCACCAATGTGAGTTGTTCTTTCCGTCTTTTAGCATATCGAGAGGTTGACGCAGAGACGTGGGCCATGTTTAATGGATAGTGACAAGGAGTGGCACTGATTGAGGAGGTTGAAAGGGACCTGGCCACAACCAAATACGGAATGCTCCACTGTGATCACGGTCTTTGCCGAATAATCTTGCCAAGTGCGTGATTTTCTGGCCCCTGGTGCTCTCTTGGTTCTAAGTTAAGACGAAGGAAACCAAAATCTTGCCAAGAGAAATGCAAACAGAGGCAACTCCGTCTGCGATTACATGAACGGCATCCCTCCAACAGAACGGCAAAGATAAGAACTTCAGAACTTCATTCCAAATGTTTTTCGAGTATTGTCTTGCAATTATGCAAGACATCTCCGGCACTCACTGACTTCTGGCATGAGCTCGAGATTTTTTCGTACTCGTCTGCAGGATACAATTTGGCCAAATCGGAGGGTATCATAGGAGCGACAACATGGAGCTGCGAGTATTATGAGCTGCAGTTGTAAGTGAGAGGGGCCAAATATCAGTGATTTGTATAAAGAAAACTTCCACAAATTGAGTGATCACGTAGAGATTATAGCAGTATATTCAAATAGTATAACTTGTCCGTGACATGGTATCATATCTATAAATGAATTTGTTGGATCAGTGAGCCGGCGAGGGTAAAGAGCGTATTAAATACCGTACATCAATCCCGATGCTCAACCACCTCCTTCGCACATCTTACATAGTAATCAAACCTTCTCTCAAAACGTTCGCATATCCGCCTCGCTACACCTTCTGATGCGGGTACTTTGTCCGCTGCAACCGAGATACAAAGTCCGCCCGCATATGAGATAATTCCCATTCCAATGGTACCTGCGGCGGCATGGGATTAAACACTTTGAACAGAGCAAATGAAACTGTGGCCGACGAACCTGTGCCGCTTTGCGGTGGGAGTGCCGCCCAGCGCATCACCTCAACACCTTCCAATGTGATGGTGTTCTTTGCTGGTCCGGGTACACTAAAGTAGGACATCAGAACCTTCACGATAGATAGACAAATAGGAAATATTTACTTCGTCAGTATTACAGGAACTACGCGGAACTGCGTTAGAATGGAATTCGAAGAGCAGAGCATGCAAAGCCGACTTACATGATCGCAACGAAGACTCAATCAACGGCACCAGTACCCACTTCCTCACGAAGTTCTTCGAACTGTTCAAAAGCCCAAACGGTACCGGCCAAAGGGTCGGAACCTGACCAGTGACTTGCATGATGTAGAAAACGATGCGGGGAATAAGACTGTGTTTGAGTAATGAGAGTGCCGACCGACATTGGTGTATGTGATCATAAAGCATCTTCGGAGAAATACTAGCGTCTGGAGGCATTGGATTCAAGTACACTATCGAGCCGGTTGTGAGATTCCGCAGCGACCAATCCCCAGGCTTTCGTACGCTGATCGGACTACGTCAAAGGAATCAGCATTCATGGTACGAATAGAGAAGGTCAAGCATACATGAAGAATCCAATTGGCGATGGTAAAAACTTCGTGAGCACCTTCTTCATCCGTCCTGAGATACTGTTGTCCTGTGGTTTTGAAATAATCTCCGCGGCGAGTACATCGACCATCACAGAACACATCACGTCATTCAACGTGACATGCCTGACTTTATCCTGACCTCCCTTATCCTTCTCCACCGCACTTCCAGGATACAATCCAGAGAACGCGTCTTGGCAGAGTCGAATATCGTTCAGATCGACAACCTTGGAACTCGAATACTCCCTTTCATGTACCCGTTGGCCATGCTGAGGAGCCGTGAGCATCTCCACGCGCCAACATGTAAGTAGAAACATCGTTATTTGAATTACAGCTTGGTAGACACTGAAGAAGAAGGATACGGGGAGCGACAAAGCGTAAACGATCCAGAAGAGCGAGGCGAGGAAAATCTGGATAAGAGGTGCTATGAGGACGTTCGAAGGATCTGTGTAGGGATCGAGAGGTCGGAGTATTGGGTGCACTTTTGAAGGGAGGAGGTTTCCGCGCTTGGCTGCATATAAAGTGTGAGCACCGTTGTTCATGGCCTTTCTGAGTTCATCGTGATAAGATGTCATATAAAGCTGGCTTATGACGAATCCTGGAGCATCGTGAGATAAAACAGCAAGTTCTGACTGAGGGAAATAAATCCATCATCACCTTGTCCATCGGCAAGCGTATGATGTCTGAAAAGGACCATCCATCAGTTCCTCTCTCGTGCGGGCAATGACTAAGTACACACCCTCTAGATACTATCGCGCACTCTCCACCATCTTCATCGTGATAGTTCTCAAGGATTATCATTTCCCACAGTGGTCTGGTGAAGTCCCAATCTTGCGCAATAAACTTACCCATCTATATTCGATTCATGGCTTCGGTGAACCTGAAGAGAAGCGGATATGTAGGAGACTGACGAAGTCATCAAGTTCGCGCCTGCCCGCCGGTTCAGGAAGTTGTGCCATAAGGATGTGATTATTCATATCAAAGTTTGGATCATCCTCAAACCGTGCGCCGTGGAACTTGCGACCGACCGAGGTCAGTCTCTGATGATACTTAGGAAACTTCTTGTCCGTACGGATCATAGCCTGTATGGGACACATGGAGAGTATGAAGGTCATTCATTCGAGAAACTCGCACAATACTTACATGTTGAAGCATTTCCACTGAGATCTTTCCTCGCAGAACGTATGTGCATGCACAAACCTGAGCACAATTTAGGACGACCTAATATGAGGATGTGGCATTGGACGGACCGGATTGAAGTCGGAGGTAGCCTCCCTCAATAGCAACCAAAGATTATCAATACCCCCAATCATTTGTCGCCGTTCCTCGACCTCTCGTTCAACCCAATCTCCGGCAGAAAGCAATTTGCTGGCAAGCCAGCCTGGTGCTCCGCCTGTCCTCTCCAAATCCGAGAGAGAGGACTGAAGTTTCTCCTCGACTGCATTTTCATCGTCGTCGATATAGGCAAGATCGACTGAGGGGGTAGGAATCCCTCTGTCTGGTGGACTAGAAGACATGACTGGTGAGTAACAGAGCGTGACGTGTCGGGCCTGTCGTGTGCGGCACTCAATGATGTGGGTATAGACGACCGTAATTTATATATGCATGAGGTATTTCACATGAATTGTGGGGTGGTAAACGAAATTCTTTGCTAGTATGAAATGGACAGTGCAGGTCCGCAGGTGAACGTCACTTTTCTGGTCTTCTCGGCGTTGGCGCCAGCAATGATCAGAGGCCATGAATGGCAGTCGTAATGGATCAGACAGATCGAAACACCTCAACATTGATCAAAGGGACATGTACACCGTGCTATAACATATGTCCAAGAGCGAGATGTAGAGAACTTGATATATTGCGGTGTAGATGAGAAACAAGGAAACAACAATTCTAGAGGTCCAATTCGACACCAATCGTACTACTCAACCCCCATCATCGTTCTCAGCAACATTTCTGACAGAGAGCTAGTATGTCCCGGCAAGTTCACAGCAGTCTAACCATGAAATCATTCCATATCGAAGACAGCCGTTCTCCTTGTCATCGAGCACGATTGATGCTTTCTCGGTCATCTCCTCCTCGAATTCTTCCATGTCGGAACAGGTCGCGACAGTACTCCGACGTAATAATCGTACACAGTCATGTATCCATAAGCGACAGCTGCACCATTCTCCTGATGGTATCTGGACTTTTTCGATCATTCGTAGCACTGTGGCCAAGGAGCATCCTTCGGCCGCCCCTATCAGCTTGTAGCGTAGAACGCGTTCGTTCTGAGGTTGTGAGGCGTCATGGTAGGATAGGGCTGGAGTGTATATTTCCTCTTGCTTTGAGCGTGTGAGCTGAATGAAGATGCTATTTTCGCCATTCAGCCTCGTTGCCAACATGAAGACCCAATTCAAATGGTCGGGAGCTGCCAGTGGTGACGGGTTCTCTTCACAATGACCTGTGTCGACGGTGCCTTTTGCTAGATTGATAAGGGAAAGAAAGAGACCGCCGCGAGCGAATCGCATGGTCTCTTCAATAGACCAGCCCGCAGACCGCAGCATTTTGAACGATGAGACGAGACGAAGTTAGAGTGTATAGGCAACATTCAATACGATGGTCCGAGAGAACAACTTGAAAGACCGCTGAGCCAAGAGCACTCCACCTGAGGATTTGATCCGGAATTTGTTTCGTCTTCAATCTGATGCTTTGTGCTCACTCATGAGTAGTGACGCAGAGCAGCACGTACCCAACGTATAACGCCAAAAGCGATATGTTTTTCATGCCTTTGAATAAAGCGATTTCATCTCGGCAACCGACGTAATATCATCAGGAGCAGTATTTCACGTAGGAAGCCTGAAACGAATTTCTTGCTCTGCAAATGCAAAGCTTCAGCACGATATTCCAAATGACAGCATCAAGGTGAGCAAACAGTACTGTGAAAATTGGATATACAACGCAACGTTCCCGGCGGTGGTGGTTTGAATTTGAAAGGAAAGGATTGTCACCCAATCGTCGTTGATGCAGATGTCCGGTCGGACCGTCCCACATATTCAATCACCAAGATTACATTTCCAAGCACCAGGTATAGTGGAAATACCTGGCGAAGTTGTGTTACACATACTAGCATTAATCCATAATCATGACATCATAGGACATACCGCATACAAAGGAAAGAGAAAATTACTCGGGAGGACACAAAAATGACCAGTAGGAAAAGGCGAAGTACACAAGAGAGAGACTCGGAGAGAGCTTGACAGCAAAAGAAACAAAAATCAGTAAAACAGAAAAAACGCACGAGAAAGAAGAAACTATCTAAGCAATAATAATAAGTATACGAGCAGCACACAAAACTGACACACAGAAGAATGAACGAGATGAATCCCAATCCCAATCCCGAAAAAGAAATCGTCACCTAGACCATCCTTGTGACCCTCGTCCCCTTCCCCTCCCAAACAACCGATCTCGATCCCAGTCTCGATCTCGGTCTCGGTCAGCAGAAGGCCCACGAGGCAACACAGAATGAGATGAAGAAGAGTACGACGAACGAGACGGCGGTGAATACGTAGATGTATGATGATTTGACAGACCTGCAGTGCGCAACGCACGAGGCGCACTGGGAAGAGGCCGTGATGAGGATGAGGAAGAGTGAGAGTATGGAGCTCGGTAGGAGGGAGGCAGAGCAGGGCGTCGAGGAGGAGCAGAACTGGGAGGCCCGCCTTTGGGGGAAACACTTCCAGATGGCGTGTGGAATGATCGAGGTTGGGTGGGTGGTTGAGCAGGTGGAGGAGTATGTGGACGTGCGGCAAGCGGTGGAGGTTTCGGAGGTGGTGGGCTCAGAATCTCCCCATCTTCCTGGGACTGCTGCGATGGTTGACGGGCCAGTGGGACAGTGGCAATTGGCGGTGGCATGGAGGGTGCCGGGGACGACTGCTGAACGACATGGTCTGGGACATATGTTGTACTAGTTGAAACATCTTGCGGTGACCGTGAGTGGTTCTTCGAACCTGGCAGGACGTCCGAGAATACATCAGTAAGCTCCACCTTCGCCTGATAGGAAACTATAGATCGATAGTCGATGGTGCTGGTACCATTCAACAGGGAAGCTTTCCGAGGAGGACCCCGTGATGTTGATCCCATTTCGACAGCATGAGCCTCACTACCATTGAAAGCGGCACCAGGAGAGAGGTTAGACTGCTCTTCGCTGGACTGCTCGTGGGAAGAGAGTGCGTCAACGTTCATGACCTGGCCCTCAGACGAACGCTTCACGTCGCTAAGCTGTGGCTCATAAGAGTGCGCTGATGGAGTCACCGATGTCGACGCCTTCTGTACTTCGTCGCCATTCGTCCCTGACACTGACTTTTGCTCGGTCGGCGGTGATGTAGACGAAGGCGCAAGTCCAGTCGGGGCAGATCCCGGTTCTGACGTTGACTCCATTTGTGATTCCACAGGTGGAGGCGGCAGCGGTGGAGGGGGAGGAGGAGGTCTCGACTCTTCCTCCTCCCTCTTCTTCTTCTTCCTCAGAGCAAAGTCCTTTAGCGACAATTTGACCTTCTGCGGAGGGTGCGGTAGTGCGGCTTGGGAAGGAGAGGGTGATGGAGTAGCAGCAGAAGGGGGTGACTTCAAACTGTCCGTAATAGGTTCGCCGACAGGAAGACTAGACACATTAGCAGGAATCTCTTGGGGTGGCTCGATCGGTGGAGAAATAATGATGGATGAAGGAGGCGGCGGAAAAGGTGAAGGATGGATCTCTGGCTCAGCTCGATTGGACGTCTCATCTGTGCCCTGCTCAACGGGTCCATTTGGCATCGGGACATCGATGTCAACAGGAGGTGGACTAGCAGGTGGTTTCTCATCCGCCGCAATTGTGATAGGTTCCGAGATGGATATATTGTCAACTATACCATCGGTCGAGGCTTCTGTGGTGGTATTCATGTCCCTCGTTTCCAGTGGTATTGAGGGTTCAACGGTGTTAGGTTCAACCGGCCTATGTTCAGGAACGTCCGGTGAAGAGTCAATGTTCATTGGTTCGTCTTCGCCTTCTCCTTCGGGTGCTTCAGGGACAGTGGGTAACGGTGGAGCACGGACTTCATCGAGTACTTGTACATCCTGTGTAGTCTCGGATGCTTCTTCTGGCGACTTGGATGGTTGTGTAGCAAAGTAGCTGGAGGGTCCAGCAAAGGCAGGTGAGCGTAGGGAGAGGTTGGCGAAAGGTGAGGTAGGATATGGCGTCTCAGTAGTGGAAGCATAAGATGCTGAGACAGGTTTCGAGTTTGTCGAGGATGGAGTGGCAGCAGAGGGTGTCATGATAGGATCTATGACCACATACGGGTAGTATTAGAGTTAGTACGAGAACAGAAAATCGTCACGACGCACCGTCGATATTCATCCTTGTATCCTCTTCCGCTAGTACGCCACCTCCACTATCCTGAATCGTCCTGTCATTCTCATCCCAACTAGACCCATATTTCTCTTTTAACACCTTCGCCTTCCTTCTTATCCACGTCTTCCTCAGCTTGGGTGGTAGGCTATTCTCATCCAACGGTAGAGGATTTGGTCGCTTCCTTGTATTTGACTGTGGCGAAGGTAGTTTCTGATCAGTGCGACCGTGTCGTAACGGATCGTGGGCAGACGAAATTGGCAGGTCAGCTACAAGTAGGAAACATGAGTAACAACGCGCATATGCCAATGTACATTCACTGACCTAATGGCGATTTCGACTTTATCCGACGCTCGGTCAGCAGTTCCCTCTCAATATCGTCCTCCGACGCTCGAGCCTTTCCCTTCGGATCTGCAACTCGCGTACCGCTATAAGGAAGCCTGGATGGTCCAGCTCCTGGGGATTCCATCCAATCCAACGACTCATGGTACCCATTCACCATCTCAACGCCTCTCATGCCACCCGACATAGGCTCACGTTCCCTCGTCCTGAAGCCTCTCTCGACACTGACAAGTGGACCCAAATCGACCTGCATCCTCTCGTCCTCTCTGTTTGACTCCCTTCCCTCTTGATCTCGATGGAAGGATGATGGCAGTAAAGGTGGTATTTGACCATCAACAAACTCGGCAAGTCGACTGAGAGCACAGTCCTTGGCTCTGGTTCCGCAAGCACAGGTAGTAAAGGTAGAAGATATGGCATGGAGCATGGAGGTCATTTGATTGCGAAATTGTTCGAACCTGTATGGACTAGGAAAACGTCAGGGGGAAAGTAATCTCAAGAGGAATGGAAGAACACACGCGAATAGGTGAGGACTGTTAATCAATGCTGGCAGTTGATGTATCACGCTGCCATCATCCCACTCCCAACCGAGAATAACTTCCTCTTGAGCCTTGAGATCGCGAAGAGCGAATACGCCAAAAGTCAGTGTTTCCGCCAAGTCAGCGTTTGAGGTTCGATCGTCGGAAGAATGAGGGTTCCTGTTGCACAAGACGGGACGAAGGACAGCGTTTGGTCGACACCCATTGCGAACATAACGGGTTTCCTGACCTGTAGTCCTTGCGTCCAATGCGACATCGAGGGGAGGACCCAAGAGGTGGACAAATGGCTTGGGCATGCTGAGATGGGCATAGGAGTTGAGGGGATCAGAGAGGTAATGAGTAGACGGAACAATAGTGGAAATATAAGGCGCGATAAGAGTATGAGAAGGGATAGGTTGGGTGGTGTGGACGGAATAGGCTGGTGGTCGTATGGAAGGATTACTATGAAGTGATAGGGTAGAATGCGAAAGCGAAGAAGAGGGAATTGGACGTAGAGCAGTATGTGGATGGAGTGGTAGAGCGTCGGGGTCAATGTAGACTGGCGACGTTGGTCCGTCAAGAGCAGTCACTCCTCGCCAATGTTGGGCAAGCCGTTTCAGTCGATCTCGTGTCTGTTGATGGGGGATATCGTCGTGGTCAATATGGACGTAGCTGTGAGCAGAAGGCTCATCAATGTCGATGTGCTCGTCCTCTGTAATCTGGTGTAGTATCGGGGCAGCGGTGATAGATACTCTTCGTTTGCGTTTGGCATTGGTATGGGCATTGCCGTCGCTATTCGAGACCGTCGCGCTCGTCCGTCGACCTTTCCTTTCAACACCGGGGCTGGCCCTGCGCCTCTGCTTCTCGACCTCGACATCTGCCCCTTGCGCCTGTATGTGTCTCAGCCTCGCCTTCTGCACCTTGACTGCCTTCTCCCTGTTCACCGGTCGAGGGTCACATACCCAACACCGGAACTCTTCAGGAACCTTTCCGTCGACAATGTCAAAACACGCCGCGTGAACCCAGCGGCCACAGACATCGCAGGCGACGGAGAAACCGTCATCGTAGTCGAAGCCACATATGCATCGTATGGCGTCGGAAGAGGTAGAAGAGGAAGAGGTCTTGTTGTTGTTGTTATTGTCGAGAGGGCGAGGTTGAGCAAAGGCCGTTGAAGGCTTTCGTTTGAGGGGGATCGTCGGTGAGGGACGATGATAGTCGGCGCCGTTTGCATGGAGACCTAGAAGACCCAGGGCAGCTTCCTCAGCCGCATCGTTTTTCATGCCCAGTGGTGCAGTCCAGTGGTAAGTGCAAAGGTAAAAGAGTCAATAACAAAATATAATCTCAATCCACCTTTCCCCGCACTCGTGTCACACTTAGTCACGACCAGTCACGTCCAGTCAAATCCAGTGAAATTCATGCTCAACGGCGGATACAATTGTCCATTCTCATTTGCTACTACATGAAACAGTCTATTCTAGTTCTGAGTCGCCTCTACGAAACGCTTCTCGGCCTCCTGGAAGTTGACGACATTCCAAATCGCCTTCAGGTACTACAACACCCGAATGAATACCAGCGTTGAGACTACCCACGAAAACCACTTACCTCGGGCTTGACGTTCTTGTACTGAAGGTAGAACGCATGCTCCCAAATGTCGATTCCAATGATAGGAACGTGAGCTAATCCATTCGGTCAACATCCACGCCGACGCTCGACAAGCAACGAGCACTCACAAAGGAGAGGGTCTTGATTAGGCGTAGTCACAATCTCCAGCTTCGAAGTATCAGGGTTATATCCGAGCCAGCCCCAGCCCGAGCCCTGAATAGCAGCAGTCTTGGTGTTCATCTTCGTCTTGAATGCTACCAATGACGTCAGCCTCGTCTGTGATTTGCAACAACTCATTGGCTTACCCTCAACCGAACCAAAATCACGCTCAATTGCGGCTTTCAGGGGACCCCCAGTGAGCTTGCCTCCACCAGCAGACGTAGGAGCAAGGTTTTTCCAGAACAGTGTGTGGTTAATGTGTCCTGCGAGCGAACTCGGATTCAAAGGGGCTTGCAACAGGAAGGGGGACACACACCTCCTCCGTTGAATTTCAACGCCGACTGAAGCTTGATCTTATCTTTGGGTGTTTCCGCCTTTGCGAATGCCTCCTCGGCTGCGTTCAAGCCAGTGACGTACGCTTGGTGATGCTTCGTGTGATGCAAAGTCATAATCTCCGCAGAGATATGTGGTTCAAGGGCCTACGGCAAGTCAATGTCTCAGTGTCGCATCCCACGTCTCTTTGAACGCCGCATTCCACCGAACGCTAGAACTTACATCGTAGGGATAGTCGAGAGGGGGCACAGTGTGTATGAATGCAGCTGCTCTGGCAAGCGACGATGCGAGACGGGTGGGGCGGGCGAAAGAACGAGTAAGACTGAGCATTTTTCCTAATTCGTGAAGACGGCGATGGTGGTTGGTGCTCGAGAAAGAAAGCACAGACTTTATATAAACCAGGAGCCCAACCAATTCCACAGGCCTGATTTCTGACATCACTCCCACGTGCAGGAATGAATCAGTCTCTCAGCACGTGGGCGCGTCGTAGGAGCATTTCGGAATGCGTATTCATGATCGGCCGAATAACTAGTAGACGAAACATATTCGCAAGCCTGCACTCAAAAAAGACGTACAGTACAATGCGACAAAATCCAAAAGCTACCGATACCAGATATCAACTCTCCAAGCTGTATCATTCTCGGCATCCCTTCAGTTTCCTCCAGTCCAGCTGAATCAGCGGGATATCAGTACATCGGAACCTCGAATGACCTGCGAACAGGACGTGACTTACACAGCAGGTCCCGGAATAGGATACGAATCGGTGTTCGTATAAGCGTCATACACAATTCCAGGACTACGAGTGCGGCAGCTTAGTCATACTTGACTTGAAAACATAAAGCAACCACCTACATCGAGGCCGTGTATGCTCCAGGGAAGGCAACGAGCCCAGAGGTAAGTGGCGCCGTTCCTGAGCCAGTGACCTGAACTTGAATGCACGACGGACAGACTGCAAGGTGAAGGTTGAATAACGAAACATCGGCGGTGAAGTCGAGACATTGTTACCTTGAGCACCGGGATAGGTCCGGGCTGCATGCAAAGCGATTCTAGACCAGTCCTACTACTTTAGCCATGCACAAGATCCGACGTAAAGGAAAACCCACATCTCATGGTGAACAATATATTGGCCAGGGGCAAGTTTCGGGGGGACGGTGAAGGTATATATCGACTGGTTGGCAGTGAGTACATCCGTCGCCGCCTATTTGCCATCTGCAGTCTTCCCGCCGTTGTCAAAATTAGCTAAGGGGGGCATAGAGAAACTTACGCGGTGCCAGGATTCCACTTCGTGATATCGCTCGGAGCCTTCGCTATGTAGGTAATCATCGGACCCATGTGTCTGGATCGAATTAAGATGAGGGGTGAAATGCGCAATACAGAAAACCTCACAAGTCAGGTGGTCCAGTTTAGTCGAACCTGCGAGCCGGCAGGAACAGTAGCGGAGGTCGGGGCAGGCGCAGAGCCAGGAGTTCCGCCGTCAGTATAGGCATTGTACTGAACACTAGGTCCAGCCAGATTGATCAGCCTTGAAATACAATCCACCCTTGTCGAGCGAATTTGTACTCAATCAAGGACAAGTCAGTGACAGGACCTGAAGTGAGCGAGCGATGAGAATTCGATGCTGTGTACAGCGAAACAACTCGAATGTGTGTACCATTGCCAGGATCTTGCGAATGATCCTGTCAGCTGGAGGGTTATAATATGGGTCGGTGTACCGCAAGTAACCAGTATAATGGGTTGAGCCAACTACGACATCCTGGACATATCCATGTCCATGAATGCCGACCAGTAAGCAAGAAAGCGAGAGCAAAGAGCCGAGAAAAGTGAACATCCTTGTAGCAATATAGTGATGTCCAGAAGCTACGCGAGGCGCGCCGAGCAGAACGAATCATGACTTCATAGTCCTTTATAGTTAGCGTCGTTAAAATAACTGATGCATAGTCGAACATATGTTGAGCTTCAGCTGAACCGTCGCGGTCCGGGAAGTAAGCAGAGATATAATGTAAACACGGGTTGGAAGGTCGAGAAGAAGACCCGAAAACATTCAAGGAATGCTTCACATTGCATCAGGTCCGCCAGGTCGGGTGTCAAAGAGGGTAAAAGTCGGAGAAGCAGTCTGGGTAGTAAGTTCCCTGGCAGATGTTCGGAGGTTGTAGTAGGGAAGAAAGAGTGACATCGAGTAGGTCCAGCGGTGTTCATGACAGGTGCAAGAAGCGAGTTTAAACCATTCAAGGGACATCTGACGAGCAGGATGCTTCGCGGCAATGTCTGCGTGCCCACGACCAAGGAAGACATGCGTTGAAACCAATTAGCAGGATGGTGGATTACGATGATATTCGGACCTGAGTCCGCCGAACTGGCATACTATTAAATGAAACAATATACTGTACTGTTTCGCGCATTTGTTCACGGCCTGTGACCTGTGACAGTCCGGTTCCCAGTTCACAGTTCAGAGAGATCTGTGACATCATGTTCATGGCTATTGCCGATTCTGTCAAGGCACTATCAATCCCTTTCCAAAGCTTTGGAGGCACATTGTAAGCTCTCAAATAATGTCAGCAACCTGAAAGAATAGCCAAAAGTAGCCAGAAAGCTGCACTTGTGCGGGCCTTCAAAGCACTGACCCTCATTTCAGCGTCCAGTCATGCTTCTTCCGACAACTGGACAGTCCCCAAAGGGAACGGGCGCTTGCACCCGACAGTCCCACGGGCAGTCCCTAAGCGCGCGCATTCCCGTTCTTGGGTTTCTCGTCGAGAGACCCCGGTCTCTCCACTTTCTCTCTCAGCTTTGTCACTTGCACGAAAATGGGAGGCTCCGCCGCTGCCGATCTTCGAACGATCGCCCTCAGATCGTGTGGGCCGCTGCAGGAAACGGAGAGGACGCGAGTGTTGGGGTGTGGGAGGCCCGCATACAGCCTGCTCAGCGGGAGAGACAGATCGAAGCTGTGAGAGCCGTGAGTAAAGAACAGTTGGACGACGCCATCGTCGTATTATGCCATGTACGCTACGGTAGACAATAGAGAAGGTTTCCCCCCCCTCCACACACAGAGGAACTAGCGGCCATTAGGCTAAGATTGAAGAGCAATGGAGACTGGGACAAGATTGTAAAGCAAAATTAAGGGGGACAGGGATTAAAGGAAGCTACGGTACAGGCCGAAGAATGAAAGGGAGGGGCGAGGGGATGGCAAGAAATGAGATATTAAACTGAATGTAAGTCCTTACCATGTGTGTATGCGGATTTCCGGCACACTGACATTCTGCAGGTTTTCGCAGGTGCCATCTGCGCTGATCGGTTGACGAGGACTTCTGGCGCATCGAAGTTCATGAACGGAACGGCCTCTACTCGACGTGGGAGGGACCAGCATCGAACGGCGAGCACGTTGATCTGCCCCTCACTGACCGTGTTCAGCCTTCCACTGCTCCCAGCGAGCTGCAATTGCGGTATCATTGTCAAGCAATTTCTGCCACTTCTTCGCAATTCCCTTGGCGCTATTGGCAACTCGAATGACACCCGTCTTCCTGTACATGAAGACACCATTCGTGTCTCGCCGCGTCAAGTCATTTCCGAAGAAAGCGAGGGCATCGGCACTGTCCCTCTCAACGTTTCCCATACGCTCATCTTTGAGCATGTTGAGGATACCTTGATAGGTGAGCCGTTTCCCTTCGTCATCTGTGAACCTCCTCCAGAACGCGTCTTCAGATCCGAGGCACTCCTTGGCTTCCACAATGAACTGATGGAAGTTTCATCAGGTGCTCATTCCCTGGGTGAACAAGTCGCAGCCATTCACCCACCTTCCAGTTGTCCCACTCATTTCGAATTATGCCCCACCGCGTCGCGCATTTAGCTCCACCTCGAGCGTGGTACAACTTTGGCCAATGCTTGATCCCGATCCTGCGTCCGTTAACGATGACAAGGCTCGACTCATTCCAATGCTCAAACAGCCCTGCGATGTCATCAGAAAAGTGATGTGCCCCTGGCTCAGGTATTTTCTTATTGTCGTAGGCAAACTCTTCTCCATCGATGTTGATCACTTGGAGGTTTTCAGGTGGGATTTGACCCCGGGGCACTTCAGTGAGATTCCGAGTAGGTGCAGTTATAGGAAGTCCATTTCGCGTGGAGACCGAGCATGCGTCAGGTCAACTGCGAGGAATCGCTACCAATTCAGAAAGCGATTGAGACAGTGTGTGCATTCCGTTTATTGTTCCTGCACCTTGCAAAAGCACTGCGTGAGGTGCCTGAGCTGATCCCTGCCATGAAACGGCCGTTACAGGGATCACTGTGCCATCGAAGCCTGGAATCAAGAATGCCACCTGGGCGGCAGAACCACTTTGCTCATTTGAGGAGGTGCTCTATATTGTCCAATCAGACCCCCTTTCATGATGTCTCCTCATGTACTCACTGGTTGAATTACAGGTCCATGGACATTGACAGGACCGTCGCGCGAGGCTGAGAGTGCGCCGCGTTGCTGCGTCTGAGGGACATGTTGATATATGCTTTCAGATGGTGAGTTTTAGGTTAGGTTAGGGGGGGAGAAACACACGAGCGAAGCGAGTGTCCGCGGAAAAGGAAGAGGAGCTGTCAGCGAAAGCAGACAACAGTGCTGGGGGATTCCCAACAACACCTGTTTCGCCTTTATACGGCTCATCAGGTCTGCTTAGTAACACAGGGATCGGAGAATTAGTCACCAAAGTCCGAAGAAATCGGTGATTAATCATCCAAACCAACTTCCCCGACGAGGCCGAAGGCCGAGATCGGGGAATGTGTCAGCCAAGAAGATCCGAAGATCCGCCGAAAGGCGACACACGTGCAAGAGAAGGTTAGGTTATGGGGACTCTCGTCCGACCCTAGGGCTGGCGTAGGGTCGGGCGCCTAGGGCCCAGGGTTGGGCGGCTGTGGGCCAGGGTTGGGCGTCTGTGGGCCAGGGTTGGGCGGCTAGAGGGCAGGGTTGGGCGGCTAGGGGGCAGGGTTGGGCGTCTGTGGGGCAGGGTCGGTGGTTGTGGGCAGGGGCATATGGACGTCGGTGGTGTGAGGCGAGCGTTCCGTCCAGGACGGAAAGAGAGAGCGGCAGACATGGGTGGAAGAAGCGCCGAAGAGATGGGTGCAGAGATTCCCTCCTGGACGGAATTCTGTGGAGATGGATGTAAATGCAGTGAGAACGGGATTCCGGTGGGGCTGGGTGCATGCATTCCGTCTTGGAGGGAATTCTGTGTGCATGAGGTTACTGTTTATTGGATGATGAGAATGCCGTTGATCTAAATTGACATGCGGCAGTTGCGAGTGAGAAAAAATGTGACGAAGATGGAATAGACCGAATGAAGGAAGGATGTGATGATGGGCGAGGAGATTAGCAGTGGAGTGTAAATGAGGTGAAGAGGATCTAGGCTAAACGTGAATGATGGAAGGGATATATTGGATGTATTCTAGGCTACATTGATGACGGCATACGTGAAGAAGACTAGAGTATTTGAAGAAAGTGACGGCAGACAATATGTGAAGAGAAGGAGAGAAAAAGTATATAGATGAAGAGGGAATGAGAGGAAGGGCATGTTCGCAGACTCTCGATCATGGAGACGTATTCTTGCTTCAAGCACGAGATCGACTGGTGGGAGAACGATTGGGTGCTGCGTGAGCGATTGGAGGTGAGTACTGAGAGATTGACCGAGTGGCAAGATGGAAAGATGACGATATGAAAACAGAAGGGAGGGATCGAGATGATGGGGAGTATTGAGATGAAGAGGGGGGAGGGGTTTGTAGAGGCTGTGGGGCGACTGTGGATCGACGGTAAGTTTGAATGGATAGTTGGTTGAAGGGTTTGGAGAGAAGGACTGACGAGGAAGGAGTAGGGGCTGACGAGTGTATGGAGAATCTGCCTGTCATTCGATGGCGGGTGAATGGGTATGTGGAAGAAGGTGAGTTGTGTGTGCGGATGAGATGTGTATAGAATGCTGACGAGTGAGAGTTTAGGGCCCTTCGAGAAGTGGACGGAGGAGAACATGTTGAAGCCGGCGCGACATGAGGAGGGATTGGAGGTTGGAGGCTGTAAGTACAATTGGGAATTATGAGCGGATGAATGGCGAGCTGACGACAGTGTGCAGTGGAGGACTGGTGCGCGATGAAGGTGCTGAAGTGGATGCTGTGGGATATGAAGGGGGAGATGAAGAAGTGTGAGGAGATGATAGAGGAGTTGGAGGATGGGGAGGTTGAGCCGGATTGCGTGGAGATCAGGCGGTTGGGATGGAAATGTCGATGGCGGTTGGAGATGTTGAGTATGATTACGCAGTTGGTGAGGGAGGAGACTCAGCGACTGGGGGAGAGTCGGCAGGGATTGGGGAGGTTCTTGAAGGCGTTGGTGAGGCGAAATGAGGAGGTGGTGAAGAGGGAGGGGGAGTGGCGGGAGACGTGGGCGGAGATGATGAGTGATTATGT